AGTGAGATAATAATGATGACGATGACATCAATTTATAGATTTCATATAAATAAAGAAACTGACATTTCATCATCTATTTATGACTGTACTTCAAAAACTTTACAAGTAAACTATTTATAAGCTTATATAACATATCGTATTATAGATATAATTACAATATACTGGTGCAGTTTTCACGAACACCCATTATTTTTTTAAAATATTTACATTATAATATTGCACGTGTCTACACCTAGCGGGTATAGGTAATTCATAGTTATTTATAAGTCTGTGTAATTTCTAAATTCATAACTCTTTGTATATTTTCTTAGAGATAATTTGAATATGCATTAAACATGAACTACATACGTAAAGCTTAAAGCAATTGTACCCAAATATACATATTAAATTTATTACACAACAACGCAGTTAATAGCAAGTACATCCGAGTACGGGGCAGAGTGGATGACCAAATTCAGGGCCATTATATTAGTCAGTCAGTCATTAGTGTTGCTAATTTAACATTATTCAACACAAGTACAGGTAGGTAAATGCCGGTAAAACAAAAGATCATGGCCTGATTTAACCACAAACGAGGACAATTCGCTACGTACAAAATGAAACATAGAATGAGAATAATAAATAAAATAGGTACTGAACAAATTTTAATTACCGTAGAAAGGGGCTATTTGCAAGTCGTGGGGTTAAATGGAATTTCTTAAATAAAAGATTTGATTATCTACGTATATTTTTTAATTTAGCAATGAGTAGAATATTTGTTGTCACCTGGTAACACAAAGACTATTGTAAATTTTTTTAAAATTTTTGAGGTTATAGTTAAGCATTACACAAGGCAGCAAGTGTTTAAAAAAAAAAAGAATTTTCGCTCTTTTTCGTAAGTATTTAACTTTCGTCTGACGCATGAAACGTAGAAAGATATGTACCATGCAAGTTAAACTATGTATACGTGTATTTTCCGTAGATTTCAGGGGTGTATGTTGCTATTTTATATCTCTGTCGAGCTAGCTACTGTTTCTACTTTTTGTGATTGGGGCTTTTTGAGATTGATTTTGGGGTTATTTGGAATATTATTTCAAATAGCCCCATCTAACGATTCTTTATGCATTAGTACGGGTTTGAGTGATGGTTTCAAATAGCCCCAAAAGTGCAAAAAAAGATATTTAAGGGTAAGTCAGTTCCCAGTCATCAAATTAAATTCGGCAAAATACCTAATCTAAAAAATGGGACTAATATTCCCAGGCGAATTTATATAATGTCTTTAGGTGTGAGCAGGCTAGCATATAAGTCAGTGCCGACATTGAATAATTTAAAGTTACGCCGTTATTTTCACGACTTTATATAAAAAATAAATAATAAAAAAAATATTAAAAAATAAAATATAATAATAAAATGAAAGAATAAAATCAAATTACCTATTAAAAATATATTAAAAAATTTATAAAATAGTATATAAAATATTTTTTAATATAATTTATTATTTAAAATAATTTATATTATATAAAATAATTTTATTCTTTCCACACAGGGAAAATCAAGAAAAAATCATGGTGTGAACAAATCAAAGGAAATATACCAACTCACGTTGCGGTAAAACACATCCACCATATCTAAGTTATTCTAAAGAAAGTCTAGAAAACGCAATAAAAGCCATTTAAAATGGTTTAATGAAATTAAAAGAGGCTTCCAAAAATTACAATATTCCAATGAGCACTTTGTGTAGGAAATCTAAAAACAAAAATTGCACGCAAGAAAAAAGCTGGGCACCCAACTCTATTTTCAATAGAGGAAGAGAAGACTTTTGTAGAATATATACAATTACTGAGCCATTGGGGATTTCCTTTGGATACAACTGACTTACGAGTTTTGGTACTGTGATGATAAAAACAGTAAATATTACATTGGATTTATCGAAAATATTAAATTTAATGGACAAAAATATAATTACAATGTTAATTTTTACAAAACTATTAAAAAGCCACAGCTTGCGTTTTGGATTAGCAAGAAAATTGATCGCGATGAAGTTGATGACATATGGATTGTGAAAAAAATTATTATGAATAATAATCCTATGAAGAAAAACGAGTTTCTTCTCGCTGAAGAAAGCGATATGGTGTATTTTTGAGATACTTTAAGCCACTTTATTTATCCAGAATTTGTTTTTATGTTAAGCAAAATTTATAATCTTTTGTTACATTTTATAGCATTTATGTAGCTTTAACTAGGTATGTACCTAGTAGTTACTTTTATGTTTCTTTTCATAATGAAGATTATAAAATAATTTGATTAAAAATATATTAAGTATTTTTATTTATACCTATACCTATTACAGAAATAATTATATCTATTAGCTATCACGTAAAAATTGAAAACAGCCTCCCCTTAAGAATTCCAAATATTGCTTTACTTATAATAGGCACATCTTATTACATTTACTTCTAATTCCAAATAACCCCGTTTTATTTAAAATAATAATTTTGTTTTCATGACTAACTTCATATAATTCACTATTTTCTTAACCGATAAGAATCAAATTGCGATAAACTTCAAGGCAGTCTATTCTAGAATAGTTCCAAATGTCTCTCTAACGGTTTTATTAAGCACAGTTTTATAAAATGTCAAAAATTGGTTAGCTTCTACATAGGATACCAAATAGCCCCAAAGTAGCAATATTTGGAATAGCATACTTAAAAACATATATCTTCAAAACTACGCATGATAGACTTATTGTAGTGGTAGTCATTAAAAAGGTATTATAGGAACTGGTCAAAAAACCCCCTGTCGAGTAAATTAATGCATTGCTCTTTTATTAAATACATGATTTTGCAAAAAAATAAACCAAATAGCCCCGTTCTACGGTAACGAATTTTGTCTACAAATAGATAAAATTAATCATAAACATACCATTCATATCATGTCAAGAAAAAGAAGAATGTCTATGAAACCAACCGTGTATACATACACAAAACATTTTAAAAAAGTGGATGAAATTCGAGACTTCTAGATTTGTTAAGCCCTCTTATATTGTCATGCACTTATAGAGTATTTTATGATAATCTTACATAAGAAGAAGATAAGACTTATAAAATCTTAATACGCTTTCATGCAAATGTTTAGTATTTTGTGATAACAATAAAAATATTGAATACACAATGAAAGTGTATAAAGATAGAAGCTTTTGATACCCGGTTACCTCTACCTTAGTATTTACACGTTTAAACACAAAAGAAAAAAGAAAAATATTTTCAATGTGATATTTTCTGAGAGGTCATATTACTGTATCAGTGAAAATTATTATTATGGTACCATTTTGACTAAACAACTTTGAAATAACAACTTTAAATAAACAACACGCAACGCCATCTCTGAAGTACACAATACATAATATCGGTAGTAGTTCCGTCATTAACAATTAGTTTTAACGTGCTACGCCAGAGGGGGCTACTCTATCGTAGTGAATTTTGACAATAGAAATCTTAACAGAAAATTGATTACTTAATTAAAACCATTTTGTATAATTCCGCTACTATTCGTATGCGTACGACTGCCAAATTAATTAAACAAAATCATTCTAATCAACTAACCAGTAATATAAACTTCCGCAAAATAGTATCTAGTGCAGTAAAATATTCACAACAAAAAAAATAAATTATACAAGATTTTATATTGCGTGTTTAATCTGCGATAGAGATACAAGTTAAATTTAATCCCTGATAAAATTTTAACATCTGATTAAACTCAAATTAACCAACAAAATTATTCGCCTCGCATTTTCCCATAATCGGTCGGCGCAATATTCAAATAATTTTCACATTAGCGTAACATCACACATCTAGGTAATATAAATAAATATTTAATAGCAATGGAGGTTTTCTAGCTGTAGATGCTAATACATTAACATAAGTGCGTACCAATCCTCATCATTCCAAAAATTGTAAATTAAAACGCTCTCTTTAATTTATTCATGTCAATTGTAGCCGTGCCGTAGATACTTTCCTTAATCTATGATTGTTACACCTACTTTAGCATCTGTCTCAATTCGCATCTGTTTAATTCATTCATCATTTATATCAGCCATTAACTGTCCACAGCTGAATATAAGCCTCCCCCTTGAGATGTTTTTCCAACAGTTGCCTCGCTTGGCAGGCAGATTGGCAACCGCAGTTAGGCTTTGGAGACGTTTGGAGACGTGGAAAGAGGGACGCTACTGCCCACCCCTCGCCCTCCCTTAGTCGCCTCTAACTACACCCACAGAAAAAGAATGGTTGGTCTTTTCTATGTCGGCACCACACGGCTTTTTGTTTAATTAAAAATTCCAAATATCTAATATATCTGATCTCTACCCTTAGAAAATACGTAAACTCCATACAAATATTTAAATTCTGGTCCAGCTTCCTGATCATTGAATAACAAAAAATTCTTTTATTGTATTTAACGGGCTTTATAATTTATAACAAACTCAGAAGAGTGACTTTTGAAGCAACTTAATTGGGACCAAATTTAAATTACCTCAAATAAACATCAAATACAAGGTACCTAAGACTTTCTATTTAATCCTAATTAAATAGCATGATTTAGCCTGCTGATAGCACTATTTTATTACATTATAGTCTTGTGTACAGATATAGGAATGATGTTATGATCTTTAATTAAGCTTTAATGACATATAATTTATTGACATCACATGTCAAAAAGTCAAGTTTACTAAAGTACTGTTCCTTAATCTATAATATGTTTACTACATATAATTATTAGATAAATATGTTTTTAAGTTTAAAAGATAAATGAGCTATTATTAAAGCAGTGGTTGTTAAAAGACATTTTTTGTATCAATTAGAATTCGATATAATGATCACACCACACGACTACCCATTGGCTATCCCAGGCTCTATGACCATATTGTTAATATTAAGAGGGGTTCAATGTTGTTTTTTATCGTTTCATTAAAAAATTGCAATTATAAAAATAAAAGAAATGCATTGAGTTTTTTGTGAGCTACTTACCTGCGAGGTGTATCGTTGGTAGTTTGTGGTTTCTTCTTACGCCACCGTAATAAACCATCAAAAGTTCCTTTTGGAAAAGGCTTCAACAATTTCCAACGTCTTCTGAAGTCGAGACTCTTAGTGGCGTCCATAGACTCTGTACTCCTATCAGCACTTAAAATATCCGGTTCCGAAATCCCTTTTCTTAGATCATTTACACTAGTTGAATATTTGCTACACTTTTCAAAACCATTCACTGATACACAATCACTAGGAGGGCAAGATTTTCGTTTAGACAATGGTGTTGATGTAACAAAATTGCCACGAAATGTTTTATTATTATCACTGAACACTGTATAATCTAACAAATCTTCGTTTATACTGTGTAATTTAGTTTTTGTATTCTTTGGTGCACTCTTTGCATTCAAAATGCTATTTTCTTCGAAATTTTTACTTTTAATCTTGCAATCTATATCAAGAAATACCGTAATATCTTCACAGCTTTTAGCATTATATTTGAACGATTTTATTTCAGGTACTGCATTTATTCTTGGGTTTGGATGTAACTCAATTGCGCCAACAACGCTAGTAAGATTATCTTCACTCTTGGACATCACTTTTAATCTCGATAAAAGTTTTTTTGGCCTCGGTGGGCGAGTTGGTGGTTTTTCTATATTCTTGGAAATAATATATGGCTCGTCCGTTCGCTTATTGGGTTTGGAGTACTTTGCGATAATTCTATTAATTTCAGCACTGTTTTTGCGTCTGTTTGTGTGTCGTTTGAAGTTCAGTGGTTGCTGATAAGAGTCGACCACACTTGCACCGCTGACCCGGGCTGACCTAGCACGCCACTCGGAGACTTTGTCTTCTACTAGCCGGTGCAATTCGAGCGTACGCATTATAGACCCTATTTCTGGCATGTTTGTAGTTTATTTCCTTACAATAATTATTTGGTACTGTCTTTGGTAAAGTTATTAGGTTAGTTTTTCATTATTTATATACGATTCCAGTTTAATATTATATGAAACGTAGAAAATCAATCTTTCTATACCCCTTCTCTGAAATAAAAAAAATATGCTATTAGAAATAAACTTTTGGCATATAAAACAACAAAACCGAATCATTCGGATTACAGATGAGATGATTGCCATAATAAAACGAATCAAGAGGACGTCGGTACTCGGTATTAAGGGCATTGCACCGAGTTGAATTAATAATGACTCCTTTAATTAATCATTTTTGCCAAGATCAAAGGTCATATGGTCACAGATTGCCTTATGAAGGTTCTCTGTGATATGAAATTAAAAATATCAGTAACGTATCAATTCTTTTTTTTCCGTACGACCTTAGATATATTAGATGGAATGATGATATCAAATTTGTTGCAGCGCATCAAAGAAGATAGCTCAGGACCATTCCTTATACAAATTCCTTCAGCCGTTTAAACGTAATTAAGTACGAACATCCAAACAGCTATACAAACTTTCGTGTCTATTATAACTAATCTACTAAATAAAATATAGGAGGACAACCGCTTATAAATATACTTATTTACAAGTTACCTATCTACGCGTAAGTAAGTTGACACTGGGTCAATTTTCAGTAATTACAAAACTGCCTGATATTAATGACTTGCCAATATAACAATTAGACGATTATCGATTTTTTTTTATTTTCCAATAATAAAGCAAATACAAAGAGAAAAATATTGTTAACTGAGATATGGTACTACTGGGCAGTAGAATAAGGTTTTTAACGCGATGTAGGGTGACGTCGCGGCGCCGCCAACGTCCTTCCAATGTTCGTTTAATTTCATCCGTCTCTACCGACAGTAAGCCATTAATGCATAATAGTATATGAAACTGTCGGATATTACAAAAAAAAAAGCATTCGATAACCATTGTGGAAGTGAGTAATTTCATTAGTTTCCATTTTGTATCTCACTTTTCAAATAGGTACATAGTTTCTATTCTACAAATGTTTCGATTTATAATATAGTTAACCGAAAATAACTATATAACAAACTACCTCTAGATCAATAATTTTATTTATTTCTATTATAAAGGTGAAACCCTGTGAGGATGCATGGATGTTTGTCACTCTTTCACGCAAAATCAATTGAATGAATTTGAATATAATTGGGCAAATAAACCTAACGACATATTCTAACTTAACAAATAGAATATTTTATTTAAAAGCAAGAATACTTTATAATAAGCAAGAATATAATAATATCTATCTATAAATAGTTTATACTTACATTTATAAATTCGAGTACACACGTTATTTACCTTCAACAAAACTACACACGTCACTAAAGCATTCCACAATAAGCGCAATATATATTTCTAAAGTGTTCACATATAGATAAGTGATAACGAATTCTAGATATTTATCTAAAAGTCAAGAGATAAAACTCACGAACACTAAGAATAAGTGCCTGCAATTATTTTGCAGCAAAAAGTAACAAATAATATAAACAATTATAGTGACAATTTAAAAAAATCATTACATTTTATCCCACTATAATGTCTACAAAATTCATATTACCTTTTGTTTAATACATCAAACGGTCACACATATAGGTCTGCGCCTTTCTAATTCCACAATAAGTACTTACCTATTAGCGTTTTGAAGTCCATTGTTTTCATTGTTAGACATGCTAACTGAATTCCGACCACAAAACGAGTAAATTACGAAACAACAATCTCATATGCATAGAATAAGTAGATAACACTATATCGAGTACAGCGAAAACTGCTCATCACAAAAAATACATAGGTATCTAACATAGATGTATGTAAATATTCTTAATTTATGCACGGCAAACACTGATAAACGAATAAAATGTTTTAAACTGTATTTTGATGTCTTTGTGTAAGGGCTTACGTACACTGATTGAGAGACTTGAATAAGACTTTTGTATTATGGAGAAATGGTGCGTCACTTCACACGTGCGGCAACACCACGTGCGGAGTCTATAGTGAACCACCTCGCCGTTCCAGGCGGACGCTCCTGCACTTGACTCACAGGCAAACATCAAGAGACTTGCCCATCCGCCAACATTACATACAATGGGCTCAATAGAACATCCACATAAAACATACTAGTTACAATATTATTTGCAGCTAACAGATCCATGTATCTACCTGTCTCGTAATTACGCTATATGATAATCGTAAAAATATCCTAATTCATAATCCTCACTAAAATTATAAATGTAAAAATATGTTTGTTACCTCTTAGCGCCTTAACGGCTCGACTAATTATCTTAAAATTCGCTTTACACATAGCATTTGGTACAAGTAAGGATATAAAGACATAAAATATACTTTTTCATACTGATTACGCGTATGAAGTCACGGGTACCTCCTAGTCCTTACATCCTTATACTCGTATAACATTAAAATATGAAATTTTGTTTGGATGTTCGTTTGAAGTGCTCAATCTTTATAATCTAAGAATCAACACTTTGAATTTACAAAACAAGCCTAAACATAGATCTTATGATGACTATCAAGCTCCATAAACAGAAACAACAATCCATCATAACAAAACAAACACATCGAAATTGAATGATGTTACAATAAGGTTTTATATTACTAGATTCCGTGGCCACCAACAGATAATGCTACTACACTCTGCATTGTTACCATATTTATGTAATTTTTACATAATAATTATAGCCAATAGTCATCCCTTTTCATTTCATTGAGCTTAATCTCTCAATAGGTTACAAATAAAACACAAAGAAAGACAGCCAGGAAAGAAGAAGTTTATGAAATATTATAATAAGAGAAGCATATAACCTAATGATGGTATTGGATTATCTAAAATGGTGAATAGGATGAGACGAACATATTGATCCACCACTTTGCTATTTCAGTCATCCTCAGGAGACACCTAGGTCTCACCAGAGGGAGACTTTATACAAAAGTCGTTTTCTTGAGTCTGTCTTCTCTGTCCCATTCGTGTTTCAACCGTGAAGAAGTTGTGTTTGCATGACTGTTCGGTTTGAAGCGTGGGATATGGTAGTTAATGACAGTAAGTTATACAGTAGAAATTAAATGAAAACAAATTTGAAATTAGGTTTTTAGGCAGAACTTAGTCGGACAACAAATAGGTGAAGTCGAATAGATAATTGTCACTATCTGCGTTATAGATGTAACGTAAAGCAGGGCATTGTTCGCCGCTGCGGGCGTGACAACTGCTTCCGCCAAGTTCATTGTCATAGTTGCACTCGCATTGCCGTTACGTTGATGATTGTGCCCCAATGTGACCCCGTCCTTATTACTTCTAATTTATAACCAAAATACTTTTTCAACAAACATTATTTCGTACAGCGTCATAGAAGATTCATAGTAATAAACCAAATTAGTCATGTAGTGTTGTAGCGAGCATAGAAAAAGAATATGGAAAGCGTGAGTCGGTGGACGGATATAAAGCGCTGGTTTTATGATTTATCACTTAAATTCTCAGATTCGTATGAGTTATATTAATGAAACTTCAGGCAATAACAACATTTCTCTTTTTCCTAAAATATAGTAGCGAGCTATAAGGGGCAACCCGACATTGTAGTGGCATACATACCACATACGTATGTGGGCGCATTTCAGATTGAGTTCCAATCCGATCCTCAACAATAAGAATCAAAATACGACAACTTGCACTTGGTCCCTAAGACAGAATAGTTTTGAGTGTCTGTCCTGAACCTATTACATTCTTTGAAGCTACGAATACCATTAGCGATCAAAATTCATCTAGATAGAGTACCATAAATCGTAATAAAATTAATTTAGCTATAAAACGTAACATACACGTAGGTAAATATCTCAAAATTTAATACCTAGATATTTTAATTTCTTTTTTATTTCCTAAACAAGAGGTTAAGTTTATACGACGTAGTGAAAACTTCGGCCGAAGGAAATTTATAAATAGATGCATAGTCAATAGTTTTAAAATAAAGACGATTTCAAACAAGTCTAAAATTTTTCCATGATCTTTGAATGTATATAGACTACATACTGAATATTCTAGTTTTGTAGCCTAGAATAGGTATCTACTGATCTGATGGTAGTTGAGTCACCTTTGTAAATAAGATCGACTTACTTACTTCTACCAGGTATTTTCAGTTTCGGCCACTTCGGTTCTCAGGAGTGCCATAAGCAGCATACTTAGATTATATGGATAGAGCATCGAGCCTCAAAAATGAGTCAACTTTTAGACAATTAGCTGACTCCTTTTTTTTATTAATGTTCTATATGCTTACGCACACAATGTATCTTGATTGAGCTATATTTAATTATTTAATAAATAAAATTATTTTTTGTGCATAAAAAAGTGCAGAATTTATAAGACAAAATAAATATAGAAGTTATGAAGGTATCACTCACAACTATTTATCACGCAAAATTGTATGGAAAAGTTGACCCGCTTTTCTCTGAGTATTTGTATAGAGACACTCTATCTATATAATCTAAAGCAGCATAGTATAAATATTATATAATATTCATATATCATATTACATATATACTATGGACATCATCATTGTCAATAGTGACAGATACCGTTTACCATCAATATAGCCAAATTTCTTTCATCACGTAGCAGCGCTGCACGAAAAAACTAACTGTAAGTGCCTACATATAAATCAAAATTTTATTCCACAAAATGAAAACAATCGTCTTAGCAAAATATAGAACTAACATAGCTATAATTTTATTTTTTAAAATAATAATCAAAATCAATTCACTTGCAAAATTAAATATCACATACATAAAAAAAATACAAGCTAACTAATAAAACAAAAAATATTCGAAAAAACCTTGGCTTTCAGTATATACCCAACATTATACCAGAAATAGTGTTCGAATATTTTCTAACACGAACAGAAAATAGGTCAATCGTCTGTCAAGGCCGCGCGAAATCGAGGCGGGTTGCTACTTTTATATAAATAGTTAGAATGTTAGAATAGGTACTTTACCTGCTTCACAAAACAGACCACAACGTATATACTCGTATTCTTCTGGGATACTAAACTAGTATAATCGTACAGGAAACTGCTCCATGCATCGACGAACGTAGGTGAAATTCGTGTAGAGAACAAGGACAGCCCAAATTTTCCATTTAGATACGTATGCATAGACTCTTATATATCTATATAACTAGTATACCTAAATGTAATAATAACTAGTGAACTAGATTATGAATGTAAACTTGGATATGACGTGGTGTCCATTATGTCAACACTTGATTAATTGCAAGGTTGCCGAGCGATACAATATGATATTAATAGATAGCCAATTTCACTAGATAACCTACTACTATAATATACATGGTTAAATCTAAATCATTAAAATCCTTTTTAATACAGTATTGTACTAGTGAAATTAAACGTTCTAAAAAAACTAAGTCGAAAAACAACAAACAAAATTTAAGCTTCCCATACAGCTCGATGGTCCGTATAAGTTTGATAGATAAAAAATTCTTTGCTATTAATTAATTCATGTTCCTTTTACCCACAACCTCGTCCGCTTTACTGGGATATGTTTATTAATCGGAGAAAAAATAACCTATATCCTTCTCCACCTTTATAGTACGTGTATACCAATTTTTAAAGTGATTGTTTAAGCCATTAAGAGGCACCACAAGGTAACAAACACAATTTTGCATTTATAGTATTAATAAAATATATAGTAGGGACAAGTTTGTTTATCATCAACAGAAGACTTTGTATAAAATTTGTCTCTATGAATACGTAAAAGAACACCTAAGTCTATGGTACTCTATGGTCCATGGACTCACAGAATAATACACTGTGACGAATGACGACGAATGAATGGTGCTGCTCATACTCGTATCTATAGGTGACGCTAAGCAATATCTACCAAATGGGCCGTCAACTTATTTACCAGTCCAATTAGCATAAAACAATTGGGAACTAAATAAAATTGCTATTTTTCTTCATAATACACATCCATCCATACATACATGTGTTTACTTAATATGAGTATTTATAGTGATCAATTTATTGTCAGCTGAAATTTTGAGTACCTCAATTGCTTAAATTAACTTAAATTAGTGGTCAACTCATCTGTATCTATAGACTAGTCGCTCAACTGAGTATAAGGATAATGGCATAGTATATTTTGAAGATTCTTAGAACTGTTTATAACCATAAAGTTCTCAGAAGTACTCTGTAATTAAACAGATTAAACTCGTATGTAATTAATTATAATCCGTCTAAAAGAGTATTTTCTAATATTGTCACCATAAACAAATTGTTTAGCCTACATCCTTGGCCAAAAGTCCAGACATACGTAGTTTCAAGCATTCACATAACATTTCTTTCCCTCATTTTTCGATCCATATTTTTTTAGACAATATATTTCGTTTTATTGGTAAGCTAAACACTTCCTAGACAAAAGATATGTAATTATTTCAATTTCACTCTGTATGTGCATGACGCACCTTTTTAATTATTTCTTTTCGATTTTTTTTTTAATTTATACATACGAGTATATTAATTTTTTTTTCCTTACGACAACTTGTGACAATTGCCCGCCTTTTTTTGTTTTATAGGATTTATAATTACACAAGCTTCCTATGCCACTATGTTTCCCTACCAGCCTACTGTCCTTTCGCCAAAACTGTACCTAGGTAGTATAAACTTACATAAATATACTTTCTTAATTGAGATAGATAGATGAATATTTTAAACCAAGATCTTCCATTCAAAATAGAAACAGAGCAATGAGAAATATAGCAGAAGTTTTCTCTGAGCAATGTGATCACATACCTACATAAAGCTTGCAGCAAGGACGTCTTCTAAATTATGTATCAATTTCTCCACTTTCCCTAAAGTAACAACTCACCGAGGACTCCCTGACCACGCATATAAATCATAAAGGATCACCTAATTTTCTAATTGCCTCGCAGTAGTCAAAGTATTGACACACACATTAGTATGCACCACTTGTTGCTTACGGGACCGTGTGTAGCATTGTTAGAGTATTCGAGTCATTGGTCTTTGATCCCGAATTCGATAAGGAGAAAGTTTAATTTCACCAAAACAAAGCCCCACCTGCCTTCTGTCATAACTCCGATTATTATTAACTACATGAAAAGATACAATTTAATAATTTATTTAATATTTTTACAATTTCTAACTACAATAAATAAATAAATAGGTAATTATAACAATTTTTCAGACTATTCCTGATGGCACCCAAATGTTTCCCACTGCTTTTATTACTTACAACACTATCTAAGAAGTTCAATCCGATCTTTCCATCGTGTTTGACCTGAAAATAGCAGAACGAACTGTTACAATCTGTTACAATTTAATAGGTAAATAGGTACCTACAATCTAAAAGCAATATGATGGGGGGAAGGGATTGTTACTAATGTGGACTATTAGTTCTATGATAGCAATATACGCTATCAGGTCGACCTCCACGTGGTCCCCTCTGGAAACCATCGTGCTGAATTCCAGGTATATTCATCACGATGGGCTAACTGACCTGCCTTTTCATCGTCATCTATCATTCTTCACTGGTACCCCGCCAGCGTATACCGTTAGCGCAGGCGAGGTAACCATTTCATTATCATCTATTAGAAAAAAAAACAGCAATATGATCCTGGATTACGTAATAAAAACTATTACACAGCATTGCTTACATTCATTAACTGTTGTTTTATCAACTAGTGCAATAGCACATGTTTTAATTTAGTAAATCAATATGAACCTTATAAATACCTAAAATATGGCTGAAATTCGTATATGTCATCGATGACTCTACGCACACGGCACGTGATGCCGCATGACGGCTGTTGCTGGCCGTACACATGTATCGCCCGCTCCAGAAGCTGCTGTATCGACGTCAACTCCGTCACTATAAGTGCATAACAAAAACTTAATCCAATTATATAAAACATAAAGTGCACATAAAAACACAAATAATTTATCATACATTCAAATTAACTAGAAGCAACCAAATTGCATTTATGTCTATTTATTTTTTATGTTCAATAATCTTCATGGATATTTTAATTTTAACGGCTCTAGTAAAGAAGATAAAATTTGGCATACATGTACATGTATTCCTTCTGTATCCCAAATAATACTATTTGGGATTGAAAAGTCCTTTTCAAGGCTACTATTTACTGCCGGTCATTAAAAATTATACACATCCTGATCACACAGACGAAATCGCAGGAAAACCAGTATTCTATAAAAAATATATATTTTCGAAAATAATTCCTTATGAGGTAGTCAGAAACATTTATCATTATCCAAAGAGAATACTTGTCATTTTCATTCACGCGAACAAAATCAAAAAAGTTTTATCACAGTTTTGACCTAATATTTATAATATAACTATTAACGTAAATATTACGTGAAAAACAAAATAAATATGCCACGGAGAAACTTTTTAAAGTGACATATTTACCTATATAAGATATACATTTACATACATATTTTTGTTATAAACTTAATACATATAAAAACTAAACTTTATAAAAAAACTCCACATGCTTACTCAAAAACTAAACAATAGGGTAAAAAATGAATGACATAAACTTACAATTTTTGTTCCCAAATCGTCGTTCATCTTCGTCGTTTGCGTTGTTATCGTCTTTCTTAAAACTTATTAATTTTGGTATAACCAACAACATACACACAACAGCCAGCATGGTGACCAACTTCTTGAAAATCAAGAATTTTAACAATAATTTTGCAATTGTCAAAATATCTAGTTTCAATGACAATTTGTCCAAGAAACCAAAACCCGGTGATTTAAATGGAACACCGTAAGTAGGCTTCAATGGAGGTCCATAAACTGGCGGTAAGGGTTTGGGAACTGGTGGGCCATAAGTCTGCGCTGGTGGTCCATAAGTTTGCGCTGGTGGCCCATATGTCTGCGTCGGTGGTCCATATGTATGCGCAGGAGGTCCATAAGTCTGGGCTGGAGGTCCATAACTTGAAGATGGAGGTCCATATGTATTTGGCGGCGCACTGTAAGTTATATCCGATTCAAATTTTACTGGTGTATGACTTGGTGGTAAATAACTGGAGCTTGTCGGTCCAGAGAAGCCCGAACCAGATGAAGAACTGAAACTATTATCACTGGAAAAAGGTGGCGTATAGTCGTATCCAGAGTTGTAACTGTCGTCACGATTTGAAATCCTCTTCTCACCATCTTTTGCAGTTATTATGACAACTCCTTGCTTCGCCTTTTCAGCTTCTATCCGAGATTTTGAGTATGCGTCTAAATAAGTATCTGTTTTCAGGGAACTCAGTTTAGCATTGGTAGTATTACTAGGCCCGACTATTGCAGTGGCACTTACAAAAAAAGACAAAATCGCTATGTACAACCGTAGCAACGCCATATTGCAATTGCTTAATAATCACACTGCCGCCCCAAAGAAGTTGCTTCCATGGACTGCGGCTGACGAATGACAGGCGCCATTGAATTCCATTCAGTTTTCACTTTTGACTTACAGTACAAGAGCCTTAATATGATAATAGAACACAATTAAATTCTCGATGCGACCCCTGCGTTCCGCATTGCCCATGGTAAGTAGGTGCGCGTGCGTGCGGCTCGCATGCTAATACGTCTTTCGAGTCGGCACGCGCCTCCACGAACCCACCTTCTTGGATGAGCCGCCCCAAACCTCGGGACCTTTCATCGCATAAATAATCTTTAATAGAACTCAATTTACTTGTGAAAGTTTAGTTACCGACAATAGCAACAGAGCTCGTTATACTAACCTTTCATGTATGATGGTCTTCAAGTTAATGTTCTTCCTTATTAAGAAATGATGTAGTTGAACTAGATAATATTACAACACGACGTTACAAAATAGACAAATATCTACGTAATGTTATATGCTGTATTTTTTTTTATATTCATATGACAATTTATATACCTAGTTTATGTTCTGATATAACTACTCACAAATTTATTTATTGTAGTAAAATCGTACACGTTGTATTGCTACCGTGGTGACAAACGACCATACAACCTGCCTAGTTATTATATTTTATTTGCACATACAATAATAGCTAGTGAACTTTTTTACAGCTCTAAATCTAGAATATTACTCCACAGAAATACCAAATAACAGATTAAATTGTGCATACCTTTTAATAAATACGATTTTTACAAAGTGACTTTATTCAGTGTCACTTACATGAGTAGACCTCTCATTCGTTCGTATTTTGGCACCAAGTAGCTATGTTTGCATTGCTTGCTACGTTTCGGTTTAATGGTACTTATAACATATTTTAATTTAAATACGAAAAAATTACAGCTTATTTATCAAGAATGGCAGCATATAAAGGGCGCCATGGGCATCACAGTGTATTTTGTAATGATGTCCATGACGCTGTTCACATCTTTGGTCGATGGTTATCTTTAATAGGCGGCTTGTGAGCTTGTTTGTGATTAGAGATCTTATATGAAAACTAAATTTAATGCGGTCTGCTTAGAACGACGATACAGGTAGGTAGTTTATATTTTTTTCATATAAAGTGTCAAAATCACCTCGAGAATGACATAATAGATCACTATATAGGAACGAAACACAATATTCATACACCATAACAAGATCTTAATATACCAAGTCGCCTGGCCATTGTAGTAATTAAGATATTGTTCCTAAAATATCTTCCTTTTGCTATTGCTTGCCTGCCAAAAATGATCTACGTTCAGAAACTTTATAACTCCTGTCAGTAGGGATGATGTAAGGATTCTAATTAAGAATTCAGAAACTCTTTTTAGAAACGACTATTTCCGATTTTTGTTGGACGTTAGTTATGAGATTTAACTATTGAATACTAAGTTGCATTTTAGTTATTTTACTATACACATCCAGCGGATTATATACAATGTTTAAAATATTTTATACATGGGTGTTGACTGTTGTGTTTACACTGACACATCGTATCGTCAACAGCATAAATTGTAGGTATTTAAATTAGGTATTACTGATTTCTCCTTATCTGCAATGCAACCAATGCTATTTCACTTGCGAAATTAAAATAAATCAAATACCTACCCAAAATGGTATGCCAAAATAACGAATCCTTGTAAGTAGGTATCGCTAGGTACTTACATAACAAGAACAATTTTCTCCGCCGATGAACGTCGTTTCGTAGACAGATTAAAAATATTTAAATTGATTCCGAAAAAATAATGGCAACTATAACTGTCACAAAATCAATATGGGAGCAAAATGGGAGTAAATTCTGTCGATCGCAAAAATAATGAAACTGTTATGTATGAATTGTAAGTAGTAGTCGCATTATTAACCTAATGCTATATTTAAAAATATCTTTAGTTTTCAAACAAAAAATATAATAAAAAGTATAACAATTTTTTTCCTTAATTAAAATAATCCCGAATGACACTAAAAAACGGGAATTATTTAGTTTATTAACACTGAGTAAAAATATTCTAGCCATATTGTGTACGCAATATTTTTCTTTACCACTATCCACATTCGACCAGAAATATAATTTGTACCTAAAATTGTATCACACCTATCCATGAGAGATACTTGAAAATGAAAATAAAATTTCACAAAATATTTATTAATTTTATTTACACCTATCACTTTAATCTTGTCAGTCAAAAGCATTATTACCCACTATTAAACACCTTTCTTCAAAGAACTTATGTCTTTTTCTTATTTTTCCATTACTCTCCAATTTAGGAGAAAAAAATGAACTGATTGACTTAGTCCCAGCACTGGCCTTCTTTTTAGGATTCTCTTCATCAACTTCTTCAAATGTACAAGTAGCTGCTTTCTCTTGCAACATATGGTCTGCTGTCGACCAACTGAACCTCACTAAAAGTGGGTAACCAAATACTTTGTCAATTTGCTCTCGAATAAACTTTTTGGTCAATGGATCTGAAAATTTCAAATAATTTATAAATTATGTCTGTGTCTCATTTTTATTATTCAATTTCAATATAATAATTCAATACTTAATACATTTTTACTGTAAAAATGCAGCGGCATATCATGGACTTCGTCAACTAAAGGCGACCAAAAATTTGCGTCAAATTGTTTGCTGCCTCCTCTATTTCAATTCAACGTCAAAAAAATTAATAAAGTTAAATAAAGCAGTTTTAATTTTTATTAATAATAAAAAATGCCGTTCGTTGACTACAGTAACCGTTTGCCATTAGGCGGGCTGTATGCTTGTTTGCTACCTTCGTGGTATAAAAAATGTGTTTTCCTGTTTTTTCATAGCAAAATCTTTTATGCAATTTAAAGTTGGTATTTTTTTGAACACAATTAGGTATCATGTATTACTTCCATTTTTATCCAATAAAAAAAAATTATATTAGCATGATATGTGTTTTGTGAAGCACAATCTTTATTATCACATTTATAAAATAAGGATGAGAAATAGTTCAAAGTCATCGCTGAGACAAGGAGTAGCCTTGTCTATATTACCTAATTCCTAATGCTTTAGAGAATCGACGGAACTAAGTATATAATAATATATTTTCCCGAATCGCAACTACGGTCACTATGGAAAATCATTTGCCCATGATTTTAATTTAGCAAACATTTTATGGATTTTTTTACAAAAAAAATGTGACCAGTGACCTTAATATCACTCGTGTTTGTACTGTCAAAGAGCTGATAGCACGACTATGTTTCATGTAAAAGGAAAGAAATAAGATATTGGCAGCAAAATAACTGTGTATACAAATATTTATTATACGGACTCAGAACAGGAGCAAGATGTACAGTACACATCACAGTAACAAGTATCATATTTGCTATTCTGATCACGCCTGCTTGTTTGCCATAACACGTCATAGGTATAAATTTCATACATAAAATAGTTCCACTTCATCCGTGTACACAAAACTTGTAAATAAACCTACAGGAACATTTTACTGGGATTAAAAAAAAACAATCAGGCTATGAATTGAACTCCCTGGGAGGTTTTTCCCACGAGATGGGCTTTTAAAAAAAGTTGTAGAAGTTCTCCAAAGTCAATAACGCGCGCGTAATGCCCCTAGCATTGCAGACGTTTATAGGCTACGATAACTGGTTACCATCAAGCTGGCTATATCCTTGTTTGCCACCTCAGTAATATTATTCCTATTCCATCTGCAAGTAAAATTTTACAAAATTCGAATTTAAATTGAAAATCTGTACCTACATATATTTCAAACATTAATATATAGATATAATCAGTATATTTACCTCCAGGGTAACCACTTCCAAACTGAGTGTGATCCATTTCCAGGTCTTCATGAAATTTCCAAACTTTAAGTGCATGATCTCTTGTCACTTTCGCTACAATACTCGCTGCCGATACTATAGGATATATAGAATCAGCTTTTTTTGCTACCTAAAATATAAAAAACTTCTTTAGTACTTACTAGGTAAATATTTTTTATTGGTGAAAATGGAATGGTAACACCGCCTGCGCTATCGGTATACGCTAACGAGGCACTAGTGAGTATACCATGTACCCTCTTGTAAAGGCATTCTGTCGCCCGTATCCAATAACGAGGATGGGATGATTAAATACCGCAAAACATAAAAAAAAAAAAAACAGATTTAATAGATTATTCAGAATTAATAGATTATTTTACAATTCTACATAAACAAGAGTTAAAGATGGAATCTATTTAAAATAGTTTAAAAGGAATATTATATTTACTGAATTCTATAATACAATTACTGATAACTTTAGTCCTCAGGAACAAAGCAAAGTATGTGGAGTAACATAGAAATGTGACATCCCAGATGCTCAAATTCATAGATGATGGTTAGGTATCATATTCAATCAAATTAGCAAAATGATACAAAAAGATACTTATATATAAAAACTCCGATTAAAAATAATTATGACAATTTTCAAAATGGTGCTTTAAGACAAAGCAACTAAAGATAAGTAACATAAAAACTTTGGCTAATGGAAATAAAATTTCTAGTCAACTATCATAAAAACTACAATAATTATCTAAATGTATCTTATAATTATTTTTTTTATTTATTTATACTTTATTGTAGACAAACATTACATAGTTATAATATATTTTGAATAAATATATACAGAATTACTTACAGTTATTTTAAATTCAGGAAATATCTCTGACAGTTTTGCTTGATACTTTTCAGGTGGGCCCACTGTGTCTACATAAACTTCAGTGATATTTACACCAGAAGAATGCACTTTTTTAATAAGATCTATAGCAGAGTTCATTGATACCTGAAATTATATGAATAAAGATGAAATTAAATAAATAAAATAAAAGACCTACAGTGGTATTAATTTTGATGACATTAAACCTGATTTAATATGTTCTTAGTTTAAAACAAAATATATAATAATACTAACAACGATATTAATTTCAATGAATTCATCAAGTAGTTTTCACATTAAACATGCATACTCCTAACAAGGGTTACATAATATTACTTTTCACTGCAAAACTCCAAATCAAATATTCCTGAACATATATTTATACATATATAATTTATTGTAGATAGTTATGCAAGACAAATAAATATATTTTTTATTGTAAATATATATTCAGTAGAGGTATACCACCTAAATTATGTAGTGTAATTTAAGAACAATTTACACCAACTGCACAATTAGATGATATTAGGTGCCAAAGATTCTTGTTTAAAATAAATTGAAACAGGCCATTTTATAATGTGTATCATTTGCCAATTAACAATCTGAGTACACACATATATTTTTATTATTATTATTGAACTATGGACTTTTTCTTTTTTTTTGGGCAAAAACACTGCAACCTCAATAATCTTTCGTGCTCACCCTTTTTTTTTTTAACTTTGCTGCTAATTCCTGTAAATGATAGGAATTTTAAGATATTCTTTGCAGTAATATTTTCTATCTCCTCAAGATATAAAGGAGATATATTGTTTATGTATGAGTATGCTATACCCACAAATCACATGCTGTGGCATTTCTTCCTCATTGTGACAAATCTGCAAATACTTTTTGGGCATAAACCTAATTGAGCTATGTACTCATTAAGTTTGCAGTGTCCAGTGAGAACCCTTGTTAATACAAACATATTATTTTTACACAACAGAGTTAATTCATTAAGTACACACATAACAGTCATCCATAATATTTAAAGAGAATCAAATGCCCAGCTTGTATTCTTATATTAAGTTATAACAGTAATATTATGGGTTTGCAAAACTACTACTACCAAAGTGTTATCGACTAATCAGGTTAGTACCATTTTAAAAGCAGCAGTTTAATATATTCTATTTTTATTTGTTATAAATTAAAGCCATTTTAAAAAAATAATTATAAATTAAAATAGTTACATAATTAAAAATCTCATTATCCCTTCCTTAAATTAAGTACATACTACACCACAACCTACAAATATTCATCCAATGCTATACTAAAAAAATGCACACCTCATTCAAAGAGTGTTTAGCTCTTCTGTACATTGAGTTAGAGATATAATTTGGTGATATTATTTCTGAAGCCCAGCCAACATTGTTCAATGCTGCATCATCTGTGAAAATTTGAGTTAATATGTCATCTCGTTTCTCTTCAGTCAATGCTTTTGAATCTGCACAACCAAGATTTTCTAATATTTTCTTCGTATTTATTGGACAATATGCGACTCCATATACCATTGGACCTGAAAAAGTAATAAGTATTATTAAATGTAGTAATTTTGAGAAAGAAATATATTTTCTAGTTTTTTTCTTTGATTTATTATCTTTTATCTTCAGATCTGGACCCACTAATAGAATATATTATACATTAGATTATCTATAAAGCTCTGAACAAACAAAACATATATATATATATATATATATATTTGTTTACAAACAAAGCATGCCTTTTTATCTCCAGATTGGAATTATCTTTTATAATTGCTCTACACTAGCATGAAGATACATATAGCATGCAATTCTGTATTCCCCTATAAATGATAAAAATGTAAATGTAAGCCTCTATTATGTTATATGTATTAAAATAAGTTTTTAACAAAATACAAATAAGAAATGTATGTAGATACTTAAGTATAAAAACAATGTAATTAATTAATAAGTATATGTGCATATTACCGGCAATCTGTATAATTATAATATTACATACATACATCCTAGGCAATATATAGAATACCTGATGCGTCCAGGCAATATACAAAATGTTATGAATATTATTATCGAAAAATGAAAACGTAATAATATAACAAACTACCGAATATTTTCGGACACCAAATATAATTTAAGTGTTTTATATTTACCTAAAACTGGGCCACGACCTGCTTCGTCCACCCCTAACATACACGGTTCAGATTTACATACTGTCGGCACTTCTGAGCCGTTGATAAAATTTCTAAAATTATCTTTAGTCTTAATATATTCTTGTAATGCCTGCAAAGAGTTCATTTCAAAATTTTATTTTAATTAAAAATTGGTTTTTTACAGAATCATAGATATTAAAAAAATATAAAAATTAAAACAGTGATGGAAGTAAAAAAACTAATTGCAAAGATTGGCGCCAACATAAATTTCTTGACTGACAATTGCTCTTTGACAATTAATACTTGCTTGTGTATAAGATACTGTCAAACTGACAATAGAGAAAAATGATAAAATGTTTTTTTTTTCCAAATTTTCTAAGAACAAGGAATTACATAGAAGGAATGATAAAATAAGACAGCAAATCATACAGTTACCTCCTTTCTTCTTATGTAAATATAATTAGTAAAAAGAGGACGAAAGATACATCATCAGTTGTTATTTTTCTTAATTCATAACACAGTGTATAAATAATGTTTGATATGTCAACTATTTATCAATGTTAAATTTTGCATTACTAGATTCAACACAATTTATGTAAAAAGTAAGCAAGCAGGTGGTATTTGAATTTGATAGAGTTATACGGCCGTATAACATTATCTTAATGGTCTTCTTTTTACATGTTATATTAAATTATATTTGCATAATAAGAAAGGAGGCAATTATATGATTTACAGTTTTTATTTTATCATTCCTTCTATGTAATTCCTTGCTCTTAATATATTTTATACAGGGGAAAAGGGATTGTTAGTAATGGAGACTGAGAATCCCATTGCTAGCAATATATCCAACCCAAGTCGACTTCCTCGCGGTTTTCCCTGGAAACTATCATGGTTAATTTCTGATGAATTCATCATGATGGGCTAACTGGCCTGTTTTCATTCTCATCTATCACCCTTCACTGATGCTCCGCCAGCGGCTGTATAAAAGATATATATATATATATATATATATATATATATATATATATATATATATATATATATATATATATATATATATATATATATATATATATATCTTTTATACAGCCTGACCTTCAGTAAAAATATGTATTTCCATTTTTTTTACAAGGCGATATTTATATATATATATATTGTACGATATTTCTGTCATAATTTATTTTATTATACAAAAGAGTACTCTCTATTGGTCTCATATGATTATATGAACATGAGATAAGTAACCTAGTTACTTAATTTGTACGGATAATATTCTATTATTTTTAATTAGTGGTTGAGCTTTATTAATATTACGCGATCAGATAGTCCCATTTAAATACTTTGCTTGGAGATAACTAAATTGATAATGGCACCAATGAACGGAACGTTTACCAATATATCAACCGAACCGAAGGTTCTTTATTGCGTTGTTTTCTATCTCGCTTTCACATAAATTTTTGCATATAACAATGAATATTCTTCTATTTTATTTATTCACATAACATTTTTCAAAAATTTTACACAACCGTGATCGTGCCAATTCAATAAAAATATTAAACATAAAAATTTACACAATATTTATCAAAAAAAAAAAAAAAAAAAAAAACAGGATTGCGATACGACATGATATGTAGGTACTATGAATGGAACGCTTACCGAAATATCAACCGAACCGAAGAAACATAATTATTTTGTATGTGTGCGTACAATTGTGCATATAGCTAGAGCTATAGCATAATATTTTTAATTTTAGATGTAGAAAAATAAGTGTCATTCAAATTTATACTGTTTATAATCTATCATCCGTATCAGGTAAATGAATTATTTGTTTTTATTATTTATTCTAATGTAATGTGTAGATATGTATCCAATAATTCCTGAATACTCATTTGTAGGTTAGAATAGTGCGATCTAATATGCAGAACAACCCCCAGGAGCTTTCATGGCAGGCGATTCAAGCTATCGTGGGGGTTAAACTTCCATCAAATGTTCTACGATTTGATGATATTGGATTCCATTTGGTTAATAACTCTGTTTCGAGTGCCGAAGATTCCGATTCAGATGTGGAAATCGTGGAAAACGATTGGGAATCTGACAATAATGTCTCTTCGAAACCCGAAAACTCGGACAATGAAAAAAATACATCGTCGGACAGAGAACAGAGTGAGTCGCCTGTTCTACATCTTGTAGAGCCTGATAACAATAATTCAGGTAAAGACTCCTTAAACTACAAAGAATTTTTAGAAAAAATGGCTACCAAAGATATTTCTGACAGAGACAGATTGTCTCAGGTTCAAAACGAAGATGCTGATAGTTCTAATGGAAATGTTATGTCTATTGAAAATTATTTGGAAGTAACCTTGTCGACTGAATCTGAGACTAGTCATACTTGCAGCCAATGTAACCAAATATTTTCCAGTGAACAGTTGCTATCTTCTCACCAATGCAGTGCCAAATCCACAGATGATAAAAAGTATCCATGTCATGTATGCTCAGAGAAATTTCCTAGTTATTGGGAATTGAGAAAACATATAAACAATCATTTTCCTGGAATGTTAGATTCCAAATCAAGTTTCTGTCACCTTTGCCAGAAAGATTACACCAAGACAGGATTTATGAATCACCTGCGCAAGCACACAGGAGAGAGACCATTTGTCTGTGAGCTTTGCCACAAGGCATTCTCACAATCAAGTTCTCTTTCAATACATATGAAATTCCATCTGAATGTGCGTAAACATGCTTGCACTGTGTGTGAGAAGAAATTTGTAACCAAAAGTGAACTATCCCGTCATATGACTGTTCACACAAAACAAAAGTCCTACTACTGTGGTGTTTGTGACAAAGCTTTTACCCGTTCTGATAATATGAAAAAACATGAGAAAACTCATGGATAGCTTACTGAAAAGTAATGTATTGTTTATTATAAGTAGCATCATGTCCAACAATATATCTTTCTAACAAGAAAGAGTCTTAAAATACTGATATCAAGATTATCATGAAATAAACTTTATGTATAGGGTCAATGTGCCGTTTACCTGACCACTGCTGGTTTTTGGACTTTTTCTATTATAAATATTAATAGTATTTCTAAGTGAAGACCGATTTCTGTTATTTTTAATAGCAATATTAATATGTCCACACTTGTATATTATTTGATGATCAACAACAGTGTTAATGATGACTTACAGACTAAAAAAACTTTAACCCATGTGCATGTATGTTTAAACATTCATACAAACTAGTGAGAAGATATATTTACAGTGATGATTATAATTTTTTTCTAATAAGTTTTTCATCTAAAAGTGTACATGAAGCAATATACGAGACGTAAGATAGGATTCAATCAATTTCACTGAAAACCAATATTTAAGTAATAATTTAACTATTTTATTTAAATAATAGATGGTCACACAATTAACAGATACAAACAAGTTTTTTTTTTTTTATTATGATCTTTCATATTTCTGAATGATATGGTCAGAAATACTTTTGTCTTACTCTTTAATCAATAGACTGGGAGTACAAACATCAAAATACGATCGGCATTTTCTTGCACAAAATATATCAAAGTAGTGTTTTATGACAATAAAATTGTTGTCGTGATTTGAAGAGTAGTTGAACATTAAACAATGAAAAATTTTTACAAAATTAGTACATTCTAGAGTTCTCAAGCCAATAATACAAGTAACATTATTTGTCCATTTTGAGCATTATAAACCTAGTTTATAGGAATGGTTATTTATTAATTTTATGTCTAATGCATGTCTTGTTTTAATTGCAAAAAATAATTAATTAAAATTCTTTATTTAATGATTTTTTGCAGTCTAAAACTGGCAAAAAATAGGGGTAAAAACCAGCAGTAAGTGTCCAGAATACGAAATAATTGCAATATTCAAAAAAACTTTTTAAAAAAGTTACACCATTATACATATAAAGATATAAAACTCATGAGAAGTAAATAAACTAATCTTTCACACACACATTACAGTAAAACTTTTAAATAATAACAATTTATTCTATCAAAAAATATTTTTTGAAACATCACAAGTGCATTGACTGGTTGTGAACCGGCATATTCATCCTATGATGCCATTTTTGAGATGATGCAGGATTCTCTAATTGCCAAATATTTAGTCGTACATTTTTTTAGTTTTAAAATTGCATTGTTTTATACCAAATTGAAAAATATGATCTAGTTCATAATTTAGTCATTATGGTGTGTTTATGTGGGTGTTTTTACGCCCTTGGTGTGCTGCTGTAGATGCTTTTTCAATATAATTATTTATGCAATGTTTTAATGCATGTTTGGGATAATGATAGTGTTATAAGATAATGCCTTTACAGGTGCTCTATAAAAGAACATATCTCAATACAAAGCTGCCTTTTCAATATGACAAAGTGATATTTTAGTACTTTGATATAAAATAAATATCTCTAATTCTCTATTGATCAATGATAGCATTCTTTTTGCTATCGTTTCTTATATTAAGCATATTACTTCATATCATCGTATGAATCCTTTTATAAAAGGTTTTGGAAATTCTATTGTTCCTGCTTCAGTTGTAAGCTTTAATATTACATACATAATATGTGCAAACTTTCCTAGGTGTAATGTACCTTTATAAAAATATGCCAAATTTTAGATTAAGTATTTCAAGTGATGACTATTGAACTGTGTTGTAACCAAAGCAATAATATTGTTAAATATACATATTTATAAACATTTGTATACATAATTATATACATAATCAATTCTTAGACCTTAATATATTGATGTAAATTAAATGTCTAATTTTTGTTTTCAATAATTATCTATGTTTGGATAATTAACAGTTGAATATAAAAACTAAAATAATTTGTTCTTTTAAACATAACTTGTCATATTTTACGCAAGGCACTTAAGTTTCCTCCTCTAAGGTCACAAAAGAAGTCTAGTTTGCTGTTTCGAACAATAGAATTTGTTAAGAAAAATTAAGCTGTATATTTAAGATCCTATAGAATACTAATAAATCGAACATCACAATAATCTGTGACAGTGAAATATTTAAATATGTAGTGTAATTTTTGTAGTTTTAGATAAATGACAAATATAAAAATATTTACATGACATGTTTTATATTTGAACAAAAGTAATATTTTAAAATACACCAAATATAAATGAAACCCCAAAGATAAATAATAATTATTGTGTAATTGGCTAAGAAATTAATGTTATTATAAATGTACTCTATTTTTCGATTGTGCCACTTTGATTTTATATACTGGTTGTATTTAGAATTGTGTAATGTTTATATCTAGGATTAGGCAATAATCATATTTTAATATATTTATTATATTTAATTATTAGATGTTTAACTGCATGACTTGTTTATAGATTTAGGAATACTTAGTAATGAGCCAAATGAGAAAATTTACACAAAAATCTACAAGACTGACAATAATATTCAGAGTAGATATTAACTTGTGCACAAAAGCCTATCATAATATTATTTATTGATATACTGCAACTTAGTAACTATTAAAAAAATTTAAATGCACCTTGTTATAAACTCAACATGACAATTAGAATAAGAACAGTTTAATGAAACTATTTTATAGAAATATGTAATAATTTGTCGATTTTATTAAAGAGTTGTTTGTTGCAAGATCTCTTTTATTTTCAACTACAGAGGTAATTTTCCCTTTGTTCTAGGTTGCACTAGTGATGTCTGCAAGGTTGCGTAGTCTTAATCCATATGAATTGCATAAGTATCTAGTTAATATATATTGTCTGAATCAGAAGGGGTCTACAGAACTATTAAAACGCGATACCGCTAAAGATCGTACTGATTTGGATGTGATAAGAGGAAACCACAAATTTCTTTGGGATGAAGACGATGTTGCCGACACCTGGGAGAAGCAATTGGCTAAGAAATATTATGATAAACTCTTTAAGGAGTACTGTATTTGTGACCTAACTCGATATAAAGAAAACAAAGTAAGTTTTAGAATTAAGTAGGTCGTTTATGCAGTGTTTAGATTAGTAATTCCTAAAATAGCCTAATAGGTGCCTACTAGCTATGGTATCGAGCAAGGAAACGTAATCTAATGCGAGACTAAGAAACGTTAACATTTAAAACTAGTAAATTAAAAATTTGGTATTATAATTTATGCACTTAATTCTCCCCAGCTTAAGAGGCTCAGATGGGGACGATCCCCTGTGTAACTCAATTGCCTTTTTTGCCCTAGAGACCTTCCTTTGTGTGATATACTGGGGAGCGCAACAATGACTATACTGCCTTTCTGTAAACTAAATATAGCGTACGGCGTGCACCCGCGTGCGACCCAACGTTGCTCACGGGAGGCGCACATCTGCTCGGCTAGTTATTGAGGGAAAACGATAGATTGTATTATTATGATTCAACTCCAACAACTTATCTACATTATACCTACATAATTGTTATAGATACTTACAGAGAGTAATATTTACTGTCTGTGCAATTACAATATATTCAAATTTCTTATAGCTATCTAAGACTAGAGTATGGATTATCAAATTAATTGCGTGAATCAGAAAATATAAATTCTCTAGGTTGTATTATTCATGCTTTTTGTTTAACGACTGTTAAAAATAGAAATTCAGGAAGTTTAGGAATTTCATATTACTGCATACTAAGGTATACCTACCAAATTCCTAAAGTAAAATTTTGGACAACCTAAATAAAAAATGTATTAATAAAAAAAAAACGCATATTTGTTAATATCATCATGATCATCATCTCAGCCATTATCTGTTTACTGCTGAACATAGGCCTATTACAGAAACTGTTTTTTTTATTAAAAAACAAAATTGGTAATAAAATTCAAATAGTTACGTAACTAGTAGGTACTTAGCTTTTACAGAGAGACTTAAACTCCTATTTGCCTACACAGTTATAGTTGTTAAATTAACAAGTTATTGAGTAATAACAGAAACATTTGGTTCGTTGGAAGTTGAAGCAATAGACACCTAATTTAAAGATGAATCAGTCAATTTAGGAATACTGATTTTTTTAATGATACTTAGAATAGTAAACAAGCTGAAGGGAACCTGAAGGGAAGTGGTATCCATCACCCATTGACGTGAACAACACCACGGTCCTCGCTGAATACACTGTGTTGACCCCTTATTCGTTATTATTTCTGAGGACGAAGATGTTATGTCTCCATATCTACCCAGCAATTTCACTATCATATTCGACCTTTCAATCTGAAACAGTCATGTAAGCACATCTACTTCACGATAGAAACATGGATGGGTCAGAAGTATTCATGCAGGTGTCTTGTACAAAGCCTCCCCCTGATAAATTGCAATATTTTGTTTTATATCAAAAAGAAAATATTGCGAATTTCTAATAGAACTTAAGAAAAGACGATTGACATAGGTTGCTCTTCGATGGCGTGTGGAGAAAGAAGTGGTCCTTGGAAAGGGACAGTTTCAATGCGGCAGCAAGCACTGCAACAATGTTGACAATCTCAAGTCGTGGGAAGTTAATTTTGCTTATTTGGAAAATAGAATGAAGAAAAATGCACTGGTGAAACTTCGTAAGTTTTCTTTTTAATGGAGAGTAATGGAAAGTTAACTCTGTCTGCGCTATTGGGTTAATACTGGCGGGTAACGGTGAGGGATAATAGATAAAAATAAAATAAAATCAGTTGGCCTGTCGTGACGATATCTAATAATTTTTAGAAGAAACTACGTAAAGGTCGACATAAAATAACAATAATATACTAAATTTATATACTATACTAACACCTATACTAATTTTATATTATAATAATAGTTATAAAGTATGTTAGACACGGTATATTTTATGTAGATATACAGACAAATATATACTTGGCTATATTTGTAAGTTTCGCGCACACAAACACAAACGCGCAAAGTTTTTTTTTAATGGATGATAATGGAATGGTTACCCCGCCTGCGCTATCGGTATACACGGGTGGGACACCAGTGAGGTATGATAGGTGAAGATGAAGCAGGTCAGCTAACACATCGTGACAAATTCAATAATAAATCAATCATGATGGTTTCCAGGGGAAACCGCGTGTAGGTCAACCTGATTTATTGCTAGTAATATACCCAATCAGGTCGACCTCCTCGCGGTTCTCCCTGGAAACTATCATGGTTAATTCCTGAGGAATTCATCATGATGGGCTAACTGACCTGTTTTCATTCTCATCTATCACCCTTCACTGGTGCTCCGCCAGCGTATCCCGTTAGCGCAGTTGGGGTTACCATACCATTTTAACCCACCAAAAAAATAATAATAATGAAGTGTAACGTGCTTCGTAAGTTATTTATAGTGAATCTACCTAATTATTATTAAAAAAAATAACAGTGAATTCATTTTGCAAAATAATATACACAAATTTCTAATAATTGATTGTAATAGCTGAAACCCTCGTATGAACATTCCAACTATGTAACTAAATTATACTTTTTAACCCCCGAAGCAAAGAGGTATGTTATAAGTTTGACGTGAAGTGTGTCTGTCTGTGGCATTGTAGTTCCTAAAGAATGAATCGATTATAATGCGGTTTCGTTTAGAAATTGACGAGATCAAGCGTTTCAAGGTGAAATCGTGGGTTACTTAAAATTTTTTATTTTATATTACATTTCACTTGTACAGTGATGATATACTTTACACATGTCTTTGGTAGGTTTATGTCCAGAATGTTCTGATAAACTGAACTACAAATCACAGAAACGGGAAATAAAAAGATTAAAAAAAGCACATAAGAAAAAGAAGAAAAGTAAAGATAGAAATAAATCTGATAGTGACGAAAGTGGAGAAGAGCCTCATACACCTACCGTTGAACCTTCAGATGAACCATCTACATCCCAGGATACTAAGGATGCCACAACCAGTAGTGAAGATTCTTTGTGGAAAAAAGGTCAGTCTTTCTTCCACTAAAATTTCTATTCTACTAAATTTATAAATTTAAATGTTTGAGCGATTAAGTGGCTAAACGAATTTTAATGAATTTTTTTATACAGGTAATCCGTATGCTAGAGTAATACATATTTTATATATTAATTAATGCGAGCAAAGCTACGGGTATACTACATTATATATTTATTTTATATTTTATATATCATAAAGACAACTTTTATTATTTCAGCACCCCAAGACATTGAAGAAAAATCTAGAGAAGAAGAATTTGAAGATTATTTAGAAGATTTATTATTGTAAGAATAAAACAATAAATATGTGATTACTAATCTGTTTATTGGATCTTATTACATGGAATAGCTATTCATACAAAAATGTAAACTCACGTAAACAATTATTTTGTATCTATACACACTAAGAGCTATAAAGCATACATTAGAATATATCAGTCCTTTCCATACACGAATTACACTACTTGAGATTTCATAATTTGTATACAAAGTATATGTACACAATTATTTCAAGTAATCATTGTTTATACAATAAATGAGACGCGTTATGGCAGAACAAATAACAAATAGATATAAACTCAAAAGCAGCCTTAAATCTGACAAATATTACAAAATGAATACTTATTACAAAATCAACTGGACTGACAAATAAAATCTCAAAACAACAAAATAACACATTAATAGAATTATTATATGTATGTACAAAGTGCATTCATATCATACATAATAACAATAATTAGTAAATGTTTATTATTATTCGGTACAACTAATCACAATGTTGGAATCGTTTATTACATTCGTTTATTCGCTCATTAGAGTGAATATAGCCTCTAAACATTGATTACAATGAAAAGCATGTCGCAGTCTCAATAGGTAAGTATACCTATGATAACAAGCGCACCACCGTCCATTTGCTAACGAGAAACTAAATACATATCACATGTTTAACCTAAATATTTCAATTATTCAAACACAACGCTTTATAGCAACCCTGTTCACTTAAAATAAAGGAAGCTTATGATTTGAAATACTGCATCTATATCGTATTAGCATATTGCAATACAAAAATATTTTAAATATCGCTCATGAAAACATTAAAACAATAAGGAAAAGGACAGGAAATATAAGTATCATTTCCTAAGCATACAAAATAAAATGGTAAAGAATTATATATACTTAATAATGTACCTAATATATTCATTGACGCAATTTTCTAGAATCAGGACTTAAATAATTTTTAAGGCAAGGAACGCTAATATTGTTAAGGTTAACAAGACAAAGACTACTTATGTATAACTAATAGCAGAGTTCTTGGTTCTTGGTTCCTTTACACTATAATTACAAAATTTTAACAATATCTATAGATCAAAGAGTAAAGATAGTAATTTTATTGATTGTTCCATTATATCAGCAATAATTAAAAGATGAATCTTATTTTTATACGTGTAGAAAACATAATGTCCAATTCCCGCGCCCGCTGAAATACCACACATGGTATTTTATTCTATCGGTCACGAGAAATGAACAAATAGATTTTTACACCTATAAAAAATAATCTTTATTTATGCCATTAGGGGTATATGTTACAGTTAGTATTATTGGAAATATATACTGAACTGATTTATTCTGATCAGATTGATATAAATAGTTACATTAATGCTGTAGACCGAGAATAACATCACCTTTGAAGTGTTTCGCTTGTTTATTCAAAACATAATACCGCCTATTGACTTAAATACTAATAACCATTATGACTAATTATTTAAGAAAATTAATAAATTCTTATTTCAAAATTGGAATAATTTTATATTTTTATCAGCAAATGACTACAAATATCAGATATCTATTTTTTAATTTCATCCAGGAACCTCACAGTGATTAATATGTTTTTACCATTTATTGTATTTTAAACGAGCTAATAAATCACAGAATTGACTTTCGACTAATGTTTATATACATCTCAGGCGATTTTTGTGCGTACAGCTCAGTTTATTTACTTTGTGCAGACTTGTTAACTTCTTCATCATCGGAACAATCTTCGTCGTGGGTGTGTGTGAGTTGGCGGGGTGTCTCGGGCCGCACATGTGGCACAGATACCAGGATCTGGAAGGTGATTTTAATTAGCGGTACGACCTAAACGAAACACTATATTGTTTCATACCACCAATCAATACTTAACAGAAGTCGCGAATTTAAATTCTTAAAATCCTTAAAACTTAATCACACAATAATTATTGGAATATTATTTTTATATCACATTTTAATAATATTTCCATTTTAAAAAGGGTTGAATCACAATTAAAAAAAAATACAAAATTCTCTCTCTGCATCCACTTCATTACTGAAGGTCGTGGTGCTTGAAAGGTGTCTGTTGTAAAAATATTATTGACTGTTTTGCAATAAAAAATACTATATTGCCCCAGTTAGAATTTTCGACTGTAACTTATATCACACATAATACATTTTTAACGGAGTATTACAAAATTAATCCTACCTAAGTGAGAAAGCTTTCGAATAATAAATAGAACACTTACATAGCATAACCCACACGCTAATGTTTTTTTTTTTTATAAAAAAAAAAGACAGCGTTATGTGGGCACTCCGAGTAAACAATTAAGGTAAGTATACCTTATTATCAACAGTCTCTGGTGCAACTGTGGCGACATCTTCGGACGTATCTTCTGTTATGCTGACGCTGGCGACGCTGTACGCCCGCTGTGCACTTGGGTGTCTTGATCTACAATAAAATATTAACAACAAAATAAACAAAAAAATCTACAGTAAAATACAAGGAGATTGTTAGTGGGCTCATTTAATGAAAAGGGACAAAAATACTGCATCAAAGGACCATTTAACAAATTATATAAAAACCTGATACAGCTAATATGGTTACTGAGTCTGAGACAATTTATAGAAATTTCATTACCCGACCGAAAATCGATTCCAGAGTCTCATTTAGACAAAGTAACATATTTAATAGTCATTAAACAAATTTTTAAGAAGTTCAAAAGCTCTGAATGTACCTGTCAATGGTGGGCGCGTCAAGCGTGAACCGCTGCTCATGAGCGACAGTGGACTCGTGGGGCATCAGCATCGCCGGCGCGCGGAACATGTAGCAGAACGGGTAGTACATCAGGTTCAAGAAGGATGCCGCGTACAGATCCGCATACCTCACCACCTAGTAAAATGCCACACGATCGATAGGACTGTCTTAGACAGGTTGTACGCTTAGACACATGGGAATATATACATGAGTAAAAAAACATAAGTTGACCAAATTAGATTTAACTAGTGATTCGACCCGGCTTCGCACGGGTAGAAAGAATTTTCGAAAATAATTTATAGCCTATGTTACTCGCTGATAAGGTAGCTTTCTATAGGTGAAAGAATTTTAAAATAAGTTTAGTAGTTTTTGACTTTATCCATTATTCGTACAACAACAAATATTTCCACTTTATAATAGGTATTAGTATTTATATATTTACCAGAGGGAGACTTTGTACATAAGTTGATTTCTTGGGTACCTCTGTCCCATTCGTGTTTCTACCGTGAAGCAGTTGTGTTTGCATGACTGTGTTTCGGTTTGAAGGGTGGGATATGGCGTGAATTTACAGGGTACAGAGGAATAACACCTGAATCCTCAGGAATGGCAACACATGGGGGGTATCATGGGCGAAACAGTATACTCTGTTATGTCCATGATACTGATCATGTCTATAGGCGACGGTTACCACTTTCCATCAGGTGGGCCGTCAGCTTGTTTGTCATTCTAAGTTGTATAAAAAAAAAAAAGTTTACATCATTTTAGAAACTTTCGTCTGATTCATAATATAGATATTCATCATCATCATCATTTCAGCCATTATATATCTATTTATCTATAATTATTGGTCCACTGCTGGACATTATAGATATTAATTACTCTTTATTTGTCAGTGTATTTTTCTTAGGGTCTGTTGTGATTTTATCAGAACTTTGTGGAATTGATAGGTGGATCGACTACTTAGTATCATTGATAACTGTTAGTTCCAGTATATTCCCATAATTAAAGGTTGTCCCACAAAAACCGACTTCAATTGTGACAAAATTAGCTATTTTGATTTAAAAAAATAAACTGCTGAACCGATTTTGATAAAATTCTATGGGACCAATCTGTAAGTATACCTATATCCTTTCTTATAAAAAAGAATTTTCCAACTCGGTTTAGAACTGACGGACTTATGAGGTAACAAACATAATAAAATACAATCGAATTGAGAAACTCCATTGTGAAATCAGTTTAAAATTTTGAAAAATAATAGATATAAAATATATTATTATAAAATAATAAAAAATATTAGTATTACAATAAGGCCAGGGTACCTGTGATGAGAAGAACGTCTGCCTAGACCCAGAACGGAACAACGAGCCAAGCATGCCGTACGCGAGATCCATCTTGTGAGTCACGTCACGTATCGCCATGCGCAGCTTCGATATGTCCGGCTTCTCTTTAGTACTCGAATCGAGATCCCTATAAGGAAAAAATTAAAACATTAATTTAATTTAATAATTATAATATAGGAAAATAACAATGCGACGAATTAGCAACAAAATTTCGCCGCCTTTTAGTGAATATCGATATTGAAACTACAATGTCATTCAGGATGTGTGCGATATAAAATTGATATTTTGGCTACGTGTAAATTTTACTGTATTAATTAATTCAATTATGTATTGCAATTTTATGAAAGATATAATACATTATGTATGCAACTTCGCCCATTAATAATTGCTGCATTATTATGCAATGCAAAAAAAAAAAAAATTTTTACATCACTGTATTTAAGCTTAAAACTTAGTAAACCTTATAATTGATACTTGTACGGTGTCATTATACTATTATCATTATTATTAAAATAAAATAAATCTTAGAATAAAAGATCTTGCTGATAAAAAATGTACCCCAGTTTCTTGTTTCTTCATTTACTCTACTTTTATATTATTTAGATACTCTCATAAATTATTCTCAAATTCAATTTAGTCAATTTATTCACAAAAAAAAAAAACGCCGCCTTTAATGGTATTTCGATTTCAAAACCAAATTACTGAACCGATTTTGAAATAATAAATAAAATTTCTATGCAACCAATGTAAAAGATAAAAACCTTTCAGATAAAAACATAATTTTCCAATTTGGTTTAAAAAAGTTGAGGTGTAACAAGCAACTGAATTGAGAACTTCTTACTTTTATTAAGTCAATTGAAAATTACTAACTATTTATATAATTACTTACTTGTACATATCTCCTAATTGTACATCTAGGTTTTGTAGTTGCGCAAATAGTTGACACTTGTCCGTCCAAACGTGCAGTTCCTGCACTAACTCGGGTACTATTAAGAATGTACGCCAACCACCGATCTTCTTCGACTTTAAGATGTCGCCGAAAATATGGTCGCCTATATACAGCACGTCTTTGCCTTTGGCGCCAATCAATTCGGTGAAAACGTCGCAGGAACCTATAAATTTTATGAGATACTTAAAGTAACACATTTTTTTTTACAACACAGGAGGCAAATGAGCATGCGGCTCACCTGATGGTAAGTGACTACCGCCGCCCATGGTCACCTACAACATCTACGGCATTGCAGGTGTGCTGCCGACCTTTTAAAAAGGAATATGCTCTTTTCTTGAAGGTTATGTTGTCACATATACCATTAATCAAATAAATTTTATGTTATAAAAACACTGAAATATCATCATTAAATAATCAAAATATTAGAGAACTATAACAAACGTGAACATTGTTCCTAAAGAAAAAAGTGGTTATAAAAGGATAATTTTTTTTGTTATTGTCCATGTTTCGTTTAATAGTTTGATTGGTAATTTGACTTCTAATTTTCCTTCAGTGTTAAGAGATCCCTCTAAAGATAAATCCGCCATTGTATATTAAATCTTTTAAATGAACTAATAAAAAGTCAGTAATGGTGTCTAGAGACTCCGTTGCTAGTGCAATATGGGGCATATTGCAAGGCAATTTGCCTGGAAACCATCGTAGTTAATTCTTCAAGAATTTGTCACGATGGGCAAACTGACTGATATGTCCTCTAATTTAAAAAATATATAAGGGGTGTTTCACACGACACCACAGTGCTGCACGTGTGACGTATTTATGATTATTTGTTGTTTACATAATTATAAAACCGTCATCGCGCTACTCGGCGGCGTGTTATTTCTCGCCGCACGCGATGTGACGCCATGTCCAACGTGTTAAGGAACTAAACGGAAGTTTTTCATAAAAACAAACAAATGACAGATACTATAAGGGTTTCTTTTTAATATTTTGATAACTATTATATATTGTAATTTTTTAAATATTTGTACTCTAGTATTACTTAAGTCATTAAAATTGTTTATTTTATTTCACACTGCATAATTATGTTAAAATAAATGCTGTGAATATTTTTGAAAGGCATGTGCATTAATATTGTATTGTATTTAATGTTTCTTTTATATTTTATAATGCAATATGCTGTTGGTGTTCTTATGAATAAATAAATAAATACTTTTATAACTAAAGAATAATCCTGAATTGAAAAACTATATTTCGCTTAGTATTCGTAGGAACAACGAGCATGACTGTAGCGGGCGCCTATTTATTGACTTCGTAATCTGATATTGTTATCAAAGGTCAAGAGAGTAAAATGTTATTATATTACAACTATAAATAGAACAATGGTATTTTCCTCATGTTACAATATACAAATACAAACAAAAGCAATCACCAAGGTGGTATAGGGTGTTGCAGTCATATTTTACTTTTACGACCGATACATAAAAAACATATATTTTAATTGGCCAGTTTAAAAGAAACAAACTTTATTATGAGGCCATACAAATAACATCGGAATCGAGATATTGGATTTTCAAATTCTACAAATATGTTGTCAGAATAGGAGCCTAATCAAATACAAGTAGATATCAGCTGTAAATAGAAGCAGGCTTATTTTTTAATTTTATATGTGGATATATTGCGTTCACTTATAGCATTTAGATATTGACCCAAATGATGGCGACAGTAGGGTTGTCCCTCAAGCTCTATGTATTTCTTAACATGCTTACTGTTGTCAAAGTTTATTATATAAAACTTGTCTCTTGATTACATGTAGTACGATTACCAACTACGATATGCAGCATAAGATCACTCCTATTCCTGATATTTTGACGTGCTTTGATGAGATATTGTAGAATTTTTAAATATCAGTTTTAATGGCTTACAGCAATACTTACTATCATAAAGGTAAAAATCAACAATGATGATTAAAGACATTACTTTGTTCTTGCATTATAAAGCAATTTGTTTCTACAATAATCTAACTTGAATAAATTTACTTCTATTTACAATAGCATTTGAAATATTAAAAAATTAAATATATATTTTTTATTATGTAATGAATCTATTAATTACAAAATATTTATACGATGTTAAAAAATATATTGCAAAAACTTTGTAAAATTGCTCAGAAGCGACTAAGGTAACGTACAGACAACAGGCGTCAAACCCAAGTTATACAGAGTACTAATCTAAACAAATCTAACTTCATTTATCTAGAGAGAAAAGGGATTATTAATAATGGAGATTAGCAACCCTATTGCTAGCAATATACCCTATCAGGTCGACCTCCTCGCGGTTCCCCCTGGAAACTATCATGGTTGATTCATTTGTGAATTTGTCACGATAGACGAACTGACCTGCTTCATCTTTACCTATCACCCCTCACAGGTGCTCCGCCAGTGTATATCGATGACACGGGCGGGGATAACCATTCCATTATCATCCATTTAAAAAAAAAAACTTCATTTAGCTCACTTAATTAGCACGTAACCAATTATGTGGCTAACATATGCAAGTTATCTGTGTTCACATTGAAAACCAACTTTATAGTAAGGTAGTAACGAAACACTAGACAGAGTGATACGCCTGACACCACCCTTCAACCTCGTGCAAAGAGCATTGCTTAGTAAAGCTGACATCGTCGCTTTACCTAGCTCATAGTAATCCAATTAATAGGCTTAGCTCTGTGTGGCTTAGGCTTTAGTGCGCTTTAATCACAAGTGTTATGGAATTTTTCCTATGTAGTCATAAGTGTTTACTTGCTGAAGCGTTTTCGATACGTGTTATCATGGGAATATCTAAAACTATAATAATATACATGTGAACTAATCCTAACGCGTGTTTGACAAGGTTATGCGATCTGTACAAAGTCTATAAATCCCTCTGTCTGTAGTTAATCCTAAAAAAAAAACATTTATAAAAAATGTTCATTTCCAACTTATTTGTAGTGCCTGCCAGTTAACAATATATTGAAATAATATAAAACTCGATATCTACTTTTGTCCGTTTGTCCATTAAGTTCCTCTAAACCATGCAACGGGTTTTGATACGGGTTTCATTGACATTTTGGTATTTTTTTTTATGTAAAAAGTACAATAAATCCCAACTTATCAAGTTAGGTTGACACCTTCGTAGTATAAAAAAAAACTTGTATAAATGATAAATTCAATATTAAACTTTAGTTGTGCAAAGACAAGGCGTATCGCTAGTATTAAGAAGAATTGATGTCATACTCAGAATTTTTGATAACACCCACGCGATGTTTATCAAAACCCCACGGGAGGCTAATCGCAAATGTAGTCACTAGCAATCTTGACATGTTGAAGATCAAAACAATTCGTTTAAAAATAAAACAAATAATAGATCTACAATATAATAAATATACACAAAAATATTTTTATTGTAAAGATTTGTTTATTTTATATTCTGTTATTTCAATTTAAGGCATATGTCAAGGTTGTTTATTAGACACGTCAAATACATATGGGAAAAAAAATATGGAGACAATTTTTTATGTAACTTAGAATGGCAAACATACTGACGGCTCACCTGACGGAAAGTGGTAACCGTCGCCTATAGACGTAAGCAGTACCATGAACGTAACAAAGTATACTGTTTCGGCCATGGTACCCCCCCCCCTTCCCTTCACATGTGTTGCCTGAGGACTAAGGTGTTATGCCTTTGTATCCTGTAAATTTACTATCATATCGCAACCTTTAAACCGAAACACAACCATGCAAACATAACTGCTTCACAGTTAAACACGAATGGGACAGAGGTACCCAAGCAAACACCTTTTATATATAATATATAAAATGCCCGCCGTTCTTTATAGAATATTATGTATAACAGTGATCGCAACAAATACAATCCACCTTGACACCCTTCAAGATAAGGTTGAACGTTTGGTTAGACCACTTAAGATTACATTACGCCGTAATTATGTGACAATATCAGTTAGATGAAAATGTTACGCTAAGCAATAGAGGTGGGTATATATATATATATATATATATATATATATATATATATATATATATATATACAACTTAGAATGACAAACAAGCTGACGGCCCACCTGATGGAAAGTGGTAACCGTCGCCTATAGACATGAGCAGTACCATGAACATAACAGAGTATGCTGTTACGCCCATGATACCTCCCTGCGTTATCATTCCTGAGGACTCAGATGTTATTCCTCTGTACCCGGTAAATTCACGCCATATCCCACCCTTCAAACCGAAACACAGCCATGCAAACACAACTGCTTTACGATTGAAACAAACGACTTTTGTACAAAGTCTCCCTCTGGTGGTCCAGATGGAAGTTTTGCCAGTAGTTGCCACGATCGGTAAGCGGATTGGCAACCGTAGTTCAGCTTTGGTGATGTTTCAAAAGGGGTCCATTTATTTATTATTTAATAATATTGACTAATCATTGGTTGATGCCTAATGTTAGAAATCGTTTAAAATACTTAATGTTTAAGAACAAACCTCCAGAATACACCAATTTTTCATGCAGCGGGCCGACATGGTGGCCCATTTTGAGAGCCCCCGTGCGAGTGTCCACCTGCCGCAAGGTGGTACCCTCTCCGAAGAACAACGGCTTCTTGGCATCCACCACGATCCAGTCGAAGTACGTCTTCCAATTCCTGTGCGGTTCGCCTGGCTGCAATAAAAAAAAAATCTCTCAAATGTGAATCGAACTCGGGCATGAATGAGGGTTCATGCAAAGAATTTTTTTGTTCTGCTTGAAAATTCGCCATGATGTATGGAATACTATAATCAAATGAGATGTAATATGTATGTATGATATGTTGACATATAAAATGGATGGTTCAACTATATCCCCATATTTTATAGTTTAGTCGCCTAATATTGCTGAAATACAGAAGCATTTTGATAGAGTCTAGAATGAGATGCAAGGCGATCTTTGTAGTTTTCATTGTACCTCACACCTACATTTTTTCAAAAATCATTAAAATTTTAAATTTAACTTACTTTTGCGCCATGTGGAAAATCAAACAAGTAATTCATGATTTTATCAGTGAAGTTGTAATCGCTGTTAGTCAATATGAACAGTTTGGCCCCACTTTCCGTAATTCTTGATAAGAACGTCGGCAGCCTCTCGTCTTTCTTCAAGTATAAAGGCAAATTTTCAATTGTTTTCTTTTTTAAATCTCCGTGTATATGAACGTAGTCCACTGCACTTCGGACATCTTGGAAGATAGATTTGAATGACATCGCTAAATCACCACATCTCACACCGGTCTTTTCTCTGAAATACAAATATAATTATACAAAATTATTGTATATATTTTATTAAATTAGGAATTATTTTGTAAAAGTCCATATCACTGGGTTTTGGATTAGTTGAAACAGAATAATTTTAAATAATTAACCAGTGACAAATGGTTGTTTTCATCCGCGACAAAAAAAGAGATAATATCGTCACCTCTATGGCAAATTTACGAATCTGCAGTTTTTTCAAATTTGACATTTCTTTAAAAATCTACATTTTGCGTCATACTACTTATTGTGGCTTATTTTCAAATTTCTATCTCTAACAGTTAAAGAAATCGGGTAGCTCGAATCTCCATATTTTTGTGATATACCCAAAGTGAACTTACTTAGCATATTTTTATAATATTTTCTATAATAAACACTTTAATTTGAAAATTTCAATAATAATTTTATCAATTTTTCAATCCTAATTTACATGAATGATTGCTATAACGTTGTTATTTAAACTGAATTTTTCTTAAAAACACGTGATTTATACCTTGGTATATTTACGAAAGTGGCACTTTCGTTAGTTTGCCAGATATTAAAATAAATTATTTTCTTTGGCAACTTAGGAGGCCACTTTCGTAGATTTGCTGTTGTATAACTCAATACCTAGGAACTCTTATGTATGAAGGTGCAAAGTAACGAATATGCATTTATTTCTGATACTTGTATGGTAATATAATAATAATTAATTAAGAGGATTCAATAAAAAACCGGATTTTGAAACTAAAATGTTAGCATGATCTTTTACAGTAGTCTTCTGTCAAAAGTTATTTGCATTCTAATGTTTCAAAACGTTCCCCTGTAAAATGTATCTTTTTCAGTTTCGTAAGTTTACCATAAAGGTGACAATATAATACACGGTGTGAGCTTTTTGAAAAATAAGTTTACAAAGTAGCTCACAACCGGATGAATAGATTTGGATGCTGTTTAATTTGAATGATAATCGAGATAATTCGAAACAGAACAATACCCATTATAATTTATAACTTGGTACTTCTAAAATTATAAAGCGTGACCTCAATCCCAATATATCTACGAGTAATGTATGAGTAACGGCTACCTATGTTTCTTGCAACTTAGTGGCAAACTAACAACAGTAACAAAACATAGATTTTGTTGTACATATATAGTTAAATGACTCTGTACAAAATAGGTAACTAAGTCACCAAACAAAGAGCCAATGACCTAGTGCCGTTACGTGTTTCATAAATAGTAGGCTGCTACATAATTTTAGAAGGAAACAACAAGTTGCCTAATAATAATTTGTTTTTCATCATAAAATACAGTAATTCCCCCTATAACACGGTACTCTTACAACGCGTTTTCATATTACGCAATTTCAATCCCTCGTATAACATGGGTACTCCCTCATATAACACGGAAACATTCAATTAAAACAAAGAACGTTATTTCAGATAGCTTCGACAGCGAATAAACATGTAATAAAAATGTTAATATATTTGAAATTAAAAGTTTTTTAGTTACATATGCATAAGTTTTTTATTTTAAATGTTCTTAATTTGATTTTAATAAAACACACATATTTCGTTCATAACATAGGTTTTTCTTAATATTTGATTTAAACCCCTTTTAACGAGAAAAGTGAATCATTTGTACATAACGCGTTAATAACACACGAGAATATTCCTACAACGCGTTTTCCTATAACGCGGAAAGAATCTACTGTGTTATAGAGGGGATTACCGTATTATTTACATTATTATATACACTAATACATTTTTTTTAATACAAATACATTTAATAAAAAAAATGTTATTAGTAAAAACATAAATAGTCAAAGTTTATGTGATGGCTACACAACTATATGTAACATGATGAGTATAAAGAATAAAAAGCGTTAATAGTACAAGTAAACAAGGTAAGTAATGGTAGGCACAAGTACAATAGAACGAAACTAACACTTACCTGGTATACTGCGGCGAATTTGTGAAGAAATCTATTAAACATGCTATTAAATATGTTTCAGGCAAGTTGAACAGTGTGTTCAGTACATAAACCCTTGACTCGTCTAGCGTTAAGAACTTATTTGGATACAATTCGTATACTTGTGAACTGAAAAAAAAAAAAGAAATATAAAATTATTCTTAATACAAAATTTATTTATAGATAAAGATTAATTCAAAGGTTATTCACACATCTAGTCAGAGTCCGTTTGATAAAGGACAGATCAGAACAAAGTCTGTGGACATGTCCACGGTCGATCTTTTGATACCATTAGTCAATAAATATCAAAATATACGTAAGTAGGTTAGGTACCTACGTTTCAATATTGACCAACTTGCGTGTAAAAAAGTATTAAATGTAAGAATCGCGTGCATTATTAATAATCGAGATACTCGAGATTTCATTTTATATGAACCAGTGTTTGGACAGAGCCTTAATACGAATAAATAATACTTACTGTTTTAGAAATTCAAATCCGTGCACACACACTAAAATATTACCATAAGCGTCTACTTTTAGTAAGTTGCCATATAACGTGTCGAACCACAGACCTCTGGAATAGAAAATGTAAAATTAGTAAATAATAATTTGCCGGTTTAGAATTTGTATTCAAACATTATGATTTTAATAATTAATAATATTCATACACCAATTTGCAATGTCAAGTTGTAAATGAATAATTAGTAAGTAGTAAATATAAGGAAATGAAAGATTTAACAAGTTATTAATTACTTACCTTACTGGAAAAGAAGGGTCATATTCAAATTCCAATATTTCACTTGGATATCCCTTATATACTAATCTTTCTTTGGTTAAATTAAAACCTAAAGTCTCATACTGTGGCGATTTATATTCTGTAATAAAAAAAAAACACTTATTTTAAAAGAGATGACAAAATATTGTATAGCAAGGATATAACGTAAAAATAAAATGTTATACATATAATTATATAATTAAAAATATCACATACCAGCCAATGTGTAGTCCATATCAAATCCGTAGAACTTAACATTTTCTAGATGCAACGATCTATTTACAAATATTCTGTAACAAAAATAAAAGTGCTATTTATATTACCGTTAGTTTTTCGACCGTTGAGTAATTTGGTGAACAAATTAATCAAATTCAATTTGTTTGTTCTTTAAATTGGGCGAGATTAAGTGGCTTGTTTCGTATAAGTAAATAGGAAAATACATAAGTATACACATGTATTTATTTATACACTTTCGTAATTACTTTCAATAAACAATTTTTTTGCAACTGGGAATGACTAATAAACGAACATCTGATGGAAAATGGTAAACATTACTCATAGACATGAAGAGCACCAAGGACGTCACAAAATATACTGTGGTACGTCAAATCCTCTATACCTCTACGTCATTTTTCAGGATTAAGATTTCTTCTTACCCTGTAATTTCATTATCATATGGCCACTTTTCAAACCAAAACACAACCATACAAAAATTTTTGTTAGCCATTTGGTAGAAATACGCATAGGACAGAGATACCCATGAAGACGATTAAAATACAAAGAGATTGGGGGGAGAAGGGATTGTATAGGGATGAGTAACCCCATTGCTAGCAATATACACTGTCAGGTCGACCTCCTCGTAGTTCCCCCTGGAAACCATCGTGATTGGTTTATTGTTAAATTCGTCACGGTGGGCTAACTGACCTGCCTTTTCATTCTCACCTATCATCCCTCACTGGTACCCTACCAGCGTATACCGATGGCGCAGGCGAGGTTACCATTCTATTAACATCCATTAAAAAAAATACAAAGAGAAAAACCATAAATTTATGAAATAAATATAGATAAACTTGAAAACATTTCTTATACATGGCGACATACGACATAACAGTATCTATCGATTATTTTCACAAAAGGTCTACTACAGAGGCCTCTTTGCTTTTGAGGATATTTTAAGCTGTTGACCGCAAACTGTAAATGAGGAAATGCCCCGGTGGAGATTGATGAGATAAGGAGTAATATATTAGCAGCTTGCGATCCCTCTATTGTAAGAAGTCACGTAAAACTGAGAGCGTTACGTAGTAATTGATTATAAAGATTACAAAAATTTTACTTGATTGTATTAATATCTTTAATGAATTAAGTTAATTTCGACTTCACACATACATTCATAAAAGAAAAAGCGGCCACGGCTAGTATTACATATCTCCACTTGTATAATCACAATAAGAAATCATAAATTTCATACAACATCCATTTGTGACCTAATTTAGTTTTTTTTAATGGGTGAAAATGGAATGTTAAACCCGTCTGCGCTATCGCTATATACACTGACGTGACACCAGTGAAAGACGACAGAGGTGAAAATGAAAGCAGATCAGTTAGCCCATTTGATGAATGAATTTATGAATTTAACAAGAATTAATTATGATGGTTTCAAGGGAGAACCGCGTGAAGATGTAATGGGTTTGTTAAATCCTATTACTAACATTCCCTTCCCTCTCCCCAAATTTAGGTTAGATTTATAGTGAAACTTAAAAATTATAAACATAAATTCCAAGATAGTGTCAGGTTTATAGTTATGGTATGTCAAACGAAGCGTAATTATTTCTAGTACCTAGAACTTAAAGTACCTAGAAGTTTATAAGTCAAAACTTTCAGATTATACAGAAAAAAAATTATAGGGAAGGAAACTGTTCCTATTTTATGATAATGGATGATTATAAGTAACGAAAAAATGTCTAATTAAAAAACTCAGGGAATATATTTGATTCGGGAAAATATTCCGTTGCGTTGAAAAGTCGCTTTTGAAAAAGTTTGCTTTACTACGAAGAAGTCCATATTTTTTTAAGTTATAGCATTTTAATGAAGATTCCTTCGCTCTTCCTGTAAAATTTCATTAAGATAGAACTTATGTTGCAGTCTTTACTCAAATGGAACCAAAAATCGTGACGCAAATAATCGAAACAAATAAATATAGTACCTTTCTATTTATGGAAAGTCATAACAGTCGTTGCCAACTGACAACTGTGTTACATACGTCATAAATGTTGTAATTAATGATGCATTTCTAAATTAAACACAAAATTGTTTTTAAGAATTCTTGACTAACGTGTATTGGATTAAGAACACAATTTAAAATGTGAGATCTAAATATCAATTATATCGAATTTTATAGTAAATTTCATAAAAAGATATTTCGATTTTTAGATACCTACTATCGTTTAACATATCTAATAATATTTTATTTCCCTTATATACAGTACAATATACTCAGATTATAGGTAGTCAGAATATACTGTACTGTATTTAAAAACACAATAGGTACCAAATTAACATGTTAGAATTCACAGATTTTTACATTGTCAATATCATATAAACAATATTTAAATCGATATATAACAAAGCATCATCATAAATAAAAAAAAAAACACATGATTAACGAAAATTAGTAATGATACAATGCAAAAAAGATGCTTTTCATAAAATAAGAAAAATTTTAAATTGTGTCTTTAAAATTTAAATAATACATATTTATTTTCACTATCCATTTTTCAATATTATAATTACTTGATTTCAATTAATTTTTTATTTCAACTTTATAAAAAAGAAGTCCTACCAGTTTTGAGTTCCAGAGAAAAGAGGAACGCTTAGAAGGCCTTACATTATAGGATAAAAGTAATTACGATAAACCAAGTATTTGCTTGTAGGCCTAAGAACAAATGGTATGACATTTAGATATAAATTTCACAAGAATGAAATAATATCAGCCCTGTTTCAAGTCAAATTCCTGTAACAAACAATGCAGGCGCCTGCACAAAATATTTGACAAAACTAAGTACACCGGCGGAACTGCTGAGCAAACTATTAGTTATACAGCAAAGTTGATTAGGAGAGGAAATTTATTAGATAAGTATCTCTTTAGTGTCAAACTACAAACTATATTAATAAGAACTCAACATTAATAAGAACTAGTAAAGTAGTTAATGACTTTCTAAATCCACTACACATTATGTTTTACACTCTTGTGTAAGACACTCTTGAGACTCTTGTCTCAAGTCACATGTATCTTTAAAAGACATTTTTTTGTTGCAATTTGTTAAGTGTACGTAATGTAGTGTTTTATTGATCAAAATTTTAAATAAAGGTACTAAATAACTATAAGTCGGAATTTTATTAAACGACTTTAAGGCAAAACTTTTGTATAATGACTTAATTAGCTGTAAATTTTCCAAATACATGTGAGGAATAAATAATAAATATTTACCCTTGCATTCTGTCAATACACATCCTATTCTAACCAAACCTTGTATCAATCCGTAGGCTATCTTTGAGACGCCATCGTTTCCAGAACGTACAATATACAGTGAGTATCTTGGCATATAAAGTAAAATTAGACGACATTGAAAATCAAAGCGTCAGGTGATAGTCCAGATTTAAACATTAGCGCCGATCTTGGTGGGTGTTATGTCCAGATTAATAAATAATCAAATAACATAGCGCGTCGCGCGAACGCAACACACTTTCAGCTCCCACATCCGATATCCAACTAGATTACATTCCAAGAACTACTGTACAAATATTTTAGCATGTACGTACCATGTCAGTAACAAAGATACTATTATTTAGTAATGATTCATTAGCAATTCCTGGCATTTTGTTTAGCAATTGAAACAAAATATTTCTTTTTATTACTTTTGTATTATCAACTAAATGTCGATGAAAGAGAAATAAGTTCTGTTCTCGGTTGTTTTCACCATCTGCACGGTTAGTTTCTATATACAGAGTGAAATAAAATGTCATTACCTTCCATTTATGGCAGTGTTATACAAATGAAACCGAACATTTTTTTAAAGAAACATTAATAGAAAATGCAATGGTAAATTGAACGTCGTGTTAGTATGGAATGATCAAAATGTTTGTCGTTTTACGACCCATATTTCATTAGGAAACATTTTTAGATTTACTGGTAGAATACTCCCTTAAACGAATGCTAACAGTTTCGACTTCACCCTGTATAGTTTATAGAGTGATAGACTAATATTATATTGTTGAGAAATGCATCTAATGCGTAAGCATAATCTATCCGGAACGTTTACGTTTTCGTTAAGCCTGAGCAGCATTATTTACATTCTTAAATGGAGAATTCTAACCGATTCTAATAACAACAAAAACAACTATGTGTGATGCGTAATAAATACAAACAAAAATTTAAACTTTAGTTGTTTATCAAATAAGTACATTATTAGGTAATATTTATTGTGTTTTCACGGATTTGAAAATTTCACAATACATTGAACACTAAAGAAGTATAATCAAACTGCAAATATATAATTGTATACAAACGTTGTATTAATTATCACTCGCATCACGACTTGGTCAATTCCATACATACTGACTCCGATATTCAAATATTGTATTGTATCGCTAAACTAATATATTCAAGGATGTAGCCATAACTTACTCGTTCGGCGCAGCCGAGTGTCGGTCTCCTGTTCCATATGCGGATCCGATAACGTTGAATGTCTCCGCAGTTCCATTCGCCATGTTGGCCAGAAGTTTCATTTCAAATGTCCTCACTTACACTGTTAATTTGTTAATCGACTTCCGCCAGACTAAGTTCACTTCACAACTAGACGTCAGTTAAACAACCCACGCATAAGAATTTTAATGAGGCTTAAGCAATTCTCGGTATAGATATGTCTTTATTTCACCACTAAGTAAACAAATATACATGTTAAATATAGATTCCGTGTTGATCTAAACGATACTGTTTGATTGCACCACAGCCGTGGTAGTGAAACGCAGGAAGTGTTTGAGTGGGTATCCTTGACAGTAACAAGGTCAATAAGACCGGTTTGCTAACACACAGATTCTGCTATAGTGATGATATCTCGTATTAACTATGCATGTTGCCTAGCAGGAATCTAGGTGATACAAATATAATTACATACTTTCTAAATAGAACTAGGATTGTCTTGTCATCAGTTTGTACACCTATGTCACGTGAAAACCACGATGTTATTTTCAATACTGTGTAAATAAAACTAGTTATGTAAATTATCTTCGACTAACAGAAGCTGGATATCATACATACATGGTTACATAATGCGTGTTACATATACTAAGATATAACTACAACGTCATTAAAGAATATAAGTAGTAAGTTTTGCAATATAAATAAATTAGTTGTATCAGTCAATTCTACAGAATAACTCAAAAATTATAGAAGTTACATCTACTGTAAACTAATATTATAAAGAGGGTTTCTTTTTTTGTTTAGAATGGATAAGCTCGATAAATACTTAACCGATTTTTAGAATACGCTTATAGAAAACTACATTATAACGGTTACATGGGTGTTTTATTAAAAAAAAAAAAAAAACTTATTATCTACTTGTCTTTCTTTGCAGGCAGGCCATTAGTTATTATATATGGAAATAAAATCAATTTGTGCACAATTTCATATTACACAGCTATTGCGCTCAAGCTGTAGTTATTTTATATGCATTCGTTGTTAAATATCAAAATGATTTCAGAGTAGCGTGATTTTTATAAAGGAGCTTGTATTACTTAAGTCATGTCATTTTGTAAAATACTGTCAGATTTACGATTATTGTGCTTACAATTTGACTTTTTCAGCAGTGTGATGCCCGTCTATTTTAGGGTTTACTTATAAGATCCCTAACAGTCAAGGTATTCTTACTTAAAAGATATATTAATTGATAAACAAACGATGACGTGATTGTTTTATAAGACATTAGTAATAATAAAGCAAAGGTGAATATAATTATCATGTTCTGTTATCAGTCAAATTTTCAGTAATCTATGACACAGGCCCTAAAATACTGATAGGTACGTACCAGAGTCAATTATTTATATGTATCTACGTTAGTTCTATAGAAATAGAATATTTGGCGTATAAATATTGCTGAATTTACAATATGCTTGTTTCCTTTCAACTGACTTTAAAAATAAGAGGTTCTCAATTTGTTATTATATTTTTTTACATTAGTTACCTCTTTAACTGCGTCAGTTATAAAACGAGTTGAAAAATTTTTTGTTATCTGAAAGGATATCAAATATATTCAGTGGTATAGTGTAATCAAAATAACCTCCTTTTAGATTTCGCCTCAACATTGCGTCATTGTTGTAAGTTATTTTTTAAATTCCATCATTCTAGTGTTATTAGCAACTCAGTTTCTTGAAATTTTATAATAGATACTACATTTGAATCTCTATAGCGGCTTATAACTTTATGCATCTGTAAACAACTATAGTAATATTATAAGTGTAAAAGTTTGTGAAGAGTTGCAAATAGGCAAAGCCGCATGTTACAGTTAGTGGAATTCTAAATTCAATTTTTTAAACTATTTCCCAGCTTGTATCCCTCCCTATTTGCTTTCTACTAGCAATATCTGCAACTTCACTCATGTTTGTACAAACAAATTTATTTACTTAGGAATGTTCTTAGATCTACATAGGTACGTATTTTTATAAACATGTCCAAGTTCTTTTTAAAACGAATTATTTTTCAATCAAATGATATTTTGATGTTTTATTCTCTTTACAAGGTATTCTATTTTGACGAAGTAGGTAGGTATTACGCATAATAAAATTCTACCAACAGGTAAATAATATATAGTAATGCAACGTAGTAATGCAAACAACTGCGCCATTTTGGTGACACACTACCTAGGTATAATGTAAATATAAACATTGTCTATATTGATACGTTTCATGCTCTATAGATAGGTATATATATATATATATATATATATATATATATATATATATATATATATATATATATATATATATATATATTACAATAAATTTGAGTAGGTACAGTTTCTACTTAGTGGTGTGACTCCAGTGAGGTTCGGTGAGGATCGAAATGATGCACAGCGCATGGGGGAGAGGCTGCCAGGAAATCGGTCAATCGATTTAATTCACTACATCTATTCTATAAAGTAAGTACCCAACTTATCTAATAAATAAAAATATCACACCTATTTACAACATTTCAGTTAGCTAAATATTATTAGTGATAGTAAACATTTCTTTATAGTTGTTAAATATAAGATAATAAGTTTCATTTTCAATAATCTATAGGTACCTATACTTATTGAAGAAACTTTTTCAGCAGGCGAATAACTAATAAGATTATACCTAATCTAAACGCAGAATAATGATGATTGAATACAACAATAAATACAGACAAAGAAAATAATATGATCTAAGTTCCACAAAAGTACCTACATAATAAAATTGCAATGTTATAAATTGTGTATAAAAAGTATATACCTAGGACTTATAACTATGTTAAAAGTGTGTGCTCCAATAAATAATTAACACTAAAGCATTTAAGAGTATCCACTGATCAACATTATGGTATAGCAAATATGCAAAAATACCTACATAACTTCATACTCAGTCTAACAAACATTATACCAGATTATAATAGACAAAATATTTTACGAATCGCAAATTATCAAAAGGCACCAGTTAACATTAGGTATATCACGATTTTATTACTGTCAAAGAGACCCAATAATCGCAAATCATTATACCTATCTTTGTTAAGACAAAACTTTACACAATTAAACACCGTATGTTTGAACAGCGTTCGATGTTTCACGTCCTAAAGGTGGATATTATGAGTAAAAACTAATATGATGACGACACTATGCGAATACACACTGTAGACCGTCACAATTGATATCGAGATCGCAGTGATAAGCAGATTATAATCAAGCGAGTTATCTAGAGCGGCGTGTGTATCGGCCACGGCGCGACGGCGGGGGCGATCACGTATACTGACGTTTTGTCGGTGTAGCAATGGGCTTTAGGCAACAGTACAGTACCACTTCCCCCGCGGCCGCCTGCTCTACCAAACAGCTGATTCATTGGACGAGTACAGTAATTGGGCGGCTCTCATTCATTCTCAGTTTCGCGCTTGCACGATATGGGTTTAATACATCATCAAAGAGACATTGACATCTTAATGTATAAAAATCCCGTGTCATGACATTCGTTCACGCTAATCTCCAAAATTGCTCAACCGATTTTAATGGAATTTTGTAAACATATATTACTCGAAAATCAGGATAGTTTTTGTATAATTTTGATGGTAAGTGGTGATAGGGGGACAAAACAACTTCTGTAATTAATTGACTCCTCTTCCCCCGAATTGAATACAATTTCTCTAGAATACACATGACTGCAACCTAAGCTCTATAAATTCCCATGCTTTTGTAACATCTCTCTATAAAAATAATATTCTTGTCTCAATCTTTTACATTACATTTATCTTGAAGTTTGGAACTTACTACCTCAATAACATTCGATTGCTCCCTACTAAATACATATATGTTTAAAATATATAAAGTTTGTCTAAAATACGATGCGTTTGCAAGTTCTAAACTCGCACCATAAATAAACATGAAACCACATCACCATTAGGAAGACAACCATAAAACAGGACGTAATATCAAAACAAATCAGCTCAAATGACTCTGGGCTGGACGCACTGGACTGGGCATACAATGCGTAAAGAATGAAATTGGAGCAAATCGTAACTAGTTGATATATAGAAAAAGGACGAAATAAGGAATTATTCAAATAACAAAAAATTCTGAATCCAATATAGAAAAGAACGGAAAAGGTTAGAGGAAGCCTTCACTAACAAGTAAACAGATGATAAGTATAATATACAAGTTGTCAACTTGTATAAATAAAAATAATATTCTGAATTAGGCCAACAAATAAATAAATTATATGTCTGAGAATGTATACATTTTCAACCGACTTAAAAAAGAAGGAGGTTCTTAATTCGTTTATATTTTATATGTTTGTTACTTCATAATTTCGTCAGTTATAAACCGATTTCAAATTGTTTTTATATCTAAAAAGATATACAGATTGGTCCCATAGAAATCAAATACTGGTTATTCCATAATTAAAGTTTTTTTTTTTTTTGTGAAACAGTTATTTAATTATTATTAACCCCCTTATTCATAAAAAATTAAAACTTTCTACAAACTTATTTTAACAATTACAGTGCCACTTTCTTTACAAAATGACAAAATAGCACAAAGGGAACAAAACGGTTCAATAAGTAAAACAGGTTTATGAGACGTTTGACGCTTTTATAAATAAAAAGGTAACTAAACACACATATATGAAATAATGTACAAGTAGTAGCATTTAAATCTCGACTTGCGGTTATAGTGTTTTTCGTCCAAAGCCTTAAGTGGCTACAATGTTATTATATTTACATTTCACGCAAAAAAAGTCCGCATCAGTCTCTCATTAACGTCTTACTTTAATAAACTATCACCATTCCATTTTTATATAGATACTAGCTGTTTTACGCGACATCGCCCTGTAGTAGTATATAAAATGTCCTATGTTCTAAGTTAGGATAGACCTATCCTTGTACCAAATTCCATTGAGATCCGTTTTTGCCTGAAACTGTAACAAACATCTATCTATACAAATTTCAGCATTTACAATAGTAGTAAGATTTTAAAATAAAAAAGCTGAGGTCGTGATTGTCAGAACTCATGAAGTGTGAACTAAATGAACACTCATGCGAGATAACCGTGAACTGTCTTCCTTTAGAGTCTATATTATTTAGATAAGTAAAGTAAACACAGAGCATTGTAAGTGAAAAATTCCTATTTATTTAAGTTTCATTTCGTCCTAGAAACAGATATGGGTGAAGACTGTAATTTTTTTTTTATTGTTTAATAAGTGAAATAATAGTGACTAAAACTTTTCAATAGCATACAAATATAATACTTAACTGAAGAAATGAGGACAGTGATTGGTTTATAGGCGAAGGTTACTACATTTTATCTATACTAATGTCATAAAGAGGAAAGATTTGATTGTTTGTTTGTAACGGGCTACATTATCAACGAGTAACAAAGGTCATATATTAATTTAGAAACTTCTAACTATTAGTGCAAAAGCCGGGGCAGATTGCTAGTTAGTTATGACGTAGATACTATAAAAATAGTTTCAGAAGTGCCTATAAATTATATAGATAAATAATAAATATGTCCAGGGATATACCTAAAGCCTAAATAGGTTCGAGTCTAAACTAAATCTAGTGTTGTTACTTTCGACTTATCAGTTAAAGTATTATAAACTACATTCATAAAAACGTCAAACCTCTCATAAACCTTGTGCACGACGCACCTTTTTAGTTTCGTTTTTAATTTTATTAAAAAGAAGTTTTTGTTTGTGATTTGAAGTTAATGTTAGATCAGTTTTCTTTTCATTCGCTTTTTCGCTTCTCTGGTTTGCTTTGTATATTTTTTTATAATTATATTATCTTTCTAAAGACACTGTGTTTCCATACCAGCATACAGTCTTTGCGCCCACAAACCTATTTTAGCTATTGAACTGTTTTGACCCTTTCTTTTGTGCTAAAATCTCAGTTTAAATTAAAATGACAAATCAATAATAAAAATATCAAAGATTTTAGATTTTATGAATAAGTAGGTAGATCTTTAAGATCCTATAAAAATGCGGGTGATTTTAAACTGTAAAGAAAAAAATTAAGTAATCGAGCTTTTTTAACGCGGGCACTACCACTTTACATTATCTATATCCTGTACTAGTGACTCGATCCGACTTCGCACGGGTAGATAGGCAAATTTTTTTTGTGTGTGTTCATAATTTTTAAAATTGGACTATACTACTCGCTAGCTTTCTGTAGTTGAATTTGAATCTTGCTTAAGTATTTTTTTAGTTTATTTATAACGAATAAAAATAAAAATCTTGTTTATAACAATAATTCAGACGTCATAAGAAAATGAGCGTACAGCATAATAATAATAATGTGTAATTTATGTTTGATAACTAATTTGTATGGAAATCTTTCAGCCGAATACTGGAACCATTCTGATCACGGAAAACTTTTAAAAATTTATTGCGAATATGTTGACGTAATCACTTTAGGAATTTAAAATCTTTTACGTTACTCACATGTCCTTGGTAACAGCTAAGGTATATATTGATAAGTGTAGTATAAAAATATGACGCAATGACCTACAAGTACTATAAATAAATAAATTGCCATGTGATTGCGGCATAAAGTGAACCACCCCTTTCTGTCCCGTGGGTGTCATAAGAGGCGACTAAGGGAACTTATAGCCGAGGGATAGGCAGCAGCGTCCCTCTCTAAACATCACCAAATCCTAACTGCGGTTGCAAACCCGCGTGTCATGCGTGCATAATAATAACTATAAATAAATAAACAATAAACACATCTGAACATATTACACAGAGTCATCTAGTCTCAAACAATGAGTACCAAAAAACTACTACTTAAATACTATTTTGATATAAATAAATATTTATTAGCCAAAAAGACACCCAGATCAATACAAACATATATAATCATGAACATAAATGTTCGTATTGTGTCGAACCTGCGACCATCGGTATGTAAGACAATGTGAATGAGTGTTAACCACCAAGGTTGTCAATAAACTAGAACCGTATTCTTTATATTATGCCAGTGCACTAGAATAGTATTATATTGTCTATGCTACGTATAATAATAACTGACCAAGTAACAAACAGTATTGATTGAGGATAATAATTCTAGTAGATAGAATTCCGATTAAAAATTAATCAGCTTTTTTATTCTACTATAAATGTCAATTTGCAGAGATGTTTAAATGTTTGAATTTGATTCAAATTTTATACACAGGCAGATCATATTATTCTGGATGTTTACCGCATGAAATAGGATAAAAAGTACCCCATCTAAAGGCAAAAACTTGGATTGCCTGAAAAGCAATGCGTAACAAATGCATCAGGTCACACGGTCATAAATAAAACAAAAAACAATTATTGCACTGGACAATCAGCACTCCACGTCTTACCTTTGATATCCACTGAGAGGTAGATACCTAGGTATGTCTAATTTCTAAATAAAATAAAACCAATATGTACTTATACTATCGTGTGTGACGCACTCTAATACCAAGAGTTTTCAGGTCACCTCGTTGTACACGAACAAAATATCTTTTCAATTGCTTATAAATACAAAAATAAACTTTCAATATTATAAAATCACATTAGTGTTAACCATAGAATGTAATCAACATTCATGGCAGGTAAATAACATACCTGTGTCCAAGATCTCTCTTATCAAACCACGTACTATGCATAGTAGTGAGCGACTCAGCAAAACTATCTAATTCAACTTCGCTTCTATCGCTCCTTGCTAATGGTTTATCTATACCAGCTATTGATTTGTCAGGTATTTCTACGGCTTCATTACCAGCAAGAAATGTTACTACAGGTCGTTTTTTCTTTGATGACGAGTTCGCGCGTGCGCGTATATCTTGAGGATTAACCGATGGTGACAATGGATATGCGCTTTCAAATCCGTCAGGCATTATTGATAACACTTAACCGCTCAGTACAAATACAAAACCTCGACTAAATATGTAATACAATTGTTTATTACACTGAGCTAGCAAAACAAGCATTGATTACGTGATGACCCTAGTGACGATAACTTTTGACTGGCCAATGACCACGTCGTTGTATGATGTAAACATTTCATGTCATATAAACATTTCTATTATTACTCTTCATACTGGTCTATCTTTGCATTTAAGCAGGTTTATACCACAACATTTGGTATAAATCTTCAGCAGGTATAGTAATTACCTAAACCTAATCATTACCTAATTGGGTTTACTTAATAATAGGTAGCAGCCGAAATTCAAACATAATTATAAATTTAAAAGTGCTCTTAGAACAAAAATCACTGAAATGAATTTCAATACTATAAAAAAAAAAGAAATTATAATTCAAAAGCAAAATATTGAGTGGGTAGTGGCAGATTTATGTGCAATTTATTCAATAACTAATGTTTTTATTCACTTATCGCTCACTTTACTATGTTAATAAACTGGTAGGTATAAAATATCTATTATCTAGGACACAAAGTAAATAATCAGTTACGAAACTAAAAGCTTTTTTATCATGTCGAAAAAGGTAGGTAGGTAATAGTTAGTAGTTAAGTAGGTAGGTCCGAAAGTTTAAGTAATGTATTAATGTAAATTAATATTATCTATAAGAAGGAAAGATGATTAATTTTTTGTTTGTTACAATTTAACTCAAAAACTACTCAACCAATTTTACTGAAAGCTACATCTGCTCGGTGTAACTTAGGCTATTTTATATTTTTTGAAAAGAACCCATGCAAAGCCGGGGCCAGTTGTTAGTGTTAGATAAACCTTAATACATACTTATGTCAGATTTTTTAAAGTTTCTTAAAAAATGGTATTGATTTTAAAAATAAATCTAGGATAATATAAAAGCAGTAGTACTTGTTATACTACAATTATTGTTATTACATTCTTATTATTTAATTATTGATACTCTAATAAAAAATATAATTTGTAAGTTTATTTTCATTCTTATACTAGCTTTCGCCCGCGGCTTCGCCCGCGTAGATCTTGGTTATCGCAATATGCAATTTTTGGAAATAGTTATATTTTAATTTCGCCATAAATTCAAAACAAAACGTCCAATTTTAATCATTCAAAGACCAAATATTATCTACATAAACTGTACTTAGTGATGAAATAATTTATTTTGATAAGGATTAATAGCATGAGTAAAATAAATATGTTTAAATGTAGTCCAAAAAAATTCAAGATTTTTAAATAAAAACATGATTGTTGTGCCTCACTCGACATAGTTAGGTATAGTGTGTCGCGGATATTTATAAAATCTACAATTAATTAGAACATTTTATGGTTCTATCTTTTATAGTTTAGACAGTGTACGCAAAATAAGTAACTTTTCTGGTTGATTTTTTACACCTTGTGTCCGAAAAACCCAAATATTTTACAGAACCCTATTTTTTTCCAAAATAAAATGTTGCCTATGTTACTCGTGGATAATGTGACTTTCGAATGGTGAAAGAATTTTTAAAAACTGTCCAGTAGTTTTTGAGCCTATTCATTACAACCAAACAAAGTTTTCCTCTTTATAATATTAGTGTAGATTATTACAGAAAGTGTATTCTTAAGAAATATATGACTCCCATGGGTACAACAACACTATATATAAGAATTTATATGTTTAATTTCTAACTCTCATACATACTTATAATTTGTAGCTAATACTGAAAGAAACGTAACAAGTACTGCCTATAGACATAAGCAGTATCATGGACATAACACAGTATACTGTTTCGCCTATGATACCCCTCATGCTTTACTATTTCTGAAGAGTAAGGTGTTATGCCTCTGTATCCTATAAATTCAATGGCATATCACACCCAAACTAAAACAGTCATGCAAACATAGCTGCTTCATGGCTAAAAAAGAAAGACAGAAGTACTTAAGCAAATGACTTTTGAACTAAGTTTCCCTCTGGTAGTACTTTTTTCACAATATATAAAAATAAAATAACACAATGATAACATCCATTTCACATTTATTCAAAGGGATTTAATTTGATCCTGATTTAACTGTATCAAAATTGAGCCTGTATTGTTTCACAAATATTGGGCTTACCTGTGCTCCACACGTCGATAATACTTTTTAGATAAATTCGAGTTGTCCTTAGTTGATAAACAATCCTTCATCTCCATTATTTTGTTGATTTTGTGTATCTTGTCCTTGGTAAAAGTGAAATTCACACTAAAATGCCTTATGTTTATCTTCTTTCTAACAGCAATGCCAGACAGCCTAATCATACACTAACAGAATGCTTCACAGTGGTTGTACCTTAAAGAAACAGAAAAACAATTTTATATCACTATTCACACAATTTACATAAAACTGTTAGTAAGAATTTAAATCTAGTAAATACACAAGGCTTTTTATCTTATCTAATAAATTTACACATCTTAAAAGAGCCAACCATTAACTTTAGACATGAAAATTACAAATATAGGTAATTTTAGGGGGGACCAAGTAGGCCATACCCATTCTAGAATTGTAGGGTGGACACACCAGGATCTGAGCAGAGCTTTCAGCTATGCACAAAGACAAATGAGCAACAAGACATATGCATCGTTTTAAGGAGCCAGACTCCCCCAAAAATAATCTTAAATATACTAGTGAGCACAGAATACACAGTAACATCCATTGTACTCCTCTTGTGTAGCCATTTCTAAAGACTTTTCTAAAGTATTTTCCTACAACGTACTTATGTATAGTTATATATAATGCACTATAAATAAATAGAGAACTGAAGTTTTACACAAACAAATTTTGGACAGTGGATACCCTCATTTTGCTTTGTATATCTTAGTTTTAATCACTGGATAGTCACAGAGCAGGTTCAGAATATAATGTTTCTGAATTGTTAGTACTTAGTAATAATAGTCGTAGTAGGTACAATATACATATATATATAAGAGAAAATAGCGCATATGTTACATAATTTTCCAATATATGATTTTTTCGTGTTAAATACCTGTCTAGTTAAAATAAAATTTTAACAACGTCTACGTTGCAAAAAAATCTATAAATTAACAATATTCGACTTTAAATAACATACCAAGAATCCGTTATTAACAACAAATATATCCAACAAATTGTAATAATATTCACTCTTTCAGATCTTTCACATTCATGAGTATTAAGCTACAGGACAAACAAATTTTATTAATTTCAAGTTAAAAATATCAATCAACACATGAATGAAATTATTTATACCTAGACAAATCGAACAATTCAGCAATATCTGAGTACGGCTTGATTGTCATTTGACGTTACAGTGACAGTTGTGCAGTGACAACTTGACATACGAAGTTTAAAGATAAAAAATAATAACTAATAGCGTATATAGACCGGATTTAACCATGTACCTATTGCCTTTTGTAATAATGGTTGTACTACACTATGAAGATTAATTGATTTTATTGTAGTGATACTACTAAGTGGTTGTATAGATTTATTTTCAAATTTTATTAATAGGTGGATAATGGCTGAAATGATGATGGACAGCGCCGATTCTCAAATAATGCAGTGATTATTTATTTTTACACTGTGGGTAATTCCACAGTTCCAGTTTCTTTGGTTGATATTGTTAGAACTGCGACCATACAAATAGATTAATGATCATTCAAATATAAATACATAAATAACTAATCTGTACAGCCAAAAATGAAAATAAATTAATTTTATTGGTTTATCTTGTTATTTTTCAAATACATTTCGCATTATAGATTTCAGTTGATTTCTTTAACATACTAATTAACAAGTGCTAATCATAAATATCTAGTATAAAGTATTACATGTTAAGTAAATAGGTTTTGTGATGGCTTACACAGAAAAAGTGTCACTCAGTGGCACCGCGCTTTCATTTTTATTGTACGAATGTGTAAATTCTGTAAATAGTCAGGTAATTATAACAAACCCCAATTAATATTTTTGATTTGGTTTTATTTATATTAATATGTTACAATATATTTTCAGGAAGGATTTCTCATAGGAGATGTCTCATCAGAAATAACCAATCACATATCAGATTCACAAAGTGATAACGCTAGACTCGATACGCAGATAGTGATAAGGACTGTATTACCATTGCCTACTGTTTCGTTGTTTTATTTCCCTACAGGCAGAATAAGAGAGGATGTTCTTGCAGGCTTGCTCTCTAATACAGCCAGTGAAGTTGTTGGCTGGTATAAGTACAGAAAAAATACCAATATCAAGCCTACATTCAGGGATAAATTAATATCAAAGGGACTTCAAAAATACTTTGAAAAATATCATGGAAAAAAAACATTTGTCACTTGTAATTTATCAAATAAATGTTCATCTTCTGGATCCACACACATGTTTACCTATAGATTTGGGAAAATAAATTGTTATGATATGTATGAGTACATTGAAGATGTAACTGCAAATTTAGGTGAAAAACTAACTGGATACAAAAAAGCACATAAACTACCTCCACAGAGTGTTTTTAATAAAATTGTAAAAGACAGTAATGTACAAGCCAATGCTTCAACTGATGCCATATTGCGTATTCAAGAAGCTGTTGATGTCCGACTTATAAAAGAAGCTAAAATTGCAGCAAAAAATGAATGTACTATCAGAGAATTAGAAGCAGAAATAAAGCAAATGAGTACCATATTAGCTGAAAAACAAGCCTCAGATTTGCAAGCTGCTTATGACAAAATAAATGCAGAGAAATTTAAAGTCAACCAAATTGAATTAGCTGAAGCCTGCATTGAAGCATTGAAAACCCCTCCAGATGTTGATATTTTGAATATCCCAAACATTTTAATGAATAGCAACCATATAACAAATAATGAAATTCATAGCCAATTTGAGAATGACATTGTAGATAGAAGTCCAAGCCCTGTATTAATGTCAGCAAACTCAACAAAACCATTATTGAATTATGCTGCAGCTTTGAAACATAATAAAGAGACACCTTCAACTAGTGTAAGTATATCATTTAACATCACTATTAATTAATAAATATAGATGTAATTATTGCTGTGTTCAGTTTACCTGTTGTTCTTTCTCATAATCATTTTCATTTACTTGTTTATTTCTATTTCATGCATATTATTATTGTGTTATATTATTTTACAGAAACAGAACAACTTCAATGATGATTTAATAAGTTTTGATGTTGAAGACAAACATACGAAAAAAACATTAATTATCAATGACGATGTGAAATGCTTAGGAGACAGTTCACCTGAGTATTGACAAGTGCCTTATCAATTAAAATTAATAACCTGAATATGTTACCATATTAGTATTAGTAAACAGAAGTTTTCATAATATTACTCATTTCTCAATTTGTTACTAATACTCAAGTTCTGTATGAAATAATGTTGTTGCTGCTTAATATTTTTAATGTATATAAGTAATACAGTCTATTAATTTAATGCCAATATTAGGTTGCAAAAGTAATAATTTTCACAAAAAGTAATTCTTGATTTACAACTTTTGTAATTTTGTTTTAAGTTGAACAATGGAAAATTTATGGGTATGGATATTAATCTGTCACTGAGAATTATTGTCTTGTCAAGTTTATAATAGAATTTCTTATTTCAATATATTTATTGAACTGTGCTAATACATATATGGACAAAATATTTTAACTAAAACTATTATAAACATTAAAAGTACAGACTCTTCTAGAATACCTAGCCTAGTTTCTACTGAGCTTACACCAAATGAAAAAAAAATACAGTATTGAGCAAAAAACACAGTTCTGTATAAAACATAAATTTATCAAATCAATAATTCTGTAATTTTGTAACTATTATTAATATAATTATGTATGATAAACCCATAACTGCATGATATAAATAAAAAAATTCTTCATATTAGGGCATTCAAAAAATTATTATTGATACTTATTATGTCTGAGTGCATCATATCTAAATAGATTTTATTGAAAACTGTTGTGAAAATAATGAAAAAATACTTATGACTGTAAACCAACAAAGTGTAAACAAAGAAAATGTTGAATGTTATTGTAAAAAACATAATGTTCGTCTTACCCACATTTCTTTGACTTAGTAGAATCTAACATTAACATTATTATCAGTTAAATACATCAGGTTAACTATATATTACATTGACAGTATATATCACTAGCAGAAAATAGTATGAATTAAGAAACAAACAGATATGGCTTACAACTGAGTGTTGGAATAAAATTTAGTCTAACGATCCTTCAATATAATGAAACATACCCATTTTTTATACTTTGTTATTCTATAAAAGATTTGTAACTTGTCGCCACCATTGGGTATCTATAATTATATTGTTATGTTAAATGTTAAAACCATACTACTTTTTAGTATAAATATTATTTTTGTAATCATTATTTTTTATTTTTGTTTGTATACCAAACTTATTTTTTATTCACACACAGTTCTGTAGCACAATTTCAAATTTCTTTTTTTCCCCAATATAATATTATCTACTGTCGACAAATGCATAGTTTACGAGTCAAATAGTCCTATGTATTTATGGGTTTTCTCAGTTATTGTATGAACTATTTTTTTAAATCTAATTGTTGTCTATCAAATCTTAGTTTCTTAACTGGAATATTGTTTATTTAAGGATGTATAGTTCCTAAGTATACAGGACACGAGAGTGAATTCAATTTGTTTATAGTTTTTAAACTCACCTACATTCTCCCTATCAAATAAATCTCTCATAGTCAAAATGTAAAGTACTCATTTCACTATTCCATTCGATATTATGCAGTTTTCCACTAATTTGGGGATTTACATTTGAACGCAATTTTAGTGGTGACCAGATTCAAACCCATAACCATTGAATTCCTTCCAGTGCAAATAGTTAAAGCGTCCCTGAATCACAAAAATAAAGAATCCTTATTCTTATGGTAAGCATTATTACATAGACTCGATGTTTTACCACGTTTCGGAGTGATAAGAGATAATCATTTTTATATATTTGTATTTTTTGAAATAATTATGAAGATTGTTATATTTGTAATTATTAGTGTTAGGATTTTAATAATCTGCCAAAACTGTATAAATTAACTTATCTAATAGGTTAAAGCATTTTTTTTCTCATTTTGTATATCATGCTCACTGTAACATCATAAGTTGTAAACTTTCAAACATTAAAATCTTAGTAAGTACTTTATTTAGATTATAATGACAAAGATATAAAAAACGTGTATTATAAAATAATTACAAAATATTTTTGTAAATAAGGTAGCATTGAAATAAAAGAATATGATAAATCAAGTAATTTTATTTGAAAATAACATTACAAAATACATTACAATAAATTAATTTAATAAATTAATTAAATGAGATCATTACATAATAAACTTGCAGTCTAAAAATTTTACTTAAAATTTAGGCATTATAATATGGGCAGTTATTATAGAAGAAATAAGTTAGCGAGTCACACTCGCCGAATGTTTTAATGAGCAAATTGTATATTTTTGGCCACAAATCGTAAACTAATATCGCAGTCACAAAATTAGACGCAAACTGCTTCACTTCAGTAACTAACTAGCTTTACTAGTAACAGTCACTACATGTCTCATCTCCAATAAATAGGAAAATATGCTTGTATTTTTATGGATAGTTCTACGAGTGTAATAAAATTTATAATAACAAAAACAATTAAACGTAACAAAAATATATTAATAGTTCGAATAACATAGTGTAATAATACTTAAATTTCCTTAATACTCGATTGCACTAAATTTGCTAAAATACGATACGCAACTCTAAACTATAAGGGAATAATCATTTAGGATTCATATCCTATGTGTACCTAACATAAATATGCTTTTGGACTCGCTGAACTCAGGTACTTTAAGCTTTTATCCACTTCAGTTAATATTTCCAATGCCCGTACCACTCTACTCAGATTTATCTAACAAAAAAGTGGTCCTATGTTTATATGTTTATGTTAGAATGAAATAGAATTTATTTAACATAACAAAAATTGTGCTGTTTATATATTTGTGTTAAGTGATACGTTATTGCTTAACTACTACTTTTTACTAATATTATAAATGTGAAAGTGAGTTTGATTGTTTGTTACCTTATAACACTAAGGGCTTAACCAATCACTATGAAATTTGGTATACACGTAATATATAGAATAGAGAATATATAGACTACTTTTTATATCGGTCAGTAAACGTATCCTAGTCGTGCGGACGAAACTAACGGGTAAAAGCTAGAATAAAAATATAAAAATAATAAAATAATATAATAATAAAATAGATTTAGAATATATTAGTAGAGTTAACAATATTTTTAAGTTGTTTTTAAGTATTGCCAAGTTGAGTCCAGCGCTAGAGACACAGTGTACATATAAAACGGACATTTTAATTTTCAGGGTACCTCTTCTCATTTGTAAGAGCCAATGTAAAATGTAAAAGATTAGCTTCATTGCATCACAGTTCAGAGCAGATCGGCGGCGGCTCGCTGGTCGTCGAGCAGCTCGTGTATGGAGTGCGCCAGGCGGCGCGCCTGCTGCACGGCGGTAGGCGCCGGCACCAGCCCCACGTGCACGCAGATCAGCTCCTTCATGCTCACATCTTGGCTCTCATTCGGGAAAGCGAGCTCCACTACTTGCCTGTAAACATCATTATTCATTCTAACTTTGACCCTATCTATCTACAGATATAATAAAACGTATCTATACATACAATAGAATCGTAAACAAGCCGTGTCTATACATCAATTTTTTTTTTAAACTATAGATGTTGTTCTTATGTTATCAAGGCTAAAAAAATGGTTTTTAGAATTTTTGTTGGGTTGTCTGTGTAGTTATGCACGCTAGTCTCGGAAACTGTTTAACCTAATTGAATGCGACTTTCACTGACGTATCATGGTAAGCTTCCCGTAAGATTTAGAGTTTGTTTCATTGCAACTGATTCACAAACAAAAAAGTTAATTAAAATAATACGGGCTAATAGGGTCAACTGATCTGTCTTCACTCTCATTATTTATCCTCCACATTAGTGGAGGATAAATAATGAGGCTTCTGCTTTTACTATTTATTGTTTATGCATACATACACGCACGCACGCACGCACGTGTACCGTTCTATTGACATCGGCCGTACTGTCTACTGCTAAACATAGACTTCTCTCTTGGGAAGTTTCGGTAGTTGCCACGCGCAACCGCAATTTTTTTTTTATGGGTGAAAATGGTATTGTAACCCCGCCTGCGCTAACGGGATACGCTGGCGGAGCACCAATGAAGGGCTAGTTAGCCCGTCATGATAAATTCATCAGGAATTAACCATGATAGTTTCCAGGGAGAACCGCGAGGAGGTCGACCTGGTTGGGTATATTGTTAGCAATGGGATTCTCAGTCTTCATTACTAACAATCCCTTTCCCCCCGCGCATCCGCAATAATGCTTAGGTGATGTTTTACGAGGGATGCTGCTGCTTCTCCCTCAACTATATTCCCTTAGTCGCCTCTGACGACACGCATGGGAAAAGGAATGGCCTATTCTATATAGGAACCACACGGCCTATACACGGACCATACCGATCCATTAAAAAAATAGTAGTAGTTTCCATTCTGAATTATTATTGGTATTGACTAGAGTCAGAGTATCTTATTTTATTTTTCGCATATGGGGTCAGCTAAGCCGATGCACGTTGCCTCGTCGGTGTATACCAATAGCGCGGGCGGGGTTACCAATAAGATATCTGTAGTCCCCTGGTTCTGGATAAGCCTGTCCCCAATAGACTCATACGCATACTTGCCAACAAAACGCAGTTGCACATCAAGTGTTCCATGGATTGCGAAGAGTCAGAGTAAGGTACAACTGTCGAATATATTGAGATGCAAATGTTGTTGAATACGAGTAAGAATGTGGGCTGACCTGTAGAAGGCGCCGAGGATGTCGCCGGGCGGCGGCAGCGCGCGCACGGCGGCGGGGTGCGGCGCGCGCGCGGCGGCCGCGCCGGCGCCGCGCCGCTCCCACCACGTCACCGCGCACACGTGCAGCGCGCCGCGCCGCCACGTCGCCGCGCCGTAGCCCTCGTGCACCAGCGAGAACGTGCACGACACCAGCCGCTTCACCTGGTGCATTTTGTTTTTATAATGACTGATAATGGAATGGTAACCCCGCCGGCGCTAACGGTATACGCTGGTGAGGCACCAGTAAGGGATAATAGGTGAGAATGAAAAGGCAGGCCAGTTAGTCCATCGTGATGAGTACACCTGAAATACAGCACGATAGTTTCCAGGAGCACGTGGAGGTTGACCTGACAGGGTAAATTGCTAGCAATGAAACTGGTAGTCTGTATTACTAACAAGCAGTCCTCCAGTGAAATTCTCCCATGAAATCCAGTGATAATTTAAATGCAGTATGGATATTGTAAATAGACTATATAGGGTGAAGATAGCATCGCGTTGTCCTAAAAATAATTTAAAATTTATGTAAAAAAATTGTGAAAATTTGAAATTAACATCTTACCGTGTCTGGAGAGAGCATATCGACGCAGTCGGCCATGTCGGGCGCCAGGAAGCGGCCTGTGGTGCGGTCCACGTATATGAAGTGTATCAACCCGGGGAACTCCTCGACATATTTGTGCAGTGTTAGGGAACCACTGTCCTCTGACCCCGTGCACTCACCAACAACACACATTAAGCGAAATAATCGTACAAACTTGACAGATACGAGTAATTGGTCTCAGAAAAATATCTGCATTCACTTTATTTTATTATATTCATAAATTTCAATATTTAATAATAATTTCATTACCTTATCGAACAGGCGGTAGAAAATCTTTACTTATAATTACTATTGATTATAATCGTGAAAGTAAATTGGTTTGTTTGTTACCTCTTAGCGCTCTAAAGCCTTGACTAATCACTACGAAATTTGGAATACATACACGTACTACTCGTGATGGAGAACATAAGCTTTTTATCCCATTGATTTTAACTAACTAGTATTTTCATGTTTTGATATATTGTCGCTGGGTTTCTTGTTAGTATACTTAGACATATGTTTTTTGCCTTATATTAGACTTGTATAATATATTCTACAAATCTAATATAAATACGACCAAATAACACAAAATCGAAAAGGATATGATCCATGACTGAAGTATCGCATCGCTTTAACTTGAAGAAACTCCATATATGGAGCGATGATCCCTCTTATTTCTTTCAGAGGTGGCATAATTTTTATACTAGGTATGTCCGGTTTGAGCTGTTCAATAGCTGCCTCTAGGGCGGTGTGCATCGCAGTGGCTGTGGTCTCGGGGGTGAGCGGGGTGGTGGTTGTACACGACTTGCGTAGTTCCAGCATTCGTGACGTCAAACGAGCGCACAGGTTCGTGTTTGCTTTATTTTTTCGTAATGCATCTGTTGTCTGAAATTATAAGAATTATATAACAAATGTTATGTTTACATATTAATTTTTCGACTTTGTGTGTGTGTCCGAAACGTGTGTGTGAGTGCGTAAATATGTGCGTGTATATATGTGTTAACGAAATGTACTTCTTCGTGTTGATTTTATACTAATTTTGTCCAAAATGAAAGCGAATTTTTGAAGCAAAATAAAATCTTAATAATTTACATAATCTTAATATCACAGTATAAATTATTAAGATTTTGTTTATCAGTAAATCAGATGTACCTAATTTTATGGTGAGAGACCTTTGACAAAAGTGAAAGGTTAATGGGTTACGTACGAGGTCTGTCCGGAAAGTTCGTATAAAAGTGTTCTGGAATGCGAGAAAGAGGAGTGGGGAGGCCAGGTAAGCGCAGGACCCCTTCCTTATGTCCCTAACAATGCTTCAGTTCTGGTCTGACCGCCGTGCGGTGCGAACTGGCTTGTCACGCCATCTGTGAAGTTACCTCTTAACGAAACCCCGTCGGCATGGAGCCCGCTTCCGTTGAAGAGCAGCGCGTCGTAATCAAGTTTCTCTCGAAACTCGGCAAGAATGGCCGTGAAATTTTTGCCGATCTCAGAACAATAAAATCCCAAAGCAAAGAGTGGAAGACATCCGGGGAACCACGAACAAAAAAATCAAGAAAATCCCGCTCAAATGTCAAGACAATGTTGATTGTTTTTTTCGATGTTCGGGGGATTGTCCATCAAGAATTCTTCCCTCCAGGCCAGACAGTTGATGGAAAATTCTACGTCGATGTGCTCAGACGCCTCAAAGCTCGTGTGGCACGAGTTCGTCCAGAATTGGCGCGAGAGGGGCGTTGGATTCTTCACCACGACAATGCCCCTGCCCACACCTCTCTTGTTGTCCGTGAGTTTTTGAGTAAAAATTCCATTACGGTGACCGAACACCCCCCTATTCGCCGGATTTGGCCCCGTGTGACTTCTTCTTGTTCCCAAAAACCAAATTGGTACTTCGGGGGCGGCATTTGGGGGACATAAATGAGATAAAAAAAGCTACGACGGGGCAGCTGAGAAACCTACAACCAGAGGACTTTCAAGGAGCCTTCTCACAGTGGAAACGGCGTTGGCACAAGTGCATTATGTCACAGGGGGAGTACTTTGAAGGGGATAAAATTGATTTACCTGAATAATTGTAAAATAAAATTTTTAAAAAACTTTTATACGTACTTTCCGGACAAACCTCGTACTATGATGATAGATGATAATAATTAAAATAAAAAATGTTTTTTCTTATTAACATATTTTAAAAATTTCGCTAATAATACAAACGACATAGAATACAAATTTATTTAGTTACCTTTTTTAGTGAAACTTCTAAAGTATCAAGTGTGTTAGGTACCATCTCTAAATTTCTTTGCAGTAACAGCCTCCTTAAATTTGACAATATTTGGTTTGACATATGTACGGCAATACCCACTTCCCTGCAATAGACATATAAATATATTCAGCTATCCAAATTAAATAACAATATTTAAGTTTTAATAATCAAGGTATACGTGCTAACTTACGAGACTTACGAAGAAAGTTATTTTCTGTTTTGTATAAAGTATACAACGCACATTTTTTTGTGTGCAATGAAAAATAAATAAAATTAATTAGACATTTCCCACTTGATTTATCCGTCCATCAATAAATTTTATGAGACAACCCACCAAGTGAAATATTTAAAAAAAAAGTAAAATAATACTAATGTTACATCATTTGAATGCTTTTTAATGAAATTCATACTAACAAGAAACTTTGAAATAATTTTTCATTGGAAACTTTCTTACAAGAAAGTATAAAACAATAAGTATCATATTATAGATCTCTTCTTAATTCTCACCGATCTACAGTATACTATCTATTAAGTCTTCATTTGTTTTTTATGACTAAAAATAAGTATTTAAAAAAAAAGAGAAATAAATATATTGTAAATACTAAATCACCTAATAAGATTCTTTTGCACAAATATCTCAATTTAAAATAAAGTGTTAAATACTGTATTAATTAATTAAGATAAAGTGCAAATGTCTTGACAGTAAATATACTTCATAGAAAAATTAAATATAGCACCTTAATTCCATATCAAGAAGTATAACAAATGTGATACGTGGAGCTACTTCAGCGAGGTGCATTGAATAGGGTGCGCACGGGCTAGCTGCAGTGCCCGCACAGACATTCACAATCGCACTGTTCTCTTGAGATAACCCTAAAATTATAACAAAGCTACAAAGGAAAGTAGTTTACTTTCCGTAAGAATGTTAAATCAAGAGACGAATCTATTAAAATATGTTGTGTAGGTTGCAACGTAATATATCTAATTTAGATAATCCTTATTAATATTATAAATGTGAAATGAATTTGGTTATTACGTCTTAGCGCCCTAACGGCTTAACCAATAACTATGAAATTTGGCATACACATACTATATGATATGAAAAAGGACATAGGCTACTTTTATTCCGATCAGAAAGCATATCAAGATCACGCGAATGAAATTGCGGATAAAAGATAGTTAAGTTTTAAATATAATTCAATTACAATGTTCTAAAGCCAGAAATGAAAGATATGGAAGTTTCAATGTATCATTTGTTCATATTCTTTTTATAGGACGAAAGTGGAATGATAACAAATCCTACAAATCCTGTTATGATTCATGTAATGTGTGCTTTTTAACCCCCTGTTCCCTGTTCTTGGTTCGGTGGCAGCCGCTGGGTGATTTACCACTTCCGCCTCTTTATACAAAAAGATTTTTCATTTCCTTCGACATATAACGTAAATATGTGTACGGAAACAGAATAGAAAGGAGTCAGTGTAGCTTCAATCTTTCATAAGATTAATATGTCTTGGATGCATGAATTAGTTATATGACAGTTTTAAATGCCCATTTCAATAAATTGTAAAGATATGTACAACGTGACCTATACATATTAATTAGAACACTTACAAGGTAACCGGGTTTTCTGAACATCGTCATTTTTTTCCTCCACATTTTTCCAATATTCTTGAGCAGCAACACACTGAATGCTCAGTAATATTAAATCAGGAGGTGTTAAATCTTCACTGCCTTTACTAAAAATATTATATTTTCTTTAACAACATATTACACTATGACTTATATAGGTAAGGCTAATAGATACAAAATAAGTTTATTCCACAAAAATAAATTTACAAAAAATTTTGAAATATTTTACAAAAAAAAAATGTTAGTACAATATATTGCAATTTTTTTATTATATTATATTATTATATATATTAAAAATCAAACAATATGTTATACAAATGAATTGTTGCTTATAGTTTGTTCAATATAAATTTTATATATCAACTATATTATTATTTAAAAGAACGTTTTATGTTTCTTGGAGAGAGCAATTCTAATTCTTATTCTTTACGTAGTACTGACAACCTCCAACTCATAATTCCTACCCATTCATCCTCTTTCTACTCCAAATCCTTTTCCGTGCAAGCAGTTCGTTTGTGGAACTCACTCCCTACCTCTATACGGTGCGCTCAATCGTTGCACATTTTTAAAAACTTAATTAAAGCCCACTACCTATCCTTATAATCACTTAGTCCTACGTATTTCCAGTTTTATGTGTGTTATATATATGTGTATTAATATGGTATATTTTTATGTATTTATGCGTATATATGTATATGTTTGGTTGTATGTGTTTATTTATGTATGTATATGTATATGACTATGCTGTCACAGATATTATTTTTTACAAATCTATCTTTTTTAACGCGCCACCTACCTACTTATGCTTTAATTCTTTCTACCCAAAGGTTGTCTGGAAGTGATTGCTTAGCAATAAGACCGCCTTTTGTACTACACTATACGTATTGAAAACTGTTTTAACAAATCATATTATGTTGGTGCAATAAAGTGTTAAATAAATAAATAAATATATTAATACATAAAAAACCAGAATGTGGTGTGTTTCATTTATAGGCACTAATTTTTAAAGTGTCACTAGATATACATATAGGTCAGATAATAAAAAATATTATTTTATACAAATTTGCTGTTCCTTTTAGTTTAAATATTTTTGAAGTACTCGTATATTAAAATCATAGTTTAACATAAAAATAAGGTATAATACACTATCGCCCAAGATTGTGTGTGTAAGAATTATAATATAAGATTAAGTTAGCTATGTAATATAGGTAATAACACTCTTGGTCAAAAATCAATTAGGTATCTACTAAGCAACTTTAGTAGGATCTTTTTAAAAGTAAGGGTCTGACTTTCATAATTTAGGAAACCTTATTATTATGCCTTTACCTGGAATAAAGTGCAAGCAACTTGTCACCAACATATAACATAAGATGATAGTGCTGGTAAGGAGAGCATTTAATTTCTTTAACGGCCGACTTGAGAGCGTTTAGCGCAGTAACAATGACTCCACTTTCGCCGATAACGCCACTGGCGCCAGGTATAGAATCGCCTTTGCCTCGACTTTCCAAGAGCACTGATAACCAATCTTTATATATTGGAGAATGCAACCTTTAAAATAATACATCTATTATATATATGAGCAGTAACAAAAATTTAAGATATTATAAATACAATTTACTCTGCAATTAAAACAACAGATAGTTCAAAAAGATAAAAATATTCAAATGCAGAATCTATACAAATAAATTCTGCTCCATATAAACAAAATTTTGCTCCAAGAAGGAAAACAACAGCATCTTATAGCATACATATGAAATTAACATGGGTATAAACTCTATCAATGTCATAATAGTGTCCTCCTTTTAAAAACTACTTAAGGAAGTACAATTTATTGTAAGGATTTTAAATTAAATATGTTTAGGGTTACAATCCCCAATGTACCATACTGCAATCACAGGAAACAGCTTGTATTAGATTCTTAAAATGAATTAAGTAAAATTTCCATTTTACTTTGCGGATTTTTGTTTTTCTATTGAACTTAACAATATCTTCACAATTTATATAAAAAATTCAATTAATATTACTATTTCTCAGATTAGGTTTACTAATGTTTTTTACTATCGCAAGAGAGTCAGATGATTATTGATCCACCCATTTTTTTAATTCTAAAAAATGTGTTATTCATATTTTTATCAATACTGCTATTGCATTTCTAAGCTACTCAAAATAAATATATACTGAACAATGTACTTAGGAATTTATTATAATGTAATTATATTAATATATCAGCCATCAACTGCCCACTGTTGAATATAGACCTCTCCCTGTGTTCAACAGTGGACAGACACATATCGCTGGTTTTGCCAATAGTTGCCATGCTTGGTGGGCAGGATGGCAACAGCAGTTAGGCTTTGATGATATTTTAAGAGGGATGCTACTGCTATTCCCTTGACCATTTAGTTTCCTTACAACACCCACGAGAATATAAGGAGTGGCCCATTCTATGCTGGGACAACTTGGTGAATACATATAAAATTATGAATCGAATTCAACTGTAATGAGTGACACTTACAAGTTAATATTTTGTCCACATATATGCTGCACAAATGTTTTACAGTCAAGTAATTCCCTATGAGCATCTTCAACCTTATCTTCACTAATTATTATAAACACATGATCTAACCACTGAAAAGCAAAGTAAAACAACCAGGTATGTAAATTATTTAACAGTTATAGATAAAGATACATATGATTATTAAATATTACCTCATCAAATACAATAGTAGTTTTGTCTTTACATTGCATAGAAGAATATGTATTACCAAACTGAGCAGCCATCACCCGTTGGGATGTAATAATGGGAGACAGCAGTTGTGATATATTATGGCTGTCATTCAGATCTTCATTTACCTGCAGAATTTGAAATGGTTGGGATTTATATTACTTGTTACCTCTCTTTTTTGACTCTCCTACTCCCCTTAGGGGCACTATGGGAAAAATTTTGACAATTCTTACAATTTTGCAATAACACCAATTTTAAGGTTCATCAGATACTCAAGAAGATAAACGTTGATAATATTACATTTTTTCATACATCACCCCATTTAAAATCGCATTGTACAAATATATCAGTTATCATGACGTGGAAAATCACAAAAAAATTCTATTTATTTTCTTCTTTATTTTCAGGTTGACCTCCAAGTTCTTACGCCCCTCCCGGAAACCATCATGGTTAATTCTCAGTGAATTTATCAAGATGGACCAACTTACTTGCTTCCATCTTTCCCTATCATCCCTTACACGCCAGTGTAAACTAATAGTGCAGGTAGGGTCACTATTCTATTAATATCCATTACAAAACTCCCGTATAATTTTATTTCTTTCTTTAGAATTCTCAATAGTGCCTCTATCCATACATCCTACCTCTAACAGAGGAAGAGATTGTTAGTAATGCAGACCATTACTAGCAATATACCCTGTTAGGTCAACCTCCACATGATCTTCCCTGGAAACTATCATGCTGAATTCCAGGTGTATTCATCATGATGAGCTAACTGACCTGGCTTTCATGCCATTCTCACCTATCATCTTTCACTCGTGTCCTTCCAGTGTATACCGTTAGCGCAGGTGAGGCTACCATTCCATTATCATCAATTAAAAAAAAACATCTATAACAACCATTCCTACGGGTACCTACTGACCCAGAACTCTGTCATTTATAATTAGATTATAATTTTTTTACTGAAAGAATATTCTTTCAAATTGGTTCCATAGAAATTTTATCAAAATCGATTCAGTACTTTAATTTACCTAATATAATAGTAAGCCCAATAACTGGTTATAAGACAATTTTTATAGAACAAAATCTACTTGTTTTTAATAATATAAATTACCTAATTTTAACAATAAATAAATAGCCATATGTTGTAGTTTTCAACTAGCCATATCCATTATGTTGAATTTAATGAATAGAGACTTTAAATGTTATAATATTAACATGAAAACCAACCTGTTCATTGAAACATTTCATCCGTTTTATAAACATGTCGTCCCATTTTGAAAATAACAAATCATTGATACTATCAAAAATCAGAGTAGCTTTCATGATTAAATGTTAAAACAAAAAATATAATGTGAACTTTTATGTTTCTATTTATGTCCAAATTTAAGAAATTAATAACTATTATTGATTCATTAATTTAGGTAAAGCAAATTTCATTTTTTTTTTTTTTTTTTAGTACGTTTGTTCCGTTTGGAACAGGCTAAGGTCGGAGACCATGCTGCCTAGTCTTCAAAAAGATAATTTGTCTGGAATAGCAAATTTCAAATTATGTTGTCAATGAACTAGCCACAGAAAAAAAATTTACAATAACAACTTGGCGTATTGCCAGATGCACTTTTTTTCTACCCACATTTTAAAAATGTCTTCTAAAAATTAACATAATTTCATTTATTTCGCATATGCACTTGTGTCAGTTGTCACTCATAGATTTAATACTTCGTACATTTTATAATAATGTTTTTACTACATAAAGGATTACAAAAAAGTCGCTGTTCGTTGACATATTCACCTCACACTCTATTGCTATATCTATAGATATCTATTCCGATTTGATTTACAAACAAAAATGTTATATGTTGGTAATATATTGTAAATCAAACAAAAATGTTAAATTATATTAACCAAATTTCTCCCCACCTATTTTATTTTTCCATAATTTGTTATTCCAAATTGAAAAAAAAACCTATTTGACAATGCTATCTAGGTTACAAGCCCCTCCAAAGCCGTAGTTATTTAAAAAAAAGTATTTTATCTAAGTGTTAAAAAAATATTGTGTTCACTTTTCGTTTTCTTTTTTTAGACCTACTTTAAAAATATCTACAATATTAGAATAATTTCAATAATATTAAAATAATAGGTGTATAGATACGCAAAATATCAGGATGTCCTTACTGACAAATATACATGTGTGTATTATAATGGTCTATTTTAATAGTAATTAAAATGACTATTTAATATTTTTATTTCTTTTACTCCCGTAGATTGCATTGCCTCGCAAACTATATGTACCAAGAATAAATCAAAACAGAACATTTTGGGAATATGTCAATATGATGTTTAATAAACCAGACCCTAAAAGAATCGAAGCTGTAGGGCCTGATCGTGCATGCGCCGAATGGGTATTACGAAATGGTGGCAGAATAATTTGGGCTGATGGGAAAAAATTGGCCGACTATAATTCTTTACCTTCTGACGAACAAGCAGTGCCAAAAATAATCGAGAGATCGATGGAACAAATTCCTCAATATCCCATTATGGGTTTCCACATTTAAGTAATAACAATTTATATATTAATTTTTTCCATTGTCTGATCATTAGATAAATTTATTTGTTTCTAATATAAATTGAAAATTTTATAGGTGGATGCACAATGCTACAAAGAATTATATTACATAATGACAATTACATAGATGACAGAGCCATGAAAGGTTTATCATATGGCCGGAAAACTCTTACTCATGTGCAAATATCAAAGTGCCCCAGTGTAACTGATTTAGGGGTTAAAGAAATTAAAATATTAGATAAATTAGAGACATTGAAATTATTTGATCTACAAGGAGTAACAAATCTCGAAGAATGTAAAAAGTATTTACAATCACATTTACCAAAATGCCAGATACAAGGTTGTCTAAAATGATTATTTTGCTTTTATAAGTTTTAGTCTTATACAAAATATAGTTTCTTCTTTATATATATTTATATTCTTTAAATTTAAAATTATTTAGTCTATGATGTATTAAAATATCTTTTTCAGGTGGTGAAAAGAAAATAAATGAAAACTCTACATAAAATATAATTTATAATAAAAAACTAAATATATAAATATTATATAAATTTATTACGTAACCATCATTTGTTGTCATTTCACTCCTTTACCAACAGCTTCATTTACATTTTTATAACCATCCCTTTCCAATAATTCTGCCAATTCTGATTTTATTTTGGTGATCACTGGAGGACCATGGTAAATAAAGGCAGTATATATTTGTACTGCACTAGCACCAGCTAAAATTTTTTCATATGCATCTTGTCCAGTGAAGACTCCCCCAACACCAATTATTGGTATTTTACCTAAAAAAGTAATATTTTTATCAAATTAAATAGCTTTAAAAATCTAAGAATAAATATTTTAAGCTATTCACAAACCTTTTGTTAACTTATATACATTTCTAATCATTTCTGTAGATTTATTTGCTAAAGGCCTTCCACTGAGTCCTCCAGTTTCATTTGGAAATGTTTTATTTATTAATAAGGGTCTGTCTATAGTAGTGTTTGAGATTATAAGACCATCAACTTTACTTTCTTTCTTTGTAATAACAGAAACTATATCTTTTATTTCTTCTATAGTTAAATCCGGAGCCAGTTTCAGAAGTAAGGGAATCTTTTTTGTTGACTGAACTAAATTCCTTGTTTTATTTATTTCTGTCAAAAGTTCATGTAATTCTTCCTTTTTTTGTAAAGATCTTAATCCTGGGGTGTTTGGGCTAAAATTTTAAAATATATAACAATAAATAATATAAAAAAAACAATATCAAAGACAAATACAGGCAAAATTATTATACCTGCTAATGTTTATAACAAAATAATCAGCTACATCACAAAATTTCTTTATACCCAGAGTATAATCTTGAACAGCATTTTCTGACACTTTATTTTTACCTAAATTTATTCCTAATAAGCAATTGTCTAATAATGTTTTGTCAATGTTACATATCTTTTTATAGACTTTGTCATGGCCTTCACTATTAAAACCATATCTATTAATAACAGCTTCATCCTCTGGTAATCTAAATACTCTTGGCTTTGGGTTACCAGGCTGTGGTTCTGGTGTTACTGAACCAACTTCAATAATGGAGAAACCAATATTTTTCAATCCATTTACAGCATCACCATGTTTGTCAAAACCAGCTGCTATACCTAAGGGATTGTTTAATTTCGAGTCCAGGAAATTTGTGTCCTATAATTACAGATCACAATTACAAATTTGTTGATTTAGCCATTTGGACAGGATGGCTGAAAGAATTATGAAAGAGATTTATCATTATTTACGAGGTCTGTCCGGAAAGTTCGTATAAAAGTGTTCTGGAATGCGAGAAAGAGGAGTGGGGAGGCCAGGTAAGCGCAGGACCCCTTCCTTATGTCCCTAACAATGCTTCAGTTCTGGTCTGACCGCCGTGCGGTGCGAACTGGCTTGTCACGCCATCTGTGAAGTTACCTCTTAACGAAACCCCGTCGGCATGGAGCCCGCTTCCGTTGAAGAGCAGCGCGTCGTAATCAAGTTTCTCTCGAAACTCGGCAAGAATGGCCGTGAAATTTTTGCCGATCTCAGAACAGTAAAATCCCAAAGCAAAGAGTGGAAGACATCCGGGGAACCACGAACAAAAAAATCAAGAAAATCCCGCTCAAATGTCAAGACAATGTTGATTGTTTTTTTCGATGTTCGAGGGATTGTCCATCAAGAATTCGTCCCTCCAGGCCAGACAGTTGATGGAAAATTCTACGTCGATGTGCTCAGACGCCTCAAAGCTCGTGTGGCACGAGTTCGTCCAGAATTGGCGCGAGAGGGGCGTTGGATTCTTCACCACGACAATGCCCCTGCCCACACCTCTCTTGTTGTCCGTGAGTTTTTGAGTAAAAATTCCATTACGGTGACCGAACACCCCCCTATTCGCCGGATTTGGCCCCGTGTGACTTCTTCTTGTTCCCAAAAACCAAATTGGTACTTCGGGGGCGGCATTTGGGGGACATAAATGAGATAAAAAAAGCTACGACGGGGCAGCTGAGAAACCTACAACCAGAGGACTTTCAAGGAGCCTTCTCACAGTGGAAACGGCGTTGGCACAAGTGCATTATGTCACAGGGGGAGTACTTTGAAGGGGATAAAATTGATTTACCTGAATAATTGTAAAATAAAATTTTTAAAAAACTTTTATACGTACTTTCCGGACAAACCTCGTACTATGATGATAGATGATAATAATTAAAATAAAAAATGTTTTTTCTTATTAACATATTTTAAAAATTTCGCTAATAATACAAACGACATAGAATACAAATTTATTTAGTTACCTTTTTTAGTGAAACTTCTAAAGTATCAAGTGTGTTAGGTACCATCTCTAAATTTCTTTGCAGTAACAGCCTCCTTAAATTTGACAATATTTGGTTTGACATATGTACGGCAATACCCACTTCCCTGCAATAGACATATAAATATATTCAGCTATCCAAATTAAATAACAATATTTAAGTTTTAATAATCAAGGTATACGTGCTAACTTACGAGACTTACGAAGAAAGTTATTTTCTGTTTTGTATAAAGTATACAACGCACATTTTTTTGTGTGCAATGAAAAATAAATAAAATTAATTAGACATTTCCCACTTGATTTATCCGTCCATCAATAAATTTTATGAGACAACCCACCAAGTGAAATATTTAAAAAAAAAGTAAAATAATACTAATGTTACATCATTTGAATGCTTTTTAATGAAATTCATACTAACAAGAAACTTTGAAATAATTTTTCATTGGAAACTTTCTTACAAGAAAGTATAAAACAATAAGTATCATATTATAGATCTCTTCTTAATTCTCACCGATCTACAGTATACTATCTATTAAGTCTTCATTTGTTTTTTATGACTAAAAATAAGTATTTAAAAAAAAAGAGAAATAAATATATTGTAAATACTAAATCACCTAATAAGATTCTTTTGCACAAATATCTCAATTTAAAATAAAGTGTTAAATACTGTATTAATTAATTAAGATAAAGTGCAAATGTCTTGACAGTAAATATACTTCATAGAAAAATTAAATATAGCACCTTAATTCCATATCAAGAAGTATAACAAATGTGATACGTGGAGCTACTTCAGCGAGGTGCATTGAATAGGGTGCGCACGGGCTAGCTGCAGTGCCCGCACAGACATTCACAATCGCACTGTTCTCTTGAGATAACCCTAAAATTATAACAAAGCTACAAAGGAAAGTAGTTTACTTTCCGTAAGAATGTTAAATCAAGAGACGAATCTATTAAAATATGTTGTGTAGGTTGCAACGTAATATATCTAATTTAGATAATCCTTATTAATATTATAAATGTGAAATGAATTTGGTTATTACGTCTTAGCGCCCTAACGGCTTAACCAATAACTATGAAATTTGGCATACACATACTATATGATATGAAAAAGGACATAGGCTACTTTTATTCCGATCAGAAAGCATATCAAGATCACGCGAATGAAATTGCGGATAAAAGATAGTTAAGTTTTAAATATAATTCAATTACAATGTTCTAAAGCCAGAAATGAAAGATATGGAAGTTTCAATGTATCATTTGTTCATATTCTTTTTATAGGACGAAAGTGGAATGATAACAAATCCTACAAATCCTGTTATGATTCATGTAATGTGTGCTTTTTAACCCCCTGTTCCCTGTTCTTGGTTCGGTGGCAGCCGCTGGGTGATTTACCACTTCCGCCTCTTTATACAAAAAGATTTTTCATTTCCTTCGACATATAACGTAAATATGTGTACGGAAACAGAATAGAAAGGAGTCAGTGTAGCTTCAATCTTTCATAAGATTAATATGTCTTGGATGCATGAATTAGTTATATGACAGTTTTAAATGCCCATTTCAATAAATTGTAAAGATATGTACAACGTGACCTATACATATTAATTAGAACACTTACAAGGTAACCGGGTTTTCTGAACATCGTCATTTTTTTCCTCCACATTTTTCCAATATTCTTGAGCAGCAACACACTGAATGCTCAGTAATATTAAATCAGGAGGTGTTAAATCTTCACTGCCTTTACTAAAAATATTATATTTTCTTTAACAACATATTACACTATGACTTATATAGGTAAGGCTAATAGATACAAAATAAGTTTATTCCACAAAAATAAATTTACAAAAAATTTTGAAATATTTTACAAAAAAAAATGTTAGTACAATATATTGCAATTTTTTTATTATATTATATTATTATATATATTAAAAATCAAACAATATGTTATACAAATGAATTGTTGCTTATAGTTTGTTCAATATAAATTTTATATATCAACTATATTATTATTTAAAAGAACGTTTTATGTTTCTTGGAGAGAGCAATTCTAATTCTTATTCTTTACGTAGTACTGACAACCTCCAACTCATAATTCCTACCCATTCATCCTCTTTCTACTCCAAATCCTTTTCCGTGCAAGCAGTTCGTTTGTGGAACTCACTCCCTACCTCTATACGGTGCGCTCAATCGTTGCACATTTTTAAAAACTTAATTAAAGCCCACTACCTATCCTTATAATCACTTAGTCCTACGTATTTCCAGTTTTATGTGTGTTATATATATGTGTATTAATATGGTATATTTTTATGTATTTATGCGTATATATGTATATGTTTGGTTGTATGTGTTTATTTATGTATGTATATGTATATGACTATGCTGTCACAGATATTATTTTTTACAAATCTATCTTTTTTAACGCGCCACCTACCTACTTATGCTTTAATTCTTTCTACCCAAAGGTTGTCTGGAAGTGATTGCTTAGCAATAAGACCGCCTTTTGTACTACACTATACGTATTGAAAACTGTTTTAACAAATCATATTATGTTGGTGCAATAAAGTGTTAAATAAATAAATAAATATATTAATACATAAAAAACCAGAATGTGGTGTGTTTCATTTATAGGCACTAATTTTTAAAGTGTCACTAGATATACATATAGGTCAGATAATAAAAAATATTATTTTATACAAATTTGCTGTTCCTTTTAGTTTAAATATTTTTGAAGTACTCGTATATTAAAATCATAGTTTAACATAAAAATAAGGTATAATACACTATCGCCCAAGATTGTGTGTGTAAGAATTATAATATAAGATTAAGTTAGCTATGTAATATAGGTAATAACACTCTTGGTCAAAAATCAATTAGGTATCTACTAAGCAACTTTAGTAGGATCTTTTTAAAAGTAAGGGTCTGACTTTCATAATTTAGGAAACCTTATTATTATGCCTTTACCTGGAATAAAGTGCAAGCAACTTGTCACCAACATATAACATAAGATGATAGTGCTGGTAAGGAGAGCATTTAATTTCTTTAACGGCCGACTTGAGAGCGTTTAGCGCAGTAACAATGACTCCACTTTCGCCGATAACGCCACTGGCGCCAGGTATAGAATCGCCTTTGCCTCGACTTTCCAAGAGCACTGATAACCAATCTTTATATATTGGAGAATGCAACCTTTAAAATAATACATCTATTATATATATGAGCAGTAACAAAAATTTAAGATATTATAAATACAATTTACTCTGCAATTAAAACAACAGATAGTTCAAAAAGATAAAAATATTCAAATGCAGAATCTATACAAATAAATTCTGCTCCATATAAACAACATTTTGCTCCAAGAAGGAAAACAACAGCATCTTATAGCATACATATGAAATTAACATGGGTATAAACTCTATCAATGTCATAATAGTGTCCTCCTTTTAAAAACTACTTAAGGAAGTACAATTTATTGTAAGGATTTTAAATTAAATATGTTTAGGGTTACAATCCCCAATGTACCATACTGCAATCACAGGAAACAGCTTGTATTAGATTCTTAAAATGAATTAAGTAAAATTTCCATTTTACTTTGCGGATTTTTGTTTTTCTATTGAACTTAACAATATCTTCACAATTTATATAAAAAATTCAATTAATATTACTATTTCTCAGATTAGGTTTACTAATGTTTTTTACTATCGCAAGAGAGTCAGATGATTATTGATCCACCCATTTTTTTAATTCTAAAAAATGTGTTATTCATATTTTTATCAATACTGCTATTGCATTTCTAAGCTACTCAAAATAAATATATACTGAACAATGTACTTAGGAATTTATTATAATGTAATTATATTAATATATCAGCCATCAACTGCCCACTGTTGAATATAGACCTCTCCCTGTGTTCAACAGTGGACAGACACATATCGCTGGTTTTGCCAATAGTTGCCATGCTTGGTGGGCAGGATGGCAACAGCAGTTAGGCTTTGATGATATTTTAAGAGGGATGCTACTGCTATTCCCTTGACCATTTAGTTTCCTTACAACACCCACGAGAATATAAGGAGTGGCCCATTCTATGCTGGGACAACTTGGTGAATACATATAAAATTATGAATCGAATTCAACTGTAATGAGTGACACTTACAAGTTAATATTTTGTCCACATATATGCTGCACAAATGTTTTACAGTCAAGTAATTCCCTATGAGCATCTTCAACCTTATCTTCACTAATTATTATAAACACATGATCTAACCACTGAAAAGCAAAGTAAAACAACCAGGTATGTAAATTATTTAACAGTTATAGATAAAGATACATATGATTATTAAATATTACCTCATCAAATACAATAGTAGTTTTGTCTTTACATTGCATAGAAGAATATGTATTACCAAACTGAGCAGCCATCACCCGTTGGGATGTAATAATGGGAGACAGCAGTTGTGATATATTATGGCTGTCATTCAGATCTTCATTTACCTGCAGAATTTGAAATGGTTGGGATTTATATTACTTGTTACCTCTCTTTTTTGACTCTCCTACTCCCCTTAGGGGCACTATGGGAAAAATTTTGACAATTCTTACAATTTTGCAATAACACCAATTTTAAGGTTCATCAGATACTCAAGAAGATAAACGTTGATAATATTACATTTTTTCATACATCACCCCATTTAAAATCGCATTGTACAAATATATCAGTTATCATGACGTGGAAAATCACAAAAAAATTCTATTTATTTTCTTCTTTATTTTCAGGTTGACCTCCAAGTTCTTACGCCCCTCCCGGAAACCATCATGGTTAATTCTCAGTGAATTTATCAAGATGGACCAACTTACTTGCTTCCATCTTTCCCTATCATCCCTTACACGCCAGTGTAAACTAATAGTGCAGGTAGGGTCACTATTCTATTAATATCCATTACAAAACTCCCGTATAATTTTATTTCTTTCTTTAGAATTCTCAATAGTGCCTCTATCCATACATCCTACCTCTAACAGAGGAAGAGATTGTTAGTAATGCAGACCATTACTAGCAATATACCCTGTTAGGTCAACCTCCACATGATCTTCCCTGGAAACTATCATGCTGAATTCCAGGTGTATTCATCATGATGAGCTAACTGACCTGGCTTTCATGCCATTCTCACCTATCATCTTTCACTCGTGTCCTTCCAGTGTATACCGTTAGCGCAGGTGAGGCTACCATTCCATTATCATCAATTAAAAAAAAACATCTATAACAACCATTCCTACGGGTACCTACTGACCCAGAACTCTGTCATTTATAATTAGATTATAATTTTTTTACTGAAAGAATATTCTTTCAAATTGGTTCCATAGAAATTTTATCAAAATCGATTCAGTACTTTAATTTACCTAATATAATAGTAAGCCCAATAACTGGTTATAAGACAATTTTTATAGAACAAAATCTACTTGTTTTTAATAATATAAATTACCTAATTTTAACAATAAATAAATAGCCATATGTTGTAGTTTTCAACTAGCCATATCCATTATGTTGAATTTAATGAATAGAGACTTTAAATGTTATAATATTAACATGAAAACCAACCTGTTCATTGAAACATTTCATCCGTTTTATAAACATGTCGTCCCATTTTGAAAATAACAAATCATTGATACTATCAAAAATCAGAGTAGCTTTCATGATTAAATGTTAAAACAAAAAATATAATGTGAACTTTTATGTTTCTATTTATGTCCAAATTTAAGAAATTAATAACTATTATTGATTCATTAATTTAGGTAAAGCAAATTTCATTTTTTTTTTTTTTTTTAGTACGTTTGTTCCGTTTGGAACAGGCTAAGGTCGGAGACCATGCTGCCTAGTCTTCAAAAAGATAATTTGTCTGGAATAGCAAATTTCAAATTATGTTGTCAATGAACTAGCCACAGAAAAAAAATTTACAATAACAACTTGGCGTATTGCCAGATGCACTTTTTTTCTACCCACATTTTAAAAATGTCTTCTAAAAATTAACATAATTTCATTTATTTCGCATATGCACTTGTGTCAGTTGTCACTCATAGATTTAATACTTCGTACATTTTATAATAATGTTTTTACTACATAAAGGATTACAAAAAAGTCGCTGTTCGTTGACATATTCACCTCACACTCTATTGCTATATCTATAGATATCTATTCCGATTTGATTTACAAACAAAAATGTTATATGTTGGTAATATATTGTAAATCAAACAAAAATGTTAAATTATATTAACCAAATTTCTCCCCACCTATTTTATTTTTCCATAATTTGTTATTCCAAATTGAAAAAAAAACCTATTTGACAATGCTATCTAGGTTACAAGCCCCTCCAAAGCCGTAGTTATTTAAAAAAAAGTATTTTATCTAAGTGTTAAAAAAATATTGTGTTCACTTTTCGTTTTCTTTTTTTAGACCTACTTTAAAAATATCTACAATATTAGAATAATTTCAATAATATTAAAATAATAGGTGTATAGATACGCAAAATATCAGGATGTCCTTACTGACAAATATACATGTGTGTATTATAATGGTCTATTTTAATAGTAATTAAAATGACTATTTAATATTTTTATTTCTTTTACTCCCGTAGATTGCATTGCCTCGCAAACTATATGTACCAAGAATAAATCAAAACAGAACATTTTGGGAATATGTCAATATGATGTTTAATAAACCAGACCCTAAAAGAATCGAAGCTGTAGGGCCTGATCGTGCATGCGCCGAATGGGTATTACGAAATGGTGGCAGAATAATTTGGGCTGATGGGAAAAAATTGGCCGACTATAATTCTTTACCTTCTGACGAACAAGCAGTGCCAAAAATAATCGAGATCGATGGAACAAATTCCTCAATATCCCATTATGGGTTTCCACATTTAAGTAATAACAATTTATATATTAATTTTTTCCATTGTCTGATCATTAGATAAATTTATTTGTTTCTAATATAAATTGAAAATTTTATAGGTGGATGCACAATGCTACAAAGAATTATATTACATAATGACAATTACATAGATGACAGAGCCATGAAAGGTTTATCATATGGCGGAAAACTCTTACTCATGTGCAAATATCAAAGTGCCCCAGTGTAACTGATTTAGGGGTTAAAGAAATTAAAATATTAGATAAATTAGAGACATTGAAATTATTTGATCTACAAGGAGTAACAAATCTCGAAGAATGTAAAAAGTATTTACAATCACATTTACCAAAATGCCAGATACAAGGTTGTCTAAAATGATTATTTTGCTTTTATAAGTTTTAGTCTTATACAAAATATAGTTTCTTCTTTATATATATTTATATTCTTTAAATTTAAAATTATTTAGTCTATGATGTATTAAAATATCTTTTTCAGGTGGTGAAAAGAAAATAAATGAAAACTCTACATAAAATATAATTTATAATAAAAAACTAAATATATAAATATTATATAAATTTATTACGTAACCATCATTTGTTGTCATTTCACTCCTTTACCAACAGCTTCATTTACATTTTTATAACCATCCCTTTCCAATAATTCTGCCAATTCTGATTTTATTTTGGTGATCACTGGAGGACCATGGTAAATAAAGGCAGTATATATTTGTACTGCACTAGCACCAGCTAAAATTTTTTCATATGCATCTTGTCCAGTGAAGACTCCCCCAACACCAATTATTGGTATTTTACCTAAAAAAGTAATATTTTTATCAAATTAAATAGCTTTAAAAATCTAAGAATAAATATTTTAAGCTATTCACAAACCTTTTGTTAACTTATATACATTTCTAATCATTTCTGTAGATTTATTTGCTAAAGGCCTTCCACTGAGTCCTCCAGTTTCATTTGGAAATGTTTTATTTATTAATAAGGGTCTGTCTATAGTAGTGTTTGAGATTATAAGACCATCAACTTTACTTTCTTTCTTTGTAATAACAGAAACTATATCTTTTATTTCTTCTATAGTTAAATCCGGAGCCAGTTTCAGAAGTAAGGGAATCTTTTTTGTTGACTGAACTAAATTCCTTGTTTTATTTATTTCTGTCAAAAGTTCATGTAATTCTTCCTTTTTTTGTAAAGATCTTAATCCTGGGGTGTTTGGGCTAAAATTTTAAAATATATAACAATAAATAATATAAAAAAAACAATATCAAAGACAAATACAGGCAAAATTATTATACCTGCTAATGTTTATAACAAAATAATCAGCTACATCACAAAATTTCTTTATACCCAGAGTATAATCTTGAACAGCATTTTCTGACACTTTATTTTTACCTAAATTTATTCCTAATAAGCAATTGTCTAATAATGTTTTGTCAATGTTACATATCTTTTTATAGACTTTGTCATGGCCTTCACTATTAAAACCATATCTATTAATAACAGCTTCATCCTCTGGTAATCTAAATACTCTTGGCTTTGGGTTACCAGGCTGTGGTTCTGGTGTTACTGAACCAACTTCAATAATGGAGAAACCAATATTTTTCAATCCATTTACAGCATCACCATGTTTGTCAAAACCAGCTGCTATACCTAAGGGATTGTTTAATTTCGAGTCCAGGAAATTTGTGTCCTATAATTACAGATCACAATTACAAATTTGTTGATTTAGCCATTTGGACAGGATGGCTGAAAGAATTATGAAAGAGATTTATCATTATTTACGAGGTCTGTCCGGAAAGTTCGTATAAAAGTGTTCTGGAATGCGAGAAAGAGGAGTGGGGAGGCCAGGTAAGCGCAGGACCCCTTCCTTATGTCCCTAACAATGCTTCAGTTCTGGTCTGACCGCCGTGCGGTGCGAACTGGCTTGTCACGCCATCTGTGAAGTTACCTCTTAACGAAACCCCGTCGGCATGGAGCCCGCTTCCGTTGAAGAGCAGCGCGTCGTAATCAAGTTTCTCTCGAAACTCGGCAAGAATGGCCGTGAAATTTTTGCCGATCTCAGAACAGTAAAATCCCAAAGCAAAGAGTGGAAGACATCCGGGGAACCACGAACAAAAAAATCAAGAAAATCCCGCTCAAATGTCAAGACAATGTTGATTGTTTTTTTCGATGTTCGAGGGATTGTCCATCAAGAATTCGTCCCTCCAGGCCAGACAGTTGATGGAAAATTCTACGTCGATGTGCTCAGACGCCTCAAAGCTCGTGTGGCACGAGTTCGTCCAGAATTGGCGCGAGAGGGGCGTTGGATTCTTCACCACGACAATGCCCCTGCCCACACCTCTCTTGTTGTCTGTGAGTTTTTGAGTAAAAATTCCATTACGGTGACCGAACACCCCCCCTATTCGCCGGATTTGGCCCCGTGTGACTTCTTCTTGTTCCCAAAAACCAAATTGGTACTTCGGGGGCGGCATTTGGGGGACATAAATGAGATAAAAAAAGCTACGACGGGGCAGCTGAGAAACCTACAACCAGAGGACTTTCAAGGAGCCTTCTCACAGTGGAAACGGCGTTGGCACAAGTGCATTATGTCACAGGGGGAGTACTTTGAAGGGGATAAAATTGATTTACCTGAATAATTGTAAAATAAAATTTTTAAAAAACTTTTATACGTACTTTCCGGACAAACCTCGTACATCTAGGGCTAACTTCGTTCATTTATGTTCAATAAATGAACAAAGTCAGCCCTAGATGTATTTCAACCAAACAGGCAATGTGCTGAAGAAGTACCAGCTTAAAAGTCAATAACCTGCAAGCATGTATAAATGGAACTTTTAAAAGTTTTATTGTTATATAAAATAAATTATTTATTTTACTAGAGGTAGATTTTGTACAAGTCATGAAGATATAGAGACATGGCAAGAGTCATGGGACAGTATCTCTACCATGAAGCAGTTGTGTTTGCATAGCTGTGTTTCAGTTTGAAGGGTGGACAATGAATTTAGAGGATACAGAGGAATAACATCTGAGTTCACAAGAATGGCAACACATGGGGAGTATCATGGACTAAACAGTATACTCTGTTATGTCCATAATACTACCCATATCTATAGGTGACAGTTACCACTTTCCATCAGGTAGGCTGTCAGCTTGTTTGCCATCCTAAGTTGCATAAAAAAAATACAAGCTTTTATATTTATGAATTATATGTATGAAGGTAATACCCTCCCCAGTGCTAGTAATATTCCTTGTCAGGTCATTCTGCATAGTATCAAATATTATGGTAACAGTTAATTCTGCATATTGAGCATTATTTCATATTTATACCATTCCATCTTCATGCAATGCAAAATATAGTTTGCACTATAATAAAATATAGTTTGGTACTAGGCTGATATTTATCGAAAGCTATTTATTTAATAATTTACTTAATGGACTACTTAGTTTAAGTCAATAAAAGTGACTGTACTTATTCTAATAACAAATCTCACTCATTAGATTAGTACTTACTAAAACTTTAGGGTCTGTGAATTTTTCCGAGGGAAAAAAACCATATTTAATAGCAGACACTCCAACTCTATGAGCTAATTCCGGGTTCAGATATTGACTTGCTGGTTGAAGAAATTTACCATAATAGCCATTAAAATCCTTTTTCATATAGATAAATTGGTAAGCAACAGAACCCCCCAATGTCAAGTAACATAACGATTTTATTTTTCTCTGTAAAAGATTAATAGAATATTAATAGGGCAATATGACTAGAACTAAAAGAGCTTTAATAAGTAAATTAAAATATATTTACTAAAGCTTCTTTTTTTGAACTCATTTTAGTTCATCAATTGCATAAAGTTTATATTTTTAATTAGAATATTATTATCAAAATAACGATAAACTATTCATTACTTGCAGCCACACTTGTAAACGTTTGATTTCAATTTTCAATTAACCATGAGATGCAGAAAGGTATCGTCAGCATTGACAGTGACTAGTAGATGTTGCTGACAGATCGTTCGAGTCATTCAAACTGTCAATCAGTATAAATCTATCAATCATTGACTATTGACCCTTGACATTCGACAGACTTACTGAAAAAAAATCCTTTTTACTTTGTTTTGACATAAAAAAATTGTTTACGTAAATATATTAAAAACGAAAAACATACATTAGTGCATAAATTATTGCAATATAATTTCTAGAAAAATTTATGCAATCAATATCACAACGATGTCGGAAACCTATGGTAGGAAATTGTTATGTTTTTATATGTTTATTTTACTATCCCAAGTATGATTATATATGGTTATTTTCTTGTTTGTAGAGTATTTGTTTAAATTCTTGGTCATTGGAAGTGCTGGTACGGGTAAATCAAGCCTTCTTAACAATTTTATTGGAAATAAATGTAAGTAATGGGAGTGAGTAGTCAATGAATAATTGTTAGCTTGTTATTACTTAATGGCCATTGTGAATGCATTCAAGTAACTAGGTGCTATTTCAAAAATCGTCTTTAATATTATCAATATTTTGAAAAAAAAATTGTTTTGTTTTTTCTTTGCCATTTTAACTTTAAGCACAACTTTAAAAAATTGGATAATTTCAAATGACATTTGATGCTTATTTACATTATGTGAAACCATTAATAAATCCTTTGTTAATAAATAACAGAATAATAAAAGATAGCATTAAAAACGAAAACCTATTAGATCTCTTGATTTTTTGGCATTGTATGATATGTTGAATAAATTAATCATGGTAAGTTGGTGGTGATTAAGTGAGGTCATGAAATGACCCACAGATATTTCTTTGATTTATAATCACAATAATTTTCTGATGAATGTGAAAAATACAAAATGTTACATTTACTGATTTTTTTGTTCAGCTATAAAATTCACAAAATTTAATTTATGCACTGCTTTTTCAGTGTTGATATGTTTGTATATTGTTAAAGTGGTACATTTGTTTTTTAGAATTTTCAAAGATTCACAATTTTCTAAATAATCTGAATACATCCTACTACCATTGTTTTCTTTAATAAATTGTATATATAAATATTCAAGAGTGAAAAACAATTATAAACATGTATTGTTTTCCTTAAACTATAATTACTTAAGGCTAGCTGACTGTTAATAATTTTTATTTAATATTTATTTTAGAATTAGTATATGTTCAATATTTGAGTATTACAAGTTAGAGAATGTCTACAACAGGATTGCAAAAAGTTGTGAGTTTAAATCTGCCTAACACCTAGAATTTTGTCATAAATTAAATTTTTGTTTAATTCTCTAATAATGGAAAACATCTATAAGAAACCAAATTACTTAATTCATCTGGCTACCTCCTTCCATGTTGTATTCTAATACACTTGGTGAAATGTGGGTATTTTAAGTGTTATGTTCATCACAACGGCAATAGTTGACAAATAATACTATTGTCCCTAAAATAGTCATGAGCACATATTATATTCATATTTATTACAAGTTTAAATGGTATATCTTACTTAATGAATGACAATTTTAGTTATAGCTTATAAATATGTTTTTTTTTTGTGTAATACAGTTTTATTAGTATTTATATACTTGTAATTAACGATTAACATAAATATAACCTTACTAGTGTTTTAATATTTTTAACAGGCTTCTAAACTGGCATTTCTTTATTCAATATAATCAGCTACTTTTTTTTTAATTATGATTGCCTAACTTCGCAAATATTTAACTTGTTTGGGGTGGAAAACTGTTTAATTTATGTGTATAATTTTTTCTAAGGTTTTATAGCTGAATTTTGGTAGACTAATGCTTATGCTAGGTGTTAGAACTGTTATTGCATAATTGAGTTTTTACATGTTCATCTACTGTGATCATTTTTAATAAGTTATTATAATATTATTGGATATATACTTATTGAGTACAGGTAGGTATTGCTATGAACAAATCAACGTCACTTTTTGATGATATTTTGAGTGGCAAACAAATTGATCAAAACAGACATCTGATAGAAATTGACAAGCATTGCTTATAGACATAAACAGTACCATGGGCATCACAGAATACTTTTTGATGCTCATGGTACATATCTTGAGTTGCCATTGTTGATAAGTAAGGGATTTTGCATCGTTACTTTGTACTTACATTGCTATATACCAACATCCTGGGTGAGTGTATTGGATGACTGTAAAGCTCATCCAATTGATGTCATAAATAAATAAATATTAATACAGGGTAAGGGTAGGCTCTTCTCACTGAAACACAGCTGTGCAAGCACAGCTGCTTCACAGCAGAAACAGTGGAATAGAGGCACACAACTTTTGTACAATATCTCCCTTTCGAGATCTGTATATAATATGAATGATCCAATTACATTATGTTAAATATTATGTGTCTCATTTTTAGTCAAAGAAGATAGATGCCATACCATTGGTGTTGAATTCGGTTCTAAAATTGTCAATATAGGTGGCAAATCTACTAAGTTACAAATATGGGACACAGCTGGGCAAGAGAGGTTCCGTTCTGTGACTCGTTCTTACTACAGGGGTGCAGCAGGTGCACTTCTTGTTTATGATATTACATCACGTGATTCTTTTAATGCATTAGCTAATTGGTTGAGAGATGCCCGAACACTTGCTAGTCCCAATATCGTAATTTTACTTGTTGGGAATAAAAAGGATTTGGAAGAATCTAGAGAAGTCACTTTTACAGAAGCTAGTCAGTTTGCTCAAGAAAATGGTAATTATTCATAATAATATATTTAAATATTGTTTTGTGTATGTTAAATATGTTTTTACATATTTTTAATAACATTACAGAGCTCATGTTCTTAGAAACAAGTGCTAAGACAGGTGAGAATGTTGAAGAGGCATTTTTAAAGTGTTCCAAAACTATCCTGGCCAAGATAGAGACTGGAGAATTAGACCCAGAGAGAATAGGATCTGGTATTCAATATGGAACAAGTACATCGAAACGACTGAGTGTACCTAAAAAACCTGCGAAACCACCATCGGAATGTGCCTGCCGTGTTTAAGCAGAGTGTATTTAAGACATAAATGGCTCTTAAGTGGCGTTAATCAATTGGTTATCAAAAGTTTTTTAAATCATCCAAAACTATAATTAATTTTATGAATATTTGAATCTCTTAGTAAGTAAATAGAAGTTGAAATTCGATCACGAATTTACTCCTGATTTGCAGTGGTTTATATTTATACCATTAACTCAGTTATCATTCTCGAATTTGCTCGATTCTTTTCTGATTCGATAGGAGTCTTTATGGACATGTCATACAGCTGTGTCGCGGGCACATCATTTATTGTCCACTTTTTGAGCCTCTTTATTTTGGATCCTCTATGCTCTCTATGATGATAATCTTTGAATATTCCAGGGATGTATATATACGCTGTACTAATTTGTGTTATAATGACTGTTGAAGTTTATAATATATAGAAAATAATAAGAGAATTCACATTGAATTATTTTAAATCTAATTAATTAAACATACTCGAAGGATAAAATTTTAGTTTAGTAATAAGTGTGACATTTATTATCATTGACATTTTAATAATTGACCATTTTTAATAATGAGTTTTTATAGGCATATTTTAATTTAAATACAATAACTAATATTTACATATCGTTTGACGTAAAGAAACGTAATTAACATACGACAATTATGTTTCTACACATAGTGCAAAGGAACGAAAAGGATTATAATGGCATACATTATTATCCTTTCCGTTCCTTTGCGCCTTTTTGGTCGGAATTTTAAAAACGGAGTAAGAGCAATATAAACAATTGCATATTCATTTTTTAGTAATATTTTGTAAAAATAAAAACTACCAACTGACCTCATATGGTTACTTAGAGTTCAGGGTGTAAGCAAATTGATAGCGCCACTTACCTTTCCATCACGCCTTTGCAATGTCTTATAATTGTATTAATTAACTCTTGGATGTGATTTACTTTATGATTCTCATAGTGTTTTAGATAACCTTAATATTATATACTTATTATAATAAGTACACTTCACTGAAAACAGTTCTGAGAAATTTATTTTTTGTATAATGATTGTTACGAGTTACGAGGCTTTTCGAATTTATAATTTAAGTTATAAGTATTTACACGGCCTGATAAAAATGGATATATTGCTCTGTTATTAAATACCATATTGTATCAATACATATAATGAAATCGTAACTAGTCGCTGTCTGTACATGGAAGATATATAAGAAAAACTATTATGGCTAACTTATAGGGCTCTATGAATGCAATAGAATCCAAAACAATGATTTTTAGAATTTTGTCTGTTTGTCTGTACATTTCATAAACAACCGATTTGAATGCAGTACCACTAATGCATTGTGGTTTGCTCCACTTAACTTAGTGTTTGTGTTATTTCAATTGGTTCATAAACAAAAAAGTTATATCAATCTAAAGAATCACAAATAAAATGCTATAAATTAACCGATCGGTTGAATTGGCTGAAACTTTTTTTTATTATATGTATTGATTTTAGAAAATTCTGTCTACTCATGCGAAGCCGGGTCGGATCGCTAGTAACATAAAATACGGCACGAATAAAAATGTAATAATATTAAAAAATGTTTTAAACTTAATGTGAGCGTGAATAAGGCTGGTGTTATTTTTTTTTTAATATATGTGTACATTAATCACGTAATATGTTTTTTGTAATTTACTTGTATAATGCATACAGCAACAATATCGTGTTATTGAATACAGAGATTAACTGTTCATATTCATATAATGTAAGATCTAGCTATTTATCCATTAAAAAATAATAAATTCTATTATGTCGCATTATTTAAAAAGGTTAACATAATTGTCATTACCTACATTCAACATGTTACATAAATAGTATAAATAGTGTATATATCAATTATATCATATTAACATATTATTTTGTCTTAATCCACCTTTTAAGAGATCCTCTAGACTTGGGTTATTACCAAGGGGGACCTTTTAAATCGAATGCACGCAAATTATAGAATAAAAATAAATGTAACATAGTAATAAACAAGCGACGGATATATCTCTTTTAAATAGATTAGTTTTATATTCACTGTTATGTTAAAATGCACTATTTAGTGTACTTGTGACAATAAAAAGATAAAAATCTTCATTATGATCTGAATGTTTAAAACCCCTGTTAATATTGAGTAACATTTATTTATCCGAGCCCTAGTGTCTTCATATCTGCACGTAAAGTCGTAACGAAACTAAAATCGTACATTAAATATATTAATTTAGAAATATCTTTACATATATAGTGGGGTGTGGACTGAAAAACGATGTAGTGACAAAAATTGAAAAAGGAATGTTGCGTTGGTTTGGTCATTTGGAGAGGATGGATGAAAGAAGAATTACGAAAGAGATTTATCGAGCAAGAATGAATGGAGATGTCGGTAGGGGCCGCCCTAGACGGACGTATGTCGACCAAATAGGCGACGTGCTGAAGAAGGGCCAAATTAAAAGTACCCGTAACCGACGAGCGTGTATGACAAGATTGATGAATGTGGAAGAAGCGAAAGAGGTTTGTTTGAATCGAAGCATTTGGCGTTCCATTGTTTCTGCCTACCCTAATGGGAGACAGGCGTGACAGATATGTATGTATGTATGTATATAGTGGGGTCGATTCTGAAGCACCATTTATATATATATTATATAAACCTATGTCTTAATCCATTGCTTCTCAACCATATTTATGTCGCGACCCACGAAAAAGCCAAACCATTAGGTAAGGAATCTTGCGACTCCTTCACTATAAAATTGTAATAATATTTTAATTAAGATTTTACTTTTTATTAATAATCGATGAGAATAATGAAAACAAAGTCCTTTCCCTGCATCTACTACTCGTACTACCACGCCACTACTCTAACAATAGGTGATAACAAGAGACGATAAAAAAAATGTCCAGAACAAGTACAAACGAATGGGGGAAAGGCATTGTTAGTAATAGAGACTGAGAATCCCATTGTTAGCAATATACCCAACCAGGTCGACCTCCTCGCGGTTCCCCCTGGAAACTATCATTGTTAATTCCTGATGAATTCGTCATGATGAGCTAAGTGGCCTATTTTTATTCTCATCAATCACCCTTCACTGGTGCTCTACCAGCGTATCCCGTAAGCGCGGGTGGGGTAACCATTCCATTTTCACCCATTACAATAGTACTAATGAATTTTAACTATTAGTAGGGTATGGTGAATGAAATTAGTAATCGAATAAAATTAGTAGTCGGATGAAATTAGTAATTGAATGATATTCAAATCATAATTCGAATAAATTGCTCAGTCAAATAATTAATAGTCGGATTAGTAAAGTGGCGCATCGCAACGATGACTGCAACTCCCTGTAATAACAAACGCGATAAGGTCTAATAGTTTGACTTAAATGTATGAAATTTAGTTCATATTATTCCTTAAAGGTTGCGATGCGATATCAAATTGAAATTTTAATTTTAGGGACATTTGAAGAGAAATGACGCCCCCAGAATCCACTCCAATATCCAGATGTGATATAGAACAAAACAATTGTTTTATTTTCTATTTCAATTTGTGAATAATAATGTCAATTTGTGTTAGTGTGAAAATGGCTGAACTAGTGTGACGAAATGTTTATAGCATATTGAGCTCAACGTTATTCAACATAGGCTATAATCAAAAATTTAAATTCGACTAAAGGGGTTAATAAAAAGAGGAGTGTCAGCAAATGCCGTTCAACATTAATGTGTTGGAAGTTCTTTTACGTTATGCTACATGCGAAGTCGGCGGTACAACTAAGGAAATATTTCCTCGTGCCTGCGTATATAATAGAGTCCTCACTTATTTTGTACAGCAAGTAACTAATCAATCTCAATGTTTTGTAGATAAGACAAGGATAATTAATGTTATGGAATGTCATTTTTCCTTTAGACAATTTCAAAATCACCTGTAATAAAATAAAAAAAAAAACGTTTCGAATGTATTTCAGCGATGAAACATGAATCGGTATATATCTCTCACCATGTCAAGTTCCTTGTAGGCGAAGTAGAGAAAACCGAGTGCCAAAAATCTCTATATTTGCATATATCTCTTGATTCTTGGGTTTTCATAATTTGCCTTATGCATACACGCTGGTTCTGAAGACTACTCTTCCTTTAACACGCTACTGCGTATGTAATGTTTAAAAAAGTTCTTAAATCTAGTATACACACAAGCTACTAACACTAATTCTATAAACATACGAGTATTTTGGACTAGACGTAGTCTCAGATATTACTATAATTATTAGGGTGATCTCTGCGGGTTCTTAGAATGGCAAACAAGGTGGGCTGTCACTTGATGGAAAGTGGTAACCGTCTCCTATAGTTATGAATAGTATAATGGATATTACAAAATAGGTACAACACGCATGGAGCCTTTTTCCGTGGGTATTAAAGTGTACATACGTTTCTACTATAAACCATAGTTTCTGAAACCTGTGGTTCCTTCTTCCGTAATTTGTAATTTCACTGCCATATCCCACTCTTCACATCCAAACGCAGCTTTAGTAAATTATACTTTAATCTTAAATTTTAGTAAAGATTGGTATACCTTCCCTACCTGTTCTTTGCCTACTTCGTAATTGACCTGGCGAGATAATATAATACCAAATGAAAAAATCGACATGGTCAACATACATTTATTCATTATCAACAATGGTAATATCATTACAAAATTTTAATTTTCTAGCTACATGTTTTTAAAATATGTTCACGATTGTAATAATTTTGAATGCAACAGTAAAGAGTATAAGTTATTTATTTATCTATCTCTAATGGGATAGTCAGAGGCATTTCTCCACTGTCGTTGTGATGAAAGTAACACAACATCTGGAAATCTGAGAGTAACACAATTGCTGTAGTATGTATAATTATAGAATTGGTGTAAATACTAAAATTCTAAATGTGTAATATTTGTGAAATGTAAAATCGGCCATATTGTTCTTTAAATCGAAACTTATACGTTACATAGTAAATATAGTGGCTAATAAATATTTGATAGGTTGTTTATTACACATCTGGCGAAAAGAGTTTATCATTAGGTATTACTCCAGAGGTATTTACAAAGAAAACCTCTGGAGAAATCAAATTACCTATAATATCGCACTGTCACTTTGTTTTTGTTTGACAAGTTCAGTGGTGCAGCAGTAAGCACATTTCCTTGCGTAGTGAAGTCCCAGGTTCGATTGTAAGTCGAGCCTAATAGAAAATAAAATTTTCTAAATTGTTTCGGGTCTAGTTATAACAGACATGCTCTCAGATATTCTTTTCCTGTTTCCTTATAACACAGGTTATCCTAGCTCGAGGGCTTGAGGATTTGTAGATTATATGTGACATACTTTTTTGAAGTTCCTAGGAGTATTATTTTATAAGATATTCCATTTATTCTTCGAATCATACTAACACAATTTTCGGTTAGGTAATTAAAATTAAACCTTGTTGTGGTCAGCTATTTCGAACAAACGAAATACGAACTATTATGTTCTAAATTAATGGTACCAGCAAGCGATTAATTAGCCGCTCAGAGGTGCTTCAGTAATTATGTAGGTGCCTTCCTACTTTGTTTTTTTTTATACGTATTCTTAATTACAAAAATTTAAAAAGGTTATTGTAAGTAGGTATTTAAAACAATATTTCATGTTAATAAGTAGATAATTTTAAAGTAAAATTATGGTTGATATATTAACATACAATTTGCATAGCATGCTGAGTAAATTAATTGTAAAATGTCATATATATAATGAAGCATTAATATTTTATTATTAACTATAAAATAGATTGTAACAAAAGAAAAATTATATAAATTCGTTACAAAGATTTTTTGATGTATCTAATCTATTTAGTTTATTGTAGTTATCATATAAAATTCTCACAAACTTTTGCAATTCTGTAGTTTTAACTACATCGACACACCATTCTAATTCAAAACTAACTTGAGGTAGCCAATTTTTTTATTCAATATAAAAAAAAATAAAGTTGATAAACAAACATTTATTCATAATAATAATTCCTAGTACTATCACAGAAAAATATCAAACTTAAAAGTAATTAAAAATTAAATTTTAAGTATATTTATTCCAAGTTCATTGTGATTACTCTGTGCGATCTTATTGTGTATAATATAATGTTTTATAAAGTACTGATACAATTTATTTTGAAAACGAAATTTTTAATCACCCGCTTAAAAGAAAAAAATTATAGATCCTAATATATTATCGAAAACCGGAATTTAATACCTAATAAATTACCTAAACAATGCTTAATTATAACTGGAATCTGACAATATTTGTAGTTCTTTATTAAACATCATAATATTCGTATATACACCTATAGGAAAGTTTTAAAAGGTATTATAGATAACACGGTTTAGTTACTATTCTACCTTGTTGATATGACTTCAGTATGCATACAAGGAAATTATGTCCATTGGTTAGCAAATGGAATGATTGAAATAGTTATATGCTATGCTACATACAATTGTACTAACATTATAAGTACACAATATATACATCATTTTAAGATGCGCGCGCGTAATTCCATTGTATAATTATCTTGTTTGATATACATATTCATACTTTTATAGAATGCGCATATTTACGATGTTAGATTAGGTGTAAATATAATATAGATTTATTATTACTTTAACAGAGCATTTAAAGTAATGTAATGATATATAAAGTATTTATTATATTAATAAATACTTAAATATTATTACATCAAATTAAATTTATAAATATTTACCCGAAATTATTTAACACATTGTACAAGCTATTAAAAATACATCTCTATAAAACTACTTATTGCTAACATAACACATTATTCATTGATAACTATGGTTTTCTAAATTATTGGTTTGGCCCAAAGTACCTATAATTCTGACAAGCATTCTGGCTAAGATAGGCACTCGCAAACAAATGCAATGTAAGTAAATGTTATTGCGCATTATATCAATCATACTATAACATTTATAACAATATGTTGACAAAATTCATGTGCTTTTAATAATGGTATCTATGATGGTACTTTGTTATTTAAATCAGTCTTCTAAAATAATAAAAGAAGGAAAAACGAAGTAGACAAAGATCGTGTCCAAACGGAACATAAGAAATAAGAATAATATAGCTTAAATAGCCAACTCCTATACTGAATCACTTTATATGTGACTAGATAGGTATTTTTATAAGTACGCCGTGTATTCTTAATTTTTATATTTAATGCATCGGCCGGACATTTTATCTTAGTGCCTATCTTAATTAAATATAGTTCAAATCAATATTAAGAAATGATTTTTTTTTTTTAACTAAACGTGCCGTAGCTATTCTAACTAGACCATAATTTTATAATGCTAAAATAATAATTTCAATACCCTGGTACCTAATAGAAATTTTAAAAAATTAAAAATATGATATTTTGTATCCTGATTTAGGTACCTCTCTAACTATTGTAAGCAAAGACAATAATATTTAAAAAAGTTATGGGCCCTAATCGGTCATTGAATATGTACAAACGCAATTTAGTACAGGTATTTCCACAGACTTTTGACATAACGACTTAGTTAAGAGGCATATATATTATACTGTACAGTACCTAGCCTATTTGGGTTATTCATACAAAAACATTTTTACACATTTATAAAATATAATTATCTGGATTTAAATGTATATTTTCCCCCTAATAAGTTAATAAAACCCTAATTTTCAACTTTTAAAAATAAAATTCGGCTTTACTTCTAAAATAACACAAGTGAACGTTTCGTACGCACCAGCACTTGTGTCCAGTACTTTATTTAGCACAAATATTTTCATGTGGTTCATACAAAGAGGCAGGATACCAGAAATCTTCGGTGGAGAGATTGCTGAGTATTAGGGTGACATTCCTTATGCGCCCTGTTGCTGACTCTGATGGCACGCTACTGCAGCCACTAGTGCAGCACCGCGTCCACTCCCATCTTCCGACAGCATTAAGTCGAACTGAAAGAATAAATTCAACAGTCAACAGAGGGATACTTTGTACAAAATCATCTGCGTCACTCGTGTGCTGTTAGAAAGTTTGCTGGCACGACTTTATTTTTTATACCACAGAGGTGGCAACATACGGCCCACCTTATGGTAAATTACGCGCTCTATTGCGATCGATTCTCAGGTGGCAATTCTTTAGACAACTCTAAAATTTAAAGTTCAGTTTATCATTACAGAAAATATTTATTCTAAGCTTCAATATAAACAAAATTTCTAATATATATAAGTAAAAATTATTATAAATTTGTGAAGGACTATAAAACAATAATATCGTAAAACTATCAAATTAAAATAACAGGTTAAGACACAAGTTTAGAGAAATGGCTCCTCAGAATTTGCCTCATTGTTTTCGACGTCTATATATATGAGATTGTTACGGTTTCCTATCGGTTGAGTCGTTATATTGTCGTAAATAATTATAATTAACACTTATATTGAATAATGAATTAAATGAATTATTGAATGTAGTCTTCGAACTTGACCAGACTCGGAGAAGCCTATGATCTGGTATAAAAACTAAATAGGAGTATGTAACGGTCTAAGAATATAATAATTATAATAATATATACATGTATATTTATCTATTATAACTTTTTATTCTATATGGAACTATGTAATTAATTTGAATTGTCAACGTGAAGTATCAATAAACTGTACCTATCTATATTTTAAATACACAATCGGGACTTAATGCGACGAAAAAACCTTTACAGGTAAATGTACCTATATACCTGCTTCTTTATGACAGGATTGTAGTGACCACGACGTGGTACAATCAACGTCGAAACGTCAGCAATAAAGAAACAGGTATGTAGGTAGGTACTATTTACCTGCAAAGGTTATTTCATCGCGTTAAACCCCGAGTGTGTATTTAAAATATGTGTAAACAACGTGAAAGTTTAAAAAGTACCCACCTATGTCAAAATTGGTAACATTTTTCAATTAGTCAATAAACAGTAGCATACTGACGACAAGTATGGTATATGATTCACATAAATTACTATATAATCCTTGGGATATAACCTTGCTTGGTTAAATAAGTACCTAGATGGTATAGATAATAGCCGTCATTGTCACCACGGACTGACGAACCAGTTTGTGCTATCTTTATCCGTATGCGCTATCAAAGAGAGGTGTGTCTTTAAAATTACAATGAATAAACTTGTTTTGATACACTCGTGCAAAGTTCAGGTCTTGCGATGATAAATAATATAGAAATGATTTTATCCGAATAGCTAATTCGCTGTCGCAAACAACCAAGCTAGTTATAATACACTTGAGTATTCATAGAGATAAGAGGAAGTATTAATTATACCCTTGTGCGTTATAATGCATAATGGTATAATTAATAATATTTCCTACAATAATAATAAGTTATATATGATTTATGCACGTGTATATTATTGGTAGGTATAGTACAATAGGGCATAGGTTTCAATTTTACCAAACTACAATAAACACAAAGGGAAGGAGTACTACAAAAAAGCAGCAACTCTTTTTATATGTAGCTGACTAACCCAAGTAAACTATAGGTAAAATAAAATACACATATGTAGTAAAATACATAAATTATTGAAATAGAAATAAGTAGGTGAGTATCAGTAATTAGATTTCCAACGTTAGATGCCTTATTATAGAATAATACGACTATATCTATACCAACATTATAAAGAGGAAAGACTTGTTTATTTGGAATGGACAGACTAAAAAACTACAGAGCCGATTTTAAAAATTCTTTCATCTATAGAAAGCTATGTTATCAGTGATTGATTATACGCTACGTATATATTTTCGAAAATTCAATCTAGCCTTTCGAAACCGGATCGGATTGTTACTAATTTAATAAAAGGAAAATGATCTTATACTGGGACAAATTTTACCAGATAACTAAGGAATGACCAATTTTTATGTTTTCTCAATGTATTCGAACAATTATTTAATTTCATCAGTAACATTTAAAATTTTACTTTAGAAATGTCTTTTCAATATTTTCGGAGGCGAATGAATAATATCGTAACTGTGGATATGTGACAAAAATTGTCAGACAAAAGAACAATAAAATGAATATAGGGATTAGGTATAATACGAAGGTGGAAGATAGCAGGAGTTACGAGAAACTTACATTAATCAATCATGATCGGATAAGACTGTCAGAAAAAGTCAAGTGTCTCTGGATAAGGTATCTGAGCTTATATGTGACGAATTATCAAATATACGAAGAAAGAGGTGCACGTCTAGAAAGAAGATATTGGCTTATATTAAACCATAAAACGCTTGAATAACATGTAACCAATTAGATTTAATATAGATTTAATACATAATTCATTGAATTACCATAAGGTAATCCAACTATTATAAACAAATCAATACACGACTTACCGTTATACCCGGCCGAACTAAATACTCGATTTTTTCGCACATTAAAGTGTGGAAGTGTGGATGGAAACGGTACACGGAGCCGTCGATGCCAACCGTCACCACGGGATCGTTCATCTTGTTAAGGAGTGTGGCGATGCCAGCCGATACCAGGTGCGCGGCTCGCCGCGATACGCATTCACATACGTATCTCACTGCCGCCATGTCAGCCTCGGTCGCATGTGCCAATCCTGCAATGTGGCCAACATTATATCATTTCAGTATATTAAATTAATCTTATTTACCCCTCCACTTTATTAATTTGTGTTTATGGCTGTTTTTGTATCTAATATGAAAACTAACTGTGGTTGCCAACTCGCCTGCCAAGCGTGGTAACTACTGGCAAAACTTCCCAATAGCAAAGGCAATCTAATGGAAAGGCCTATGTTCAATAATAAACAGTTAACGACTAATGCGATACAATGTATCATAATATTTTTTGTATCATTAATCTTATCCCATTCCTATATTTTACTGTAAATTGTTTTCGATCTTTTAAATTAAATTATAGGTTCAATAATGACATATGTGTGTAGGTAGATATTCGTATAATAAAGTAGGCAATTGTTAAAACAAGTATGTAATGTCTCGTTAACATTGAATTATAACGTTAAATATATAAGTATTGTTTGCGGAGATAATAAATTGCAGATTAGATTAACATATGATTACTTAGTAACATATCTATACAATCGTAAATAGTACAGGAAATAGTACTATTTCTAATACTGTGCTAACCTGAAAGTCAACAGTATTATTTATGAATCTGTACATTTTTAAATATAATACATATCCTACATATTCAAAGTATAGAATTTTTTTTTATTCCATTAATAACGTGACTTAAGTTAGAAAAAGCTAATTTCTGTCTACTACTTATGTGTTTAGGTCAGATGTTATCTATTTTACGGTCTCTGTATTATCTATCTGTAGTCTGGAACAATATACATATCTAGTATTTATAGCTTGTTTATTGTTGACTACTTCTAGAGATTAAAGAGTAATTATTTATTTTATTATTAATTAATTAAACGATTAAGATGCATATATATTACATAATGATTATCTAAGTCTATAGTATAATATATTGTAAAATACACTTGCAAATAAATAGATATCTACCGATTTTTCAAACAGCGTAAACGAAGGGAATATTTCAGGAATACGTAACGTTTAAGCCCAACCAATATACAGAATATAATAATTAAAAAAAAAAAAAGGATTTTAATCTAAAATACTGCTTTGTTTTAGACAATGCCAAACATGGTGAAACATGAATGTAATTTTGATGAACGTTAATGGAACAATGACGTCAAATTTTTATTTTACATTTAATTTACATTTTAAACATTGAGATACATAATTAAGTATATAAAAATTAAATAACGAGAATCAAAAAAGCAATAATTCTTGTATTTTACATTTTATTCTCGATTTTAAGTACATAATAATAATAAATAATTTTTAATCAAGTAAATAATAAGCATTTTTGAATAGTCTTTTTTTTATAAACTACCGTCCAGTTCGGAATGTAATTTCAGCTGAGAAGAACGGGAAACAGACACAACTGTTGTTTTTTCAAATATAAATATGTGAAAGAGTGAATAAATGTCACTTAATAAATAACTAAAAATATTTTTCAATTACATATCTAATTGAAATAGTATTTTATTTTATTTTCACAATGTTGATCTCTTCTAAGTTAGGTACTTGTGGCATTCTCTACATCTTTGATTATCCGATTTAATATTACTGTCAATATATTTTAGTATTTTAAGAAAATTAAGGACATGAAGGCACTAAGACTGTTCCGAAGATAACTATAAGTAGTGTAATGTATGCACATACTAATAAGGCTACCGTTGTATACCTATCAATTTCTTACGTCATCTGTCCATATGTATATGTATGAAACATTGAGAAATATTAAAAGTATTATATGCTGTGTAATAGTTTGTTGCAAAAGTCCACACTTTTTATCATAACATTATTATTATGAAAGCTAGATGGCAGGTACCTATTTATTAATTTTTGCCACGTAAAGGTATTCTCAAAGAAAGATGTTAAATATCTACCTATTAAAATCATTCAATAATAATGTTTGATCAAATAATAATGTACATATTTGCATAGTTTAAAAAGTAAAACGCATGCATTATTAACGAATATCTAAGTACCTGACAAAATTATAAAAACTGAATTCCTATTACCAAGATTCTAGTGACGATGTATGTAACTTAAATAAAATATCATTATTGCTAAGAAAAAATTGGTTCTAGTTTAGGAAAAATAAAAAGAGTTACTTATTAACGTACGTACGTACGTACGCTGTAGGCCTGCTCGTATAAGATAAATTTTATACTAGTGTAGTGCAGAGTAGACTAATAAATAAATATAAATAAAGAAATTTACCAAGTTCTTCGAGCACGTCTCTGCAACTTGTGAATTCTCCGGGCAAGTCAGATTCAATCTCCGAAACATATTTGGTATAGAAACTATTTCTCTTAAAGAGTAAATCTGATCCTCTTCCATCGAAGAGTAGGTCCATTCTTGTTAATTTCTCCAGTGCTAAACGTACTATTTCTCCCAAGTACATGCCGGCTATCATCTTTTCGAAACTGAAATAAATAGTTTTAGATTTAACTCCACATATACCTATATAAATATTGAAAAGAAATTTGTGTAATATTTAGTTAATCTTTAAACAAAATTTATTTATCCTTTACTTCATTTATCCATAAGGTGAAAGCAATTTCTATATTTTTCCCCATAATGTTTTGTATGTTGGCAATCTTTATCGAATTATTATTTTACTAGTTATTACCCGTTACTTTGTCTAAAGGTAATTTATTTCTAATTCAAATAAAAGAAATATTACAACTACCCTACATGCATATAAAAATTTCATGTTTAATTGGTCGAACCCTTGAGGTGCTAAGAAATAACAAACTCACATTGAAGTTTTATAATATTAATAACAATTCTTGATATTCAATTATTCTATTAAAGTATTTAATTAAATTCGTTTACGTCAACATCTAGGAACACTTCAGGTATCTAATAACTTATAGTCATACTTTTCAAATAGTTGTAGTGTACATGGTCAATTATAAACAATAACAACTAAGAATTGACTAGCTAATGTAAGTTGTCAGTTCAGAAAGTAACGGGAATTTTTCGATTTGGAAAGTTCGATTGTCTATTTTCTTATTATATTAATATATATATAGTCCCTGAAGTATGATAGAATTTTTACCTGTGAGTATTCAATGTTAACCTGTTGATAACCGCTAAGGTTAGATGTGTTTTTATAAGCTCATCGATTTTTGTTTGTTAAAAGAAATAGATCAAAGAGTTTGTACATGTTCACAAACCGATAACGTTAATATTCCATTTTCACCCAAAAAGAAATCCGAGGGATTATTGCTAACAATGGGGACTAGCATTCCCATTACTAACAATCCTTTCTCCCCACAGGTTTAGTATCTATGCCCTTTTTATGATTTAAGATATTTATTTCTCAAAAGATTAGAAGTATTCTCTTAAATGAGATTATATCTATTTAAAACTAAATATATAACTATGTATAAACATATTGTAGCCGTAAAGACACTAATGGCGGTATACGAAAAAAATTGTTCTTCTGATAAAAATTGTCGGTATGTGCATAAAACAGCCCTTTTTGAAAAACTTTTATAAATAAATTGATTGAGAACTTACATCTGTTTACCGCGGTTAATAGAATGAGTGTCGACTTCACGGTCAAACTCTGTCCTGATGAAGTCCAGCGAACCGTCGTCTCCGAACGCGCCCCATTCTGTGTTGATGAGCATCTGTAGTTTGCCGTTATTTTCTTCAAATAACTCGCAATTCTCCGTTTTTTCTACATAACAAGCATTGCTTCCCGTACCTATATAAATGAGGTTAAAAGACAATAATAAAATTAACTAAGAAAATATAATGTGTTAGAACTGTTTTTTCATACTACTTAATCATTTGTCATAATGATGAATTAGATGCATTTTGAGTTTGTTAAAGTTGTTTAAAATGTACTCGAATAGTAGTTTGAAATAAGAAGGACGGAGAAAATAAGAAAACTATAATTGCCACAATTAATTTATAATGAATATTAAATAAATTGATGTTTATTAAATTGTAAATTAATATTGATATGATATCTCATATATGTATAATCACATGCAATAATTATTAATTACATGTGAGTACTTGTCACCTTGTTTGACCTAATATCACAGTTAAAATTACTGATTAGCTTTCTCAGTAACTACCTATAATAATTTATTATTTTGATCTACAAAATCAAATCTGACTACAACTACAATAGGAATCATAAAAATTTATTCAGAATTAACAAAGATATCGTTTGACATAAAAATATATATATATATATTACAATTTTATAGACATTCAAGTTAAAGGTGGTTCTAAAAACTACAAAGTGCAAAATTACATACCTACTTCTTTTTAATGTGAATGTATTTCTCAAAATATATTAGCAACCGTCTGTTAAGTCCAACAGTAGTATAAATGATTAGAACACTTGTACCAATTTGTACTCGTATATTGCTTACAAAACATATTTTAGTTGCAATTAACCAGAGGTCAAAGACTGTCTATTACTCGTACGTTACAGTTACAATAAGCCGCTATTGTATCTATTATATCTTCAACAATAAGGATATATATTGATACATTAATATCTTTGATTATAAGCGGAACTGATATAATTAAGTTATAACATTAATATAAAATCGTATTCGTACTAAGTTAAAAGAACTCATCAACGTGCGTCAGTTTACAGAACGACGGGAATTCCAAATTCCCTGTATGCACTGACTCAACAATGCAACACATATTGTCACAGATTTACCTTATATGTTTCTGTCTTTATTATCTAATCTTAACACAATATAATAATGAAGTCACTACACAGTAATTGCGTATTATTATCATCTGTGACGGAGCATACAATAAAAATATCGAAAAATCATTAAAATAATCAGTAGTTATGAATATTATGATTGATTGATTAAACCAGCCTTTCCCAAAGTGGGCGATAACGCCCCCTATGGACGCTGCAGACCTCAAGGGGGCGGTAAGAGACCCAGAAAAAAATGGGGGCATTGTATAGAGGCTTGGGAGGTGATTTGTTGATCTTGAAGTAATAGTGGTTTTTAAGTAGATGAAAGAATGGGGGCGCTTAAAAAATAATTTATTCTCAAAGAGGGCAGTGGACAAAATAAGTTTGGGAACCCCTGGATTAAACGAACAAATTTGAATACAACATATAATTTTAAATTCGGTAACACTGTCATCTATTGGTGGAAATACGTATTAGACCAAGAGAATTCACTCTCGACTTTCTCGTTTATATTTAGTGTACAATATTTAAGTACATTAATTAATAATAATAAGCATTCTTTCGACACTTAAGTGCATTATAAGTTTGTTTAATATTGGTCTTTTGGTTTAAATTAAATTGATTTATGTATGTTCTATTTCTTGTTTTGTAGTCTAAATCCATCCATATCTATAATTATATCCATAATTAAAACGAACAAATTTTATATGTATTTTTAATTTAATTCGATCCTTTTACACTAAATCGATCATTTGTTAAGGATTTTTTGTATTTCTCTCTTCTACATTCACTGCTAGATTTTATACTTTTCTGTTGGACTCTTTAATATACAATATAAATTTACTGTAATACTACACGAAGGTAGAAGGATAGGAAGATAGAAGGAAGGAAGAATTACAGGAAAAAACATTGAAAACAAAATTAATAAAAAATATTGTTTGAATTAGTATTGTAAGAGTCGGCTGTTGTGTTATGCGGCAACTACGGCAGAAGCAGGAAAGTGACACTAATATATAAATGAAACCTACCAGCTATTAGTCCTATTTTGCAGTTGTGGTTTTTCCATGCGCAGGACATGAGTGTACCCGTGGTGTCATTCAGTATTCCACATACATCAATTTGTATGTCCTATAAGAATGAAAAACATGCTACTTATATGCATAATTAAATAAAAGTTAAAATGATAACCAGGATGGAGAGGTATGTGATGATTTGTTAAAGGTGAACATGTTTTTGTCTTTTGTCGTACATTATACTCAGTTTATAAAAATAAAATTTGTAAGTAAAAATATATTATATATATACACCAAGTAAAATATATTTTTTACTTTGAAGATTACATAGGCATAATTTTACTAAATGTTATTATCATAAGCTTTTTTTATAATTACATTAAATGTGATATTGATAGAAAACTTTGTATATTATAATAATTTAACGTATTTAAGACAAAATTATTGCTTATTACGTTACTATTATTGTAAAAATACAAAATAATAATAATAACACTTAATAAACATGAAGAAATATATAAAAATATCAATGTTGCGTTACTTTTACTAGCCACTAAAATATAATTGTTATACCTATTCTTGAAAGTAAATTAAATTCATAGGCCTTTAACATGCCTGCTTATTTTTATGAAACTATGTTAATAAATTAATAAAGAATATATTGAGACTATAATATATACTATATGTCAAATTAAAAAGCTATAATTTGGTATCCCCGATGAAAATAATCATGCCTTATCTTCAACTCACCCAAAATAATCCCTACTCTGCAATTTGGATTCTTATGTACGCAGGACATTAATGTACCAGTGGCATCATTAAGAATGCCCATCACACTTACAGAAAGGTCCTGTAAAATCATTTGGTGTCATGGACATCGTTTGTTTCTTTTTGTAGTGAACATAGGCTTGTCACATATACGTACACTTATATATAAACTGTTATTAACATTTAAAAAAAATTATATTATTAAAAAATGTTCCAATACGTACCCCACGTCTTGAGATAGCATCTTTCAATGCTTGTACCACATCTTCATTGACCACTCCTGAGCAAGAAAAGCCTTTGGTCCAACGTTGTAAGATACCTTTCGTAAGACCAGTTTGTTTTAGTGGAAAACTAAATGTAAAACCGAGCGCTAAACGCTCATCATAGACCTCGTGCTCCTATAGAAAAAGAAACAATATATTATTTACAATTTATAATCGGAATACCTACAAAATTCTGTTTATTGAACCACAGATTAATTACCTTCATAAAATTAGCTAAACACTCAGCTATATGATCAAATAGAGCAACGCCTGTGCCGGTCATGATATGATTAGGTACGGCATAAATTTTTGACTGCATGTCGAAATGGTTATCACCTAAATTTATTATTAAAACCCTGAAATTAGTTCCACCTAAATCTAATGCCAGAAATTTACCACGTTCTGAAAACAAAATGTTATTGTTAACAAATTACATTCTCCTATGTTGTGTAGGGCGACACAACGTTCTGATAATTGGAAAAGTCCATTAACAGGTTTAAATTTATAATCAAATATATTATATTACTGTCTGATTTATTAAACTTTTGCAATTTTTACCTTTTCCATTTGGTAAATCTTGTATGTAAGTAAGCCAACATTTCACAGAGGCTTTTGAATGAGTATTTTTGCCGAGCCCCCTGACCAGTTCATTATGAAGCCTGCTCATCACTTCTTTGATCTGTGTGTCTGACATATGAAAGACTCTGCATTCTTCACGAATCTGTAAATGAAAAATGCTATTATTACTTACAGGTTCATATTAAACTACAATAAAACCAAGGAACTAATACAAATCATTAATAAGTAACATTTTTTATTTTGATGAATATATAAAACTTTGTATTGATAAGAAATAAAACAAATACACCTCGTTATTTAACAGGGTAGGTACTCATATAACGTAATGTGGGTAGATATTGTATATTTAATTGTACATTTTATAAACCGTAAATATACCTACATCAAGTCTAGTATTTTAGTCATAATTGAATTTAAGTAATAGTACCAAAATTTTATATTTAATGGCAGTGATTGCAATTTTTCTGCATATAAAATAAGCAAGTAGTAATGTTAGCCGTTTATTATCGCGAACGAGTTTTCACAAGGTCAACGCGGTCATTACAACACTACCGTTGTTGCTTTCCAATTTAAAGCCGGCTTTAATATTAAACATAAAATATTTTTCTTTAAAAATTAACTTTACTCACCAGTGGTAAATTGTTAATAGCCATACCCATTTTTAATTAATTATTTACACAATTGTACTGTAGATTCGAAAATACGACTTTGCCCGTTTATAATATTATTACACGTCTTACTATAGTCACAAGCGAATAAGGAATACGGCGATCATCGAACGAACTCGTTCTAATACGAGCCCACTCTTTTCATTCATGATAATAAACTATCGTCGTCTCGCTCATAATATTTAAATGAGCACAAGTTAGAGTAGTACCGATGGAATATCTGAAAGACAACCTAAATAAATATAATTCGACATTATAAATTTGTTTAAATATTGAAAAAGAATCCTTTTTGAATCGATATATTCCTAGGTTTTACTTTTGGTATCTATAAAAACAATTTACTGTATAATTTATAATAATATTGGCGTGTCTTTCGGCGTACTAATTTGATTGGCTGACGCGTGGGCTCGCTCGTGACGTCATAGACATTCCTCGATTTCTATATTTACAATAGCTTTAGTAGTAGTAGTGAAGTGACTTTAACATTGTGTTTAGTGGGTGTGTGCATAGAATCGTGGATTACCATAATTGTTAAATATTCGACATCGAGTATTTTCTTTGAGGAAAATGTTATAACACTATAAATATTATAAATTTAATTTCAAAAAATAAAATCCTTTTGTTGTTTATTAACTAACTGATTTATCAAACGCAAACGGCTTATTTAGCTGTTGATTTGAATAACATTTGTTTCACATTACAGATAGACTATGTTCTAAATTAGCACAATTAATGTACTTTGTTTTAATAATACGCTCTCGTGGTTAATTTTGATTCAAAGTTTACGCAGATGATATCGCGAGTTGTAGGTACATTACCTACATTTTATATTTTTTTATAATTGAAGAATTTATCCTATTCCAAATAAATGCTGCCAAATAATTTCATAACACAAATTTGATTAGTAGTAGTCGTATTTGTATCTAAACGTAGTCATTGTAAAAAGCGTAGGTTGGTACTTGGTACGTCAATGTACTCAAGACTAACGAAAAACAAACAAATCCAGTTTTGTCTGGTTTGTATATGTAAACAATAATGACTCGGTGATTGATATTATTTCTGTCAAATATTGTTCATATTTACATCAGGTACTGCAGTATTGTACTGCACACAGGTTATTATCTACAGTTTATAAAGCTTGTTACGTACTTACATATGAACGTACGTTTCTTATATGACACTACTATTTTAGTTATGGAGCTTGGCCTGTGTTGTACGTCATTTGTTTGCACTAGATAGTTACTTGACGTAAATATGATGATTATGTTTCACACAAATAGCCAAATATACACTTATGATAACAGTGTCGTGGAGAATAAAATTAATGTGCTTGTTATAAAAATTTTACAAACAATTTGATGTAAAATTTTTGACTGCATTTTGTCGGAATAGAAAATAAAAAATTTAATAACATACAACAAAAATAGACATTTGCATACGTCTGTAGTAGAATATGATAATAAATATTTATTTACAACATACCCGGTACTCATAATTTACACAGAATTCAGTTTAAAAATCAGGAATCAAGAAAAAAAGGGCAATTTTAAATAAGTAATAAATCAGATACTATTAACAGGTTATTGTTATATATTTATAATATTGTAAGACTGTTTGAAGGTAATAATAAATTATTGTATAAATTATTAATTTAAATAAATTAATGGTACTCGGAAGCAAAAGTGTAACATAATGTCCTACAAAACTCGGAATTTTGGTAACTCTAAAACGGTTTTTTTTATTATGTTTGACTACCTTGTGTGTTATTTTACATACTATTGAATATTAAAACTTTTAAAACTGTAATCTTATAGGGATCTATTTTAAAATCGTAGCAACGTTTGTTGCACGTCTGTTCGATCGAACGCATGTGTATGTATATATTCTTGGCACAGATTGTTGTTTATTTTAGCGACAGCACATCAAGAACCTCCGCTCTAACCGGTGCCGCGATATGAGGCAATATATTCGTACAAAATTCGGATCCCATCCGCAGAGCCACTTATAAGAGTGTTATGATAATTTATATAATAACATATCAATAATTTTATTACAAATTTAATACAAAATTAAGTCCATCTATTTTTACGACCTACGATTATAGATGAACATTACGAGAAATAGACTAAACGGATTTCAAAGAAAATTTTTTAATCGTTCTGTTAACTTGTGTATCATCAAAATCGATCAAGCAAATATAAAATGGTACAGCTTATACCCTTAATTGAAATAGTGTAGAAATTAGAATAGTTCTTAATTTTTTAGACGAGAAAATAAGGTCCTTTTGGTATAAACATATATTTTTTTACAGATAAAGTTACTTTCGACTGCAGCAGATAGTGTAAAATTGAGTTTCCCTTAAAGTTTTTAATAAATATAAATTACTTAGTATGTACAAGGTTTTAAATTACGCTAGGAAAAAATAAATGAACCACTTGTACTATACAATTAATACTTTCTATGCACATCAAAGCACAGTTAGGTAAACTGTCCTATTTAATTAATTCTTATTTAATTCTTAATTTTTTCTCAAATAGAAGCGGAACCATCTCACACTTGACCAATTTTTTATATTTGCATATGCTGTTGGCAACATGATAAGATAATTTTTATTATTTTTAAACGACTTCAAAAAAGGAGGAGGTTCTTAATTCCGTTGAATTTTTAATGTATTAACCTCAGAACTGCGTTATTTACAAACCGATTTTGATTTTTTTTTTTATTTGAGAAAATATATTTTTAGATTTCTATAGAAATTCCATCGAAATCGTCATTATTTTTTTAGGAAACAAAATCTACTGTTTAGATAGTTGGTTCTATATTACTTTTCTAGATGTTATGACAATTCCAGTTTCGTTAGGGTTAAATCGTAAATGACTTATAAAACTCCGCCATTTATTCGCCTACAGTAATTTGCCACTTCAAATAAAGTATTCCGATAGAGCCGCGTATTATTTTTCTGATAGCAATTTTATAGTGATTATTATACTTGATAAGATTAACATCATGCCTTAACCGGTAATCCTGCAATATAATGCTTACAATCATAATAACTGTTTATGGTTTTTGAACCATTTGAGCCCAAACTCGTTGTTACTAGTTGTACCTGCATATAATGTATAATTGAACATTATTTAATAATAACACTATTTAAAATTTTATTAAAACACGCTATTAATCGTGCCAAAACCAGTTTTTTTTTTAAACCACTGAAGGGGCAAACAAACATTCGGCCTACCTGATGATAAGTGGTTACCGTAGCCTATGAACGTCTGCAATACCAGAGGTATTACGCGCGCGTTGCCGATCCTAGGGAACCTCTTTCGAAAAACCCCATGCTGTAACATCTTGGAAAAATCTCGACAGGGAGCTTATTCCATAACCTTCGTAGGGATAAAAACATCTCTGAAACCGCGTAGTATTCGACTATCTAGGCTCTAAAGTTTGAGGGTGAATTCCCTGTCGAAGGCGAACTGTACGATGATAAAAAGTGGCCATTACTTTTGGTTTAAAAATGAAATTACATAACTGATTTTAATAAAAATTTTATGGTACTAATCTGAAAGTAAATCTTTACAGGTAAAAAATAATTTTTAAATCGGTTTGTAAATGACCGAGTTATGAGATAACAAACGAACAAAAATGCAACCGATTGAGAACCTCATTTTTTTAAGACTTTTGTAACATCCTTCTTCAAGCATCGAGACATAAATAATGATAAACATGTACATTAATTATTATTATAACGATCAGTGTCATACTATATACCATATACTCAATATTAAGGTTTGCATTCTTTAAAAATTGTACCTGTATACGATATAATTTATCGCAATATAATTTATTTTTGATATTACTATGAAAACACTTGTACTCTTCTACAAAACGTATTATATTAAACAATTGTGTAACTCCTTTTAATTCATTACCAATATCGTGTATAAATATTTAATAATATGGCAATAAAATTTGTTTTTGATATTATTATGAAAACACTTGCATTTTTCAACAAAAAGGTGTTATAATATAATAAATATTTGTGTGTTTCCTTTTTGTTGTGGAACTTTAGAAGTAAGATCCCAAATCTTACAATTATCAATAACTGTTTTCTTTTTAACTTACTTCAAAAAAGGAGGAGGAAGAAATAATAAAAAGTATACTGTCAGATATTTCTATATTTGACTGTATATTTTTTATTATTCGGTGCAATGGTTCTCTTCGATTAAAGGTTGACAATGAGTTCTATAGATGAAGGTAGGTACGTACGATTATAGGACAGAAAGAATTTCGAATAAATAAATAACGCGGAAATAAATATCGACACAGAAAAATGCAATTAATTTGTTTTAGGAATACGACTCACAGATAATTACAGTAATATAATAGGTGCATTATAAAAAAAAAAAAACAAATCACATCGTATATGAATCGTTATTAAATCCTACTAAGAGATTTATAATATTACCAATAGTTATCACATAGGTATCATAGCAAAACCATACAAATTATATTTCATGGCTTTCAGATTAACAACATTATCGTGTAACTACTAGATAACGTTGGGTACATAATATCTGTTAGTATTCTAGCTGGTTATATCTTAACAGCTCTATGTGCTAACAAATACGCTAATGATGTGTTAAAATGTATAACAAAGTTAGATTGAATTAGAGTATGTGACAAAATATAGAAAATAATATCTGTTATACGAGAATAAACATTATAATAAAATGTCGTCGTAATGGTGAAGAAATCCGTACTTATTAAAAAAAAAATAATAGGGAGACGAGAAATAAATGACGGAACCTAAATCAGTTATTTGTCTTTATTGATCTATGCTTCTTTAAACCTCATCATTTATAATATATGTTAAACACTGAAACTAAACAGGTTGAACGAATAAATAATAAATGCATAAATAATAAAACTTATAATAAAGGTCTCTAAATCTCTCTAATTGGATAGAATGTTTAATATGACTCGCTGTGTTCTACAGGACACATTTTGGAGAGTGTGCTCAAGGACTGCATGACCTAATTTCTCTTTCACCCTTTCAAAATCGGACAACCAGACCGGGCGAACGTTATAAACATGCCATTTATACGCACAAAACGTTTTGCGTCTTCCTTCATCATGCGCACGGCCAAGGAGTATAAATCTCTCCCTGCTTATATTTTTTCATCGAAATATAATCTGCACAAATTTACGGCAAATGTGAGTAGGCTATTCGTGGGCTCGCGAACTCCATTTTAGATAACATCATCACTTTCCATCAGATGAGATCGATTTCAATTGCAGGAGCCTAAATAGTAAAAAAATGCACACCCATTTAAAGACAGCAGTACTGGCTGCAATGCTGCAGTTTACTATTCAGTATCGTTACTAACATCGCCAACGTGTTTTATGACGGAATCCTAAGTGCTTTAATCATTTTTGTATGTAACCCCAAAAAAACTGGCTGATTACAAATAGTTCTCGTGCAATCCAATACTTATTAGATACATTTGTGTATAAACATACTCACGAGCTCTGATAATTTATATTTCAATATCTTCAAGATGACATCAAGCACGGTTTTAAATCTTAATTCATGTTTTTACAAACTTGAACTAACCTGATGATCCACCTGATACAAAATGGTAATTATCACCTATAGACATAAACACCACCATGGATATCAAGATCCCACAGACTGCACTTTGTTGTTATTGAACAAGGAGTATTTTGCTATTTCTGAGAAATAATTTGTTGGGCCTATGTTCATATTAATTCCAGTAATCTCATTTTCATATCACACCTTTTATTTTGAGGCAAGCATACATGTCGTCACTCGTGACGTGAAGAATGTTTACTTCATTTATCATATTCTGTCGAGTAATTTGGTCAATACAAAGGGGTAAATAAACTCGCATAGATACGGGAACGTTAAGAATAACATACTTCTTTTATCAGATAGTTGTGTAAAAAGTTGCCAGTTAGTATCTGCCGTTTTATGTTATTTATTAAATATTCATGAATACTTATGCTTTTAGGGGTTATTTTTTTCTAAAAACAAACATATCCAGTAATAACAAAAACTCCTATACTGTATTTATCTGTGTAGTTCATTCTGTCCATACAATAGTTCTACCTTAAAGTGTAATTTTTGAAAAAACATTATTGTACAACAAAAAATTTGCTTTAAAATTTTCCCGGGCGGGAACATTGTACAATTTTCATTTAATAGTTTTAATAATTTTTAAATTTGTATGTTGCATCGGTAGGTAAGTGTATAGTATTTCGAATACCTTGTTTTCTTTTCTATTCTTTTTAAATGTTCTAGTATTTTATTAAATACTTTATTTTATTTTAAAAGTGATATTCTATAATTTAAAACCTTATTACTTTTCGCAAGTAATTTATAGTAAATACGGCTTATATAATGCTAGCTTTTACCCGCAACTTTCACTAACTGGGATAAAAATAATCCTATATCCTTCTCCATACCATACAATACCTGTACAGCAAACATAGTGATTGGTTAAGCCGTTAGGATGCCGAGAAGTAATAATTGAACAAATAAGCTCATCTTATAGTTTATAATATTGGTAAGAATGTACTAGATATTAAAAACTTTACAATTGCATTTGATTTATTGACTAGTGTATTTCTTTGTACATACATCATTACTCTTATAGTGAAAAAATTACAATCTATATTGGCAATGTTACATAATTGATTACTGGCATATTTTTTTCATCCCTTCCTTGTTATTTCACTTCTTGGATACATTGGTAAGTAATTAAATATAATTAATGAAGACATCATTTTGTAATATATAATTACGTGACTCGGAGTTGGAATACGTCTTATTAATGTGTTTGACCCTATTATAGAGACGATAACATGACCTTGTTTAACCTTGCCAATGTCACCAAGTCATGAATACTCGACATGAATACATCTTGTATCGAATTGGATAAAAGAATAATGAACACAAAATATTAATAGGCATTTAAAAGTGAGTAGTGAATATCTACCCTTAATAATTTACTTATTAAAAAAAAAATGTACTTGACAACCAATGAGATGTAATTGGTACTTTTGCTCTTTTATACTAATCAATACGGTCTCATAGTTTGTTAAAATAATTTATTAATTTGGACAACTATTGTACAGGCTTTTATTTTTGGTTTATTGTAATAAATTATACATGTATTGAAAAGAAATAAATATGACTAATGAAAAGAAATATAATATAAAGAAATATTATGTAAATTTCTCATATTGTTAATAATTTGCACGCTGATATACAGCCAGAATGTATATGACAAATGTAAACCTCGTTTATATAAAACTACATTCTTGCAAAATAAATTAATTTCATTTCATAAATATCTAACTATGGTATAATAGATATAAATACCTATATACAATCATCATCATCACCAGTTATCGTTAACTGTCCACTGCTGAACATAATCCTGCCCAATAGAGTTGGCACGCTTGGCAGACTGATATTGACGACCACAGTTAGGTTTTGTTAATTTTTAGAGTTTAAGAGGGATGCTGTTGTCCATATCTCCATCAAGTAAGTTCTTTATTCGCCTTTTATGACACCGCAGATACATACAAGGGGTTTGAATAATTCGGATTAAAGGATCATAGTTTCAACATCATATAGGAAATTTTGGCATACATTACGAAAGTGGAAGGACACAGATATTAGAAAAGGCTTGAACTGATGTATCATAACAAGTTTGATAAGTCTGTTTATTGTCATCTAAGAGGGAGTTGAGAGCTTCCGAAACTAGCTAGACGATTTATAAAAACAGATGAAGCAAGAGATGTATGTGAGGATAATAATGGCAGACTCTCAGGATGCCCTGGAATAAACCTATCTTGAATACAGATATATCTAAGAAATTCTTAGTCCATACCTACCTTCTAGCATCTTCTAAGTTTTCGTAGATAAGTCATTACATTAATAATTTAGATTTTGTTCATTAAAAACTGAATTCAATGTTGATTCTTTTAGTAGGGGACCAACTATGAAAATCAACCCTTACGACTATAAAATAACAATCAAATTTAGTTCCGAATTGGCGAGGACAATAATTAATTTGTTATCTTACATGTTATCTGCAGCATATAAAAAACTACAGTGAAAATGTAAAACTTCGTTTTTGAAGTCGGTTGAAAATATCAATCGATTTACAATAGATATAGTTCAATGTACGGATCAATTTATGATTAATACATGGGTGTGTAATTTGATCACTTCAAAGTCCAATGTTTATTATTATTGAATGTGTACTAATTATATCTATGTAATTGCCTATAATAATATTTAAATTTCATAAGCACATAACCTAAAGTGTCAGGCGGCTAATTTATTGTATCGCGTAAAACCGAATTTGCGGCTTTACGCAAGCTGTAAAATGTACCAAATATTCGCGTATCTGCTCTCAAAACTATCTGAACGACGAAGGAAATTTTCTAATGTACGCAAATATTGAGATTGTAATACTTACTATATCTCTTGCTTGACGCATATCGATTTGTCTTGTCAGTCGCGACGACTGAGATAAAAGGTGATGAACGAGTAATGTTGGCGTCCACAGGATGCTTTGCTATAATAAATGCCACGTAACACTGAGTTGCTAACAACGTCCGCGTTCTGGCGAATACCGGTATCGGTGACCGTTTAGCAGTGTAGAAGTGAAAGGGACCGTACACTGCGACTACTGCGAGCGACGCAGATAGAACACTTGCTATGCGAGTCGAGTTGAGGGTCACCTTGAGTCGACGCGACCGGCGCATGTGCACCACACCCTCGACCTCGACGCTCCCGCGCGCCCGCTGTTGCCCCAGTCGCGTGACGTCACGACCGGCCCACCATGCGGCCGAGCAGGCGGACGCCTCTAACGCGTTCACGTGATGCCCTTCACGTTTACGCAAACAACGATATAATTGTGTAATTTATGTTTCTACGTCCATTATTATCAGAAATATCTGTGTAAAACACCTAATAACAGTTTTGTAAAAAAAAATCTCTTATATATGATACTAAACTTACGATATTTATGATAGCTAATAAACTGATATTTGATAATTCAACTAAGTATATCATACTTAAATGTTAGTCATGGTGTTTTACATAGAACGAGTACGTACAGTCAGCAACATAAATTGATTAATTTATTTAACTATTATGCCGGCGATTGTTTTTGTACGCCAAAAGTAGAGCTGTTAGAGCAGAATTTTAAGTAAACTTTATCCATTCTTAAAATAAATACTTATAGTTTCTATACTTATTAATATTTATTAAAATATATAAAATACCTATATTCGCGCCTTCGTCCGCGTTTAGTCAAAATTAGTATAATTTCTAACAATTGTACGTTATTACATAGATAAATAAATTAATACTAATATTGTCTATCAAATCATCCAATCCAAGTTTAATTTATGTAAAAAATAAATATGGAATTAACAGTTTGAATTCGCGGGAATTCCCCATTGTCATTATTTTAATGGAATGATTTTTTTATTGCTAAAATATTCAAGAATTATTCTGATTTGACTTCAATAATAGATTAATAAGTCAGTTTTGACAGAGGTACAATATAATATACAATGATACAAATAACAAATTATTCTCGTAACATCATCCATCCCTAAAATTAAATGTAATTTTTTTATCAAATGTGGTATACATGGCGTTAGAAAAACTGCTACCTTTGCTGTGAACTGGTGAAAGGATCCCAACTGTAAATGTGTCAATGCGTCATAATAATGAATGCAAGTGAGACGTGCCCCCATCCACGTGGTGTGTTATGTTAGTCAGCTTGTGGGCGCGTGCGGCAACAACGGAGATTTGGTTACTGACGTTTTTAAACCTCATTCTTTCGCGGTATCACGCCAAGTCATAGGCCAAAGGTTTGTTAATGTACTACTAAAATGTAAAGCAAATAGCCAGTCATTAATTGGTTCATTCTATGTTGGTTATAAAGTATATAATAAAGATTATGTTCCAAAAAACCGACTTCAATTGTGGCAAATCCAGTTATTTTGAGTTAAAAACTAAAGTGCTGAATCGATTTTAATAAAATTTCTATAAGATTAATCTGTAAATACCTACATATATCCATTCAGATAAAAAAAAATCCAAATCGGTTCACAACTGACGAAGTTATGAGCATAAACATAAAAAATCCGAGTTTAGGACCTTTTTTTGAAGGAGGTTGACAAGAACATAAAAACTTTTTTTATTACTTATAGTAATAATTATGTGACGAATCAAAGCTTTGAATAAGTATACATATCCTCTGACGAATTACCCAAAACACTGAAGTATATATTAGGCTAAGACATTAGGCTAGTACAGATATACAGTGTACAATACTATAGTACAAAATTAAACCAAATACAGAAACGTGTGGAGACAGGGTTACTTTGTCATCGTTAACCTTTAATATTGCAATGGAAAATATTTTAAGCTCCTAGACTGATACGGAATTAATATCAAAGGCGAATACGTCACTCATCTGCGATTTGCAGACAATAATCGTCGAAATATCCCTGGAGCATTAACACTATTCTCAGTGTTTCATAGAGAAGACTAAAACCTGTAGTCCGTATGTAACTTATGTCAGTTGTGGTTAAGAACACTATATTCGAAGTTATCTTCAAATTTTGAGACCAAGATTATTCAATAACTAGGCCACAATTTCACATCTAAAATCCCTCAGAGTTTAATACAAAAACTTAAAACTAATATGTGTTGTCGTTGTCAGTGATGTTTTATGAAATCAAGTCCTGGATATCCTGCCAGGAAGCTACAAATTGCTCAGCGAACTATAGAGAGGACTACTCAGAGAATTGTTGCGTAATAAAAATTAAAATAAACAATCGAGAATCGATCAAAGTGATAGAAACAGTAGACAGAAATAGTAACATAAATAAATGATTGATTGAATACTAATAGACCGACCAAATAATTCAGAGATCGAAAACCGAAGAAAGATTCTCTTGTAGTGCCCCCGGAATTCCAATACATTAAGACGCAGTATAGGCCCTGACTAAATGATATATTGTGATATTATTCAAGTGGATGTAGGTGACTTAGGACGATTTTTTTACAAAAATCTATGAATGAGACCTAAATCAACATTACAATTAACGATTATCATGATTATGAGTTACACTTTAAATAACTACAATGATTTTGCGAAAAAATAAGCTTATTATTAGTAAAACGTTTAATATCAATACCATAAACCTACATCATTGTAATTTAAATTACGTTCAACAATAACATGCAGTTTTAATTCTAAGAAAATACTTAAATAAATAATTTTTTTCATATCTGTAGTAGATATCGGTTGAAGGCAGATAAGCAAGTGTCACAAAAATAATCTTACTAAAAATAAATGTTAAAATAAATTTGAATAAGTCTATTTCCTAGAAATGATAATTAGTTGATTTGCGATTGGTGTTTGCATACTAGCTGATGATGATTAGCCAGATACTTTTATATTTTAACATTTTTTACTATACATCGTTGAAAATATAAATCATTTAAAATTTGTTCGCGTTCTCCAGGTTGAAAGTAGTCGTGAGACTATATGTATATATTAAAATGATTTTATAAATGTAAATTTATAAAATAATTTTTATATGTAAACCGTGTATAAACAATGTGCATATTAACCCTTACATAAAATTTAGTAACAGCAAAAATAAAGCGTTAAAATGAAAGCTCAACGTATAGAAATATATTGTTATTGTTTATATGTAAAAATCAAACGCAAACTTATAAAATTCAAATATAAATTACGGAATCAAACATGAAAACGACTTTTGTATTATATTGCTAAAATAGCACAGCACAGCAGTCAATATCAATCTAATAATAATCTAATAATTATACACGGCGTTATTTTTAATTGAAATGTTTGAGCTTAATCTTTTTTTTTTCTAAATGAAAAAATAATTCAATTAACGAAATATGATGCGTTTAAAAAAATATAATATTTACCCGAGGATTCACCAAGTCGGCCGCCATCGTAGGAAGATTTCAGCGACACTACTCCCACTAGTAATGAAGTGACAAGTGAATAACATATATACACCGACACGCACATATATTTTGTCACTGTCTTATCATTAAAACAAATTACTTATTATCTAAAAACAAACACTAAGAATTTATAAGAATTCCGCCACACTCGTAGATTAAGTTTATATTCCTTGTATCTTTTGATAAAAGTAACTGTAACGTTGTAATAAGTAGAAATAGAAAACTAAGAAAGGGGAGTTACATAGTTTGCAGATTGTCTTTTCTCATCTTCATTCTGGTATAAATATCTTAATGGTAATAATTAAATATATTTATTCGTTTATATATGTAATTTTAGTATGTATGTATATCAATAATTAGTAGTACCGCATTCGAGTATTCTGACACTTCCCTATGGTTGACTGGGAGAGAATGCTTTTAGCATTAAGTCCGCCATGTACACATATTTGTACTAATGAATAAATAAATAATTAATATAATGCTGGAACGCAATATGACGTTTGAAAAATTAATGTTCCTGAAATAATTTGAATTGTTAGTAACATTATAAATATGAAAGTTTTGTCATTTGCTTGTTGAACAAATGTTGTAGTTGAACAATTAAACAATGGTCATTAAATTAATTACACCTATATAGAATAGAAAAGGTGATGGTCTCCTTTACCCCATTCAAGCAATATATTCCAGTCACGCGGAGAAGGTTGCGAGTAGGGATAAGTAATATACAGCAATATCTATATCTTATTACAATATCTATATATTGGTCCTATAAAAGATATGTATCGGTTGTCTAATATATGACATTGAAATGAAGCACCCGATTAAAACGACTGGAGATATCCGACTGGTAGGGGTGATATCGAAATGTGCGATCACATTTATCTGTCATCAAATTTCAGAGAAACCCAATATATAGATATCGGAGCGTTATGGTTATTACCCATGCTTAGATGCGGGTAAGAAATGGTACCTACGGAGTGAAATTATTCGACGGCTTTTTTTAAATTTCATATTTAAATGAGAGTGTAGCGAATGATAAAATTCATCTGGAAGGTACATAACGTAGGTATTATTATGCTATCAGACAAATATGTACTTTGCAGTCAATATAAATTAGAACAATGTTTAGTAGATACCACGTGACTTATGAATTGAATATGTTTAGTGTTCGTTTCGGTCTTTCACTTCTGAACCTTGAAATAATTAGAAGGTCAATCAAGAAATTAGAATTAGATGAAATAGCATGTACATTGCTATGTTACTAATTACTACTGAAACTGTTAAAAACATAATTTTAGTATTGAAATGTATTATTTATCTACTGAAACTCAGTCATTTTACAAACTAAAATAACTAATGCTAATCTCAGAGTTTAAAATAGTATTATGGATATTACAAAATACACTGCGATACCCAGGGTATCACTCATGATATCGCATTGCTAATTTTGAGAAATGAGAACTAAGGTGGTTGCTTCCATCCGCACAATATTTGCACCAATTAGGTATGAACCGATTTTGAGAATTATGTTTGAAGTTAATAGAGTTCATTATGTCACTATTATAATAGCTATTTTTCTTGACTTTCATATTTTTATTTATACGGTAGGGTATATAACCAGTTGTTTCTTTTTTGTGAAACACTACACTATATTATATAGATTTGCCCATAAAGCTTTATTAAGTTGTAGGAATTCACTATTTACTTGCTTACTTTACAGTATACTCTGTTATGTCCCTAGTACTGTTCATACTGTAGTACTGTTCAATACTATACTGTCATCTATAGAAATAGGTGACGGTTACCACTTTCCACCAGGTGGACTGTCAGCTTGTTTGCTACTATCTACTATGATATAATCTTTCCTATTATTAATTTAAATGTAAGTTTTTATTATTCGTAATTACCTATTTATATTATCTAATTTACAGGTAAGTGTTTATTATTTTGGACTTATATAACCTACAGAACAGATTATGCAGTTATCATACGTCAGACTAAAATTTATGGAGTTGACGTTATTTTTATTGTTTTATTATATAAAACTTAAAATAATACTACGTTCATCATTATCATCTGGGGCTAATGCCCGTTCCCTGATCACTACTAAACACAGCCCTCTCCCATAGACTGTCATAAGAACGGCCCCGTTTTTTACCATTGGGAGAATTTTGCCAATACTTGTCATGTTTGGCAGGCGTGCTGGTAACCGCAGTTTGGCTTTTAGTAATACTTTAAAACGGTGCTGCTGCTTATTCCTAAACCACTAAGTTCCCTTAATTGTCTTTTATGATATCCACAGGAAAGGAGAGGGCAGCCCGTTCTATCCCGGGACTACACTGCAACCTTACAAAAGTTACCTGGAATCGTTTTTAGTTTATGTTCGAAGCAAACTTAGTGCTTAATATCTGCTAATGAATTACAGCAATTGTATTTATATGTCTGTGTCCGAAAAGCAGCTTTAAAGTATGGGATATGACAGTGAAAGTATAGGGCATGGAGGTGTAATGACAATCCTTGGACAGTATCATAGGCATCACGACATGTTCTGTGATTTCAAAAGTGCTATTGATGTCTATAGATGACTGTTACCACTATCCATCCGGTAGGCCATCAGACTGTCATAAAGAAATATCTCAACTATAAAAAACTAAATCCTATCCCCTTCAAACTGAAACATCACTCACAAACTTAATCTTATACAGAGTCCTCTATGCACAGTTTCAATACGCAGTGAAAGAAAACGACAATAAATTGTACATAATTTGTCTGATGTTACATACGCATAGCATATACGTATATGAATACAAGCAAATACAATGAACATAATTTTTTTTTATGCAACATAGAATGGCAAACAAGCTGACGACCCACCTGATGGAAAGTGGTAACTGTCACCTGTAGACATGAGCAGTACCATGGACATAACTGTTTAGCCTATGAACAATGTGTTGCCATTATTGAGGATTCAGGTGTTATTCCTGTATACCTTGTAAATTCACTGTTATATCTCACCCTTCAAATCGAAACACAGCCATGCAAACACAATTGCTTCTCGATAGAAACACGAATGGGAAAGAGGTACCCAAGCATACGACTTTGGTACAAAGACAAGAATTTGATCATTCAGTATTTATAAAAACTAATTATTTTATTTTATTTATGAAAAATCTATTACATGAATATACCTAATGATAAAAATGCTTAGGTATATGATTAATTATGTGAATTCCTATTATCAAAGATAATCATAGGTGAGAATTATGTTATTTATTTAATCCTATATATAAAAATAAATAATACAAATATATATAATAAATTAATTATGGTACATATAATGGACTTAGGTAATACCTTAAGGTAACCATAGGGATTTCACGCGATTCTCTTTGGAACAATCGTGGTTAATTCTTAATGATTTCATCATTATGGGTCAGTTGACCTAACTTTATCTTCACATTTCATCAGCCACCATTACACACAGTTATACATAAAAGTTTTTTTAAACATTCAGTAATTGAGTTAAAAGAAGACTATTAAATTTATGTTTTTCTTTTTACTACTAATCATGGTTTCTTTACGCAATGTATCATTTTTAATCGAATTAAGAAAAAAGGAGGTTCTCACATCGGATATATTTATGTTTGTTACCTATGTATAAGTAACTCCATCAGTCATGCCTAATACTGTTATGACTATCACAGTCTTATCAAATCGGATTAATAATTTAGTTCTGAAATCAAAATGACTGGTTTTGTCACAATTGAAATTGGTTTTTAAGTTTGTTTTTTGTGGGTATACCTAATCCTAAATTATGGTGTATATATATATTTTTTTTGATGGATGAAAATGGTATGGTAACCCCGCCTGCGCTAACGGGATACGCTGTCGAAGCACCAGTGAAGGGTGATAGATGAGAATGAAAAGAGGCCAGTTAGCCCATCATGATGAATTCATCAGGAATTAACCATGGTAGTTTCCAGGGAAAACCGCGAGGAGGTCGACCTGGTTGGATATATTGCTAGCAATAGGATTCTCAGTCTCCATTACTAACAATCCCTTTCCCCCCGGTGTATATATTGTAAGTAATATTATTCAATCCGATGTAGTACATTTCGATGAAAAATAAAATAAAACGCTGAAGTATTTACTGTCAATGTCGTACAAGCAAGCGGATTATAAATGACAAACTTGAATAACAAAAAAAAACCATAATAATGTAGAAACGATTATCTTGCTATAATACATACGAGTTCATACACTAACTACTTGACTGAACAAATATAATACGTACCCTGCGTGTGATTAATGAAATAACAACCAATCAGTACACATAGCGCCATCTATGCATTTACCATTTACTTACAAAGTTATAATACTGTAGCATACTGATACGAACATACGAGTAAAGATAGCATAAGACTGCTTTAAAGTAGAGATAATAATATTATTAACTTGCAAATTATGTGATTATACAACAGAGGGCACTACTAACTAAAATTGTGAAAATGAGCTATGTAAAGAGTAGACCTAGTATTAATAACATGAGTAAGTTTGATATATATCTATGTTCAATGGTTGATAGAAACTGGCAATAGGAATAATATAATATTCAGCCTATTGTGGAATATAAAAATTTATTAATCAATAATATTTAAATAAATTTATGGTCTCTAACTTAATGGATGATAATGGAATAGTAACCCCGCTAATGGTATACACTGGCGAGGTACCAATTAAGGACGATAGGTGAGAATAAAAAAAACAGGTTAGTTAGCCGATCGTGATAAAATACATTGGATATTCAGCACGATGGTTTTTAGGGGAACTACGTGGAGGTCGACCTGACAAAGTATATTGCTAGGAATGAGACTGATAGTCTGCATTACTAACAATCTCTTCCCCCAAAATGATCTTTAACTAGGCATTTGTAAAGTTACTTTACCTATTTTAGACACCAAAATTTTTGTAATGCTAAAAAACAAAAACGTTGCTTTTTCAATATACATAATTTATATATTTTTAATAATTTTTTTAAGGAAGTTAGTGGATGTAGGTGGTCCAGGACCGTTTTTAAGG